TAGTATTAATTAATAAAAAAACAGCAGTATTCTAACAGCTTTTTTATAGTTTTAAAACTGTATTTTTATTAAGATATTTTAACCTTTAATAAAAGATCTGGGTAGAAACAGATACTTTTTAATAAAATATAGTAAAAATATTATTTCAGCCAGATAACTATAAAGTATATTATTCTATTATATTTTAGTTAAAAAAGTTTAATAGTACTAAAACTTGCTATTTAACCCCAGATTAAAAGCTTTTTACTATTATTTATTTATTTAAATATTAGTATTAATATCTTAAAAAGCTATTATATACTATTAAAATTTTTTTAAACTATTAAAATTTTTAAACTTTTATAAAGCAGCCGAAGCTGAACAGCTGTTAAGCTTAATAGTATATATATTTTAGTAGTTATAATTTTATTATTTAGTATTAGCCCGGCAGGCGCAATTCTGCTAATCTACTATTAAAAATAAAAAAAAATTTAAAAGTCCTATCTAATATAAAAGTTCTAAAGTTAATATAGTATTAAATAGCTGGTAAATTCCTAGTAAAAACTTAGCTAGTCTTTATAAAATCCTAGTTTAAGTATAATAAAATATTTTTATAAAAAAGCCCTAAATTTAGTACCTGTATAGTATTAAACTTTTAATAAAATTAAAAAAACTAAAAAGCTGATATAGAAACAGCTGACTAGACTATTAAAGTAAAATTATTTTATAATAAATATATTAATATATCAGCAGTATTCCAAGTATATAAGTATAAAAACTTATTATATTTTAAAATTAATAAAAAATTATATTCTCTAATTGGAAGAATCTAAAATAAAAATATAAAAATATATTATTAAAAACTTACTGTTTTATAAGGTAACTCTGGCTTTAAGTATTAAAAAATTAATAAAAATAATTTTATTATATATAAGTATTACTTATATATTTCTGCAGGGGAAAGCCTTCGGCAATATCTACTAAAGTTTTATTATAATAATTAACTAGCAGGCTATTTTAGGTAATTAAAAATAAAAGCCCTTTTTAAAAGAAAGTTCTACTAAATAAATCTTTATAAAAATATAGTTACTTATATTAGAAAGTATTTTATCTGTTAAAAAGTTATATTTACTAGATATAAGTCTTATAGTAAACTTAAATCTTTACTAATTTCTAGCCGACTTTTTATTAAACTATTTATAGACTTTATTATAAGTCTATCTTCTGTTATAACTAAAAATAATATTTTAGATTTAATTTTTATTATTATTAATAGATTTATAAAGTAGTGTTAATTTTTACCTATTTTATATACTATTACTACTTTAGAATTTGCTAAATTTTTGTATAAAAAGATTAAACTTTAATATAGACTACTATAGGATATAATTTTAAATAAAGGTTTCCTTTTTATTAGCAAATTTTAATTTTAAATTATATATTATATATAGGTTAAACTCCGGTTGTTGACAGTATTTTAACCTTAGACTAATAGTTAAACTAAAAAAATAAACTAGACTTTTAAATAATATTTTTAATATTTTATTAATAAAAATTAACTTAACTGGTCTACTTTATTACTATTTATTTAATTTACTTATAATAATACTTTAAACTCTATAACTGGCTATTTTTTTTTAAAAACTTTTTTAGGCTATTTGCCTAACTTTTATTTCTATACTAAGGTTAGTATTTTTTAAAGAAAAATCCCTACAGCTAAAAATTAAATTAATAAGCTAACTGTATTATAAAAAAATCTACAGAATTACTAGTAAAAAGCTAATAAAATATAAAAAAAATACTATAATTAAAAGTACCAGTTAATAACTTTTAAAAAAAGAGATCTAATAAAGCTGTTTATTAAAAATTTAAAAATTAAGACTTTTTTTCAGAAGTTAGCTCTATAATATATTAGACCTTTAAAAATTTTAGCAGTTATTAAAAAACAGATATATTAAATCTTTTTATTTAAATACTATAGTTAAATCTATAATATTTTTTATATATTATTATTAAAATAGTAAAAATCTGGTACTGTATTATAAAATTAACTTTACCTCTCAGATTTAAAAAAAAAAAAGAAGTTTAAAGTTAAAAATATTAAAAATAAGTAAATTTTTAAAAATAAGTAGTATTTTCTAGTTAAATAGACAGGCTGGCTAAGTAAATATAATAAATAAGTTTTAAAAAAATCTATAAACAATATCTAGTAGACTATTTAAAACTATAGAAAATAAAAAAAAAAGTTAGGGCGGCAGAAAAATTCTTATTTCTAAATATAAAAAAAACAACTAAATTTATATTAAGTTGCTATATTATATACAGTTAAATTTTAATATTTAAATATATAATTAAAATAAACTTCTAATAAGCTAAATTTTTATTAAAAAACTACCAGACCAACCCAGCTAAGCTATATTTTTTTTATAAAAAATAAACAGCAAAGGACCAGAACTTTTTTATTTTTTAAATATAAAAACCCTGGGGGGAGGCCTTATTATTATATATAGTATACATCTTACAGTAAACCCCCTTAAAAAATATCTATTTAGCCCTAGTTTATAAAATAAATTTATTATTTTTAGATATTAGATAAATTATAGTTAGATTATTAGCAAAAATACAACAGATAGTAATAAAAAAGTAACAAAAAACTAGATTAGGCTAGTTAAAATAATTAGCTTATAAATTAATAAAAACTTAATAAAAAAATATACTATAATTTTAGTTTTATTAATACTAGTTAGCCTATACTTACAGCAGTAGATAAATTTAGCTGTTTTAAATACAGTAGCTAAAGCTACAGTTAAATATTTAATTTAAATATAAAGTACTAAATTTTAGTTTAGTATTTTATTAGAAGTAGTATAGTTAATAAAAAACTTTTTATACCAGTTCAGAATCTGCAAAAATTTGGCAGTATTTTTAAATATTTCTATAAATATTTAGTTTTTATTAAATTAAATAAACCTATTAAAAAGCTATTAAAATATATTTAATTATAGATCTGGTTATAACTAGAATACTGCTTATATACTATAAATATAATAGTATTAAATATACAGCCTAGAATAAAGTTTTTAGTATTAGTAATATTAAACTTTTTAATACTAATTTATAAATAATATATATAAAAAAAGATTTTTAGTATAATAAAAGTATTAGCTAGACAGCAATAAGTAGTTATTAATATTATAATAAAAAGCAGCTGAGATAAAATATTAAAAAAAATAAATTAATAAATAAAAAATAAATATAAAGTAAATAATAAAAATAACTGTAAAAACAATACAGAATAAAAATATAAAAAAAAAATTTAGTAGAAAATTAAAATATAGAGAAAAATAAAAATATTAATATATTAATATACTAAACTTTTTTATTTATATATATACTCTATATCAGAATCTAATTAGATTATTAATAAAATATATATTTTTTTTACTACTACCCTGTCTATATAATATACAATACTATAATATAACTCTTCTACTATTATAATATTAAATTCTACTACTTTTAGAATAAGTAATAAAGCTATTTATAACTATACTACTATACCAGATAGCCCAGCTTAGTAGAAAAGTATAATTATTATATAATATCTTCTGCTACAGTAATTTATATTAACTACTATAGTAGTCTACTTTTAAATTAGTACTAATTTACTGGGCTTTTAATTTAGGTATTTATATTATTATATTACTTATCTCTTTCTTTATATATAATATATTATCTTAGAATCCTTTAAAGAAGGAGATTTTTTAAGAATTAGTTTTAAAATTAATAGAAGACTGCTTTTGGGCTATTTTACTTGCCTTGCCTAACCAGCGTGTCTACTGTGTTAAGTAGTTTCTAACAATAATAAATAAATAGCTTTTATAAAGCTAAAAGTATTAATATATTATTTTGAAATATTATTACTATTTTATTTAATTTATAAGGCAGCTGCTGCCCTTAGGGGCGGCTGTAGCCGGCTTGCTTAGCTGTTATATAACTGCCGCCTTAGGTTGTCTATATATATTTCCCTTTATAGATATCCGCAAAGGTTGGAAGGGCTGTTTGGGCCCTTACAAAATTTAATAAGATTTAAAAACTAAATTCTCAGAAATTTATTAAAACTTATTAAAATTGTATTTATGTCTATACTATTATTAAAGCTGCAGAAGAACTGTAGTTGTAAATAATAATAAAATATTAAAATATTATTAAAACAATTCTATTTCATTAGAGCTGGTCGAATTTGCTGATGTTTTTTTATTTAATTAATCTAAAATTCTTTTTAAATATTATAATAAAAATTTTATTATTAATCTTTTTAAAGGCCAATTATCTTTGTTTAGATCTATTTATTTTTTTTTGAAAAAAACGTTTAGTATTTAAAGATTATATTAATAAAGATACTACTAATAAAACCCTTTTGGCATGTATTAGTCCAATAAGAGTGTGGGAAAGTGGGAGGACGGTCAGTATGGAACCGACTCCCTGCAACGTGCGGAACGTAGATATGCGTACAGATTCCACCTTATAACCAACCAGAATCGACTTCCTCATCTTATTCCAACTTTGATCACCAACTCTTTCAAGGCGGCATACTGAAAGAGATGGTGATCAAAGTTGTAATGATGGAATTAAACAGATGCAAAAATCATGAAGGTTGAGTAGGCCATGGTGATAACATTGTTGGAAGCCATACATGAGGTTGAAGTCTAGAACAGGCTCGAGAGTTTGCATGTTAGACCAGGGAGGGTACTGTTGCAGCAGAAGCCCATCCAGCTTATATTATCCCAGTTGTAGTCAATACCACTTCTATCACAATTACATACCAAATCATAGCCAAAGACAATTTGCATTGAAGATAAGGACGGATGCGCGCGGCACCCAAAGACGAAGACACCAAGAACAGGTTACCTAGTTCGTCCAGTTCCAGACAGACACACCAACACAGAACCAACCTCATGAGTTCAATGTCGCCCATGGCGGCCATGCCGATGGCGTTTCAGATCTGAATTCTTGGAATCGTCCTGCACGATCTCATTTCCTAAGCGCTCAAGTTGCTGGGCAACAGCTTCGGCTAAAGCCTGAGGGTCGTCCCGAGCAACGTCGATGGCTAGATCCTCCCAGTCAGGAGGCAGCACAGCATCTGCATTGAGTTAGTCTCCCCACAATGAAACGAGAACGCTGGGTTGGAATCAATCTATCCCCGCCGCTCCCACGAGGGCCAAACATACCCGCAATTTCGAAGTCCGACGGGTCTCCGGGTGCATACTCTCTCTTGTACGGCACCGCAGCCGACACGTAGGTCACCAGACAAGGGGTTACCCGGATCATGGAGAGACCATAGCTCGTGTCCCAGATGAGTCCAGATGCATCTATATGGCAAATGGCATTGTTGGCCGCAGAGCCATCGGCTCTCCGTAGTTCAAGATCCGGCGTGTCGAGCATATTAAAACCGCCCAGAACACGATACACGCCCAGAACATTGGTCTGCGAGTACGTGCCCCCTTTGCCACCCAGACTGTTCCCATTCTGACTGCCATACATGAGAACCAAGTTGTAGTACGCAGGGCTTCCCGTCCACGGCGAGTTTTTAGAGTCTCTCCAGAATCGTTGAACACGCTGATGGTAAGACGTTAGATTTGCTTGCCACAGTTCTGGGATCGCGGGGTGTCCCTACCGTATCATAGGTCGAAGATGGAAGCCGATTGATTGCTCGCTGAAAGATCTGCTGGTCGTTCGGTACACATTCCGTGTTCTATACATTTCGAAGGTGTTAGAACTGTGCGCAGAAGATAGAATTTTTCTGATATAACGGGAGGAGACTTACCGCGCCCCATCCACCTTCAGCAGATCTGCTCGCTGTTAGCCAAGGTTCGGCAGGTCAACTTGCATTGGAACCTAGGGCATACGCATGAACTAGATCAGAAGACGACTGTGTATCAGAGGTGAGAGTTCTATTGGACTGCTTGGGCCAAAGCTTGAACTTACACGGAAATTCGTCGCAGGACAAGCTCTCGCTGAAGCCGGGCAAAATGTAGAGATCGGAATTCCCTGTGTCGAAGGCTCTTTGCACAGCAAGTGGCCACAGGGACCGTTTCAACTCAGAACATTCATAAGCAGGCGTACCTGGCTCCCAATACTCTCCACAGGCCTGCTCGCGATGGCTCAGGTCGTCGGCTTCCTGTGTCGAGATATACTCCAGCCGCATCCAGTTACTTCCTATAGTTTGACCATTGTAGTTTTGTTGCATATAGTTCCGGATATTGTAACAGATCCCTGGGAGTAAGAATCGTCAGAGCAAAGCGCCAAGTTCAAGAGGGTTAAACAAATAGCTTCACTCACCATGTACGGACTCATAGGGCTTGGTTCCTTTGGTAAATTCGTTGAGATTGGCGATTTTAGCATCAGGGAAGTAGTCACAATTGTACCACAGTGCAGGTCGAACACAATTAGGACCTCCGTTGCCACCAGTGACAGTACTGCGTTTGGAATTATCACCGCTGGCTGATTCTGCCACTGCAGCTGTTGTTGAGGTTGAGTTGGCGCCACAGCTATCCTCAGCCTCTATCACTGAACACGCCACCATGCCACCAAAACACCCGGCCCCAGTTCCGTTAGCTACCACTTCTCCGTAGTCCGAGGTACTACGTTTTCCAAATAGTTTCTCTGTGGAGTATCCGATGCATGTTTCCTCAACGAGGATGAGAGGATCCTTGGGCGACGCAACATCCACCTGGGCCCCCCAGAAGGCAAGGTCGTCAATGAATCTGGCCACCACTCGTTAAAAAGGATGCACTGTAAGAACACGAAGCTGGAAAACACAAGGGCAATCACTACTTACGACATATCGGCCCGCAGGAAGACTTTATACACGTAGTCCGCCCAGTAACAGAAGCCCGCGGACGCAGTTCCATCGATGGATGCTCCGGCCGAAGCATTCACTCCCAGGATGAGAGTGTTTGAGACACCAGCTGTCACGTATCCCGACATCAAGCTCCCTCCCAGAACCGAGACCCCAAAACGTACCTCCGGGGTCAGTGTCACTGTGAAACTAGTTAACGGAGCTCTTAACAGTAGAAAGAAGCGACCAGTACGAACAAGCTAGGTTGCCCTCGGCAGTCAATTCTGCGTTCAGGATTGGTTCAAATGAGTATGTTTGAGGGTCATCGTCAGTCAGATCTTTTGGCGCAGAACTATCGGCAACTGCAACCTCATCCTGGGGAAAGTAGACTTCTGTCCGCTTCCAACCAACGGAGACCCCGGCGTTCAACTCTCCCGACACCTGAAGAGAGGCATCCAGCTCACCGGTGAGGCGAAGTTCAGGACCAATACTGATCAAGCCCTTGATTGAGAGGCCCGGGAAGCCGACACTCAAGAGTTCCGCAGTGCCCGAATTGGACTGCATCACCGCGTCTGCTCGCAGGGTTACGAGGATCTGTCACCGACATCAGTAAGGTTCACGGCGGCTCTTAAATGTCAATCGCGTTACCTCCGCCACAGGTTCGATGGAAAAGTATCCATATGCGGATATTAGTTTCGGTGTTGGCAATATCGCACCCTCGAAATAGTAGCCATATTGAGAATAAAGTCCCATATGGATGTAAGAGTCGATATCAAAGGTGGTGTAGAGATTTAGGCTAGGGCAGTATTGCTCAGCGTGGAACAGCTTCAGACTATCCTCGTATTCCAACGGCAACGATCCTTGCTCGTTTTGGACAATGGTCGTCATACGCGTGAGCCAGTTGGAGAATGAGCCAAACCAACGCTTGCGGCTTGAAGCTGGTGCGGCAGTGATGGAGTCCCTGCCATCTATGATTAGCATAACCAAGATCATCCACCGTCTCACACACATACCAGTACTCCAGCAGATTGGTGTAATCCACGCGAAAATTTACGTCACCTTTTTCCTCGCTCGCTGCAGCCGGCAGGTCGTAGTCCACGGTCAACTCATAAATCTCATCGGCAGACCGTGGCCGGAGATTGGATGCGCCAGGTAGGCCCCATGGAACCAGACTGATTATTCTAGCGTACGGACCAGCGCCCAGATCTTTCGGCATTTTGACAATCTTGTTTGAGGCACCGCCACGAAAGATATCATCGCACCTGGAGGCGTTAATGTAGAGCCAGGTGCACTGAATATGATACCGTTCAACTGTATTTTCGAACGTATCGTTCCTCACCTCGAACATGTTCTGGCGACGGTGATGCTTCAGCTCGCGCTTGGCCAGAGTCGCCTGGTCAGTCAGAAATGTCCATTGGTTAACTAAGGATTCCGAATAGGCTTCAGGATCGCCGTCAATCATCACAAAGGCAAATGGATCGACTGTCGATGTACTTGTCGCTGCTGAGGTGTTAAGGCCGCTTGTTGCAATTGTGAAAGAACTAAACTAAGTCGGGCACTTACCCTCATCATTAGAAGTTTTTTGAATGTTGTAATAGTAGCTCACGTCTGTCTCGTCCGGATACTCGAAGAGATTCTTGGGATCGACTGGGACACTGTTGTTGCCATCCGGAGGATCACAGCAAAGCTTGTTCGTTCCAGTTGTGCAGACATTGAACCATCCGTGATGAAGACTATCAATCTCGGTTCTCTGGGTGATCAAGACCTGGGTGTTGGGACAGGTCTCATTGCACCCATACCAGTTACAGCTCTTGTAGGTATTCTTGGCGGGACAGTAGAAGTAAGAGGCACTGCCATCCGGACATATTTCGGCACTCTGCTCTAGATCTATTAGTAGAGTCAGTCCCGTCTCTTTTATTCAACTGCTGCCTCAAGAAACCCTGCATCACTTACTCGAGCCCGGATAGTGTGAGATGACTTCCATAACATAAGAATCCTCGGGAGCGCTGGGGTTGCTATCTCCACAGCCGGTCCAAGCACATTGAGAGAGGATAGCATCGGTGTTGCAGCACAGAGACCGTTTGGCAGTAATACAAAAGGTATCCCCTGTGCGGTCAGTATAGGTGTCGGCCACCAGCTCGAATTTATTCTCTCCACAGGTTCCTCCTCCACCAGTGCACCAGCCGTCAGCATTCATTCCTTCCCATTCACAGCCTTCAGGCATGGCATCCGTAGGGCAGCAAATCAACCGGTATTGAGCATCGACATCCCCCTCCTTTCCAGAACGGCAGAGAGTGTTGTCGGGGTCCTGGAGCGCGCCGGGGAAGCCATCATGGACGTAGTCAAGGACACTGTACCCTGCTTTACACTGCCCAGTATTCCAATCGACACACTCACTGATATAGCAGTCCGTGCCAGTGAACGCAGAATACTCCTTGGCTAAGGTTTTTGCGTCGCTTGCTGAGTCGCCTGTTAGCAGATTGTTGCTGTCCACGGCTTTGTTAAGCAACGCCGTTAGAGCCTTCCAGTCGTAGGTATCTTGGTCAACTGACCAGATCATGACGCCTCCTAGACACACCTGGTTGGCGTAGTCGATCTTCTGTCGGAAGGTGACATTCGTATCAAAGGACACCCACTGATCATCCCAGGTAGCATAATTGACAGCTGCTGTCTCGTCCCACATGATGATCACATCATCGAGGTCGACGGTCTCCATAATTTCCTTGAATGAGAGAGTACCGGCCGAGTCAGTACATGGCCCAGGATCTCCAGGCCCAGCGAATGGGCAGCCCGGACTGGTGCATCCAAAGTTGGATATTGTGTAGGAGCGGCCATAGAATGCGGCGCCCAATACCACCTGAGACGGATCTACTCCCACTCGCCAGAATAGATCCAAGGCCTCTTTGATCTCCGTCAGGTTTGTGTGCGCCTCCATGACATCTCCAATCCAGCTATAAGGCTTGTGAGCGTGACTCTCCAAGCAGGAACGCAAAAGAGGAAGGCTCGAGAAACATACACATCCGTCTTGTCCCAGACTCCGTGGAGGTCGTAAGTCATAATATTGGTCCAATCAGCGCCAGCTTCCAACATGCCAGGGAGATCGAAGTGCTGGAGATACCAGTAGCTGGAGGGTGTAGTAAAGGAGATTCCATACGCGCGACCTGAAGCGTCGAACACCTCACGCAGAGTACTAATCAGCTTAACATAATTAACTGTGTCAGCGGCTTGGCCACCACGATCCTCTGCTACGGGATACTCCCAATCCAGGTCCACGCCATCAAAGCCGTAGGTTTCGAGCATGTAGAGAGCCTCCTTGGCAAATGAAGTCCGACCTGCGTCGGTGGAGACCATGTCCGACCAATAGGTGCTGGTAGGAGGGTCATTGAAAGACCATCCACCGATGGAGAGGAAGCAAGACAGAGCCGAATTAACATCTTTCAACGCGATGAACTCGGCCACTAGCTCCTCTACGTCATCGGTACCTGTCATGAACGTCATACTCCAGCTTGTATTGTCTGTGTCGGTTGGCTCAAAGACGGCAAAGGCATAGTTGATGTGCGTGAGTGAGCTCACAGCGATGTTGTTTGGCCGCCAGCCATCGCATGATCGTGCGGACGCCCAAGTCTCATAGTACCCGATCACTCGCTTGAAGACATCATTTGTTGAGCACGATGGCTCGGTCGGAAAGCCACAATTGTCTCCTTGGCAGCCATCCCCGCAAAAGTCGTCGGTGGTGCCGCAGAAGCCATATTGAGAACAGCACACCTGTCGCGATTGTCCAAACACAGTTAGGCACAGTCATAATGAAATAAAGGCAACGTACATTTAAAGGACAACTCATGGTCGGATCGGAGGCATACTGCCCACATTCTGCCGTGGCATTGCAGTTGCTCAGGCAAGTCTCGCCACAGTATGTAGGGCCAAATCCACAGATGCCCTCACCGTAAGAGTACCCACAGCAGGCATTGTTCGAACAGGGGGCCGTGGAATTACAGTAATAAGTCTGTGCACTGGCAAGGGAGATCAAGGTGACTAGTAGTCTAAGGAAGTGCAGTGCACAATTGCCAAGTTTGAGCATGATTGAAGACGCCATACCAGTGCTGTAGGCCTTGGTGATACCGTCACCCGCTGGAATCCTGCCTATCTATATACCCTTTACAGTAGTTGGTGTGTCAACAGTACTAGTCAACAGTAAGTGCAGCCCTTTGCTTCCCTTCCACTCCCGGCTAAATTCTTTGTCTTTTAATTTCGACAATTTCTCACCCCTTTGACTACTGTTCCAATATCTCCTTTTTTCTATTTTTCGTTTTCTTCTATTCGATCCAGTGAATGTACTCGGATCGGAGTGAGGGTCCACTTCTGAGTGGATACTGTGGGCACGCATCAGTGTTTACCCATACCAACAATGTCCTTTGGCCGAGCCAGGGAAATAAGATAACAAGATTGGAAGCATCGGGGCAGCACTCACTACTCGGAGTACACCAGAAAAGAGTTCTGTCAATCAACACTGTACCATGGGGGTTCCAATATCATTGGGGGTTTTCATGTTGCTACCCGCGGTTGCCTTCGGCTTAGGGTCAAACATCAATGACACTCTCCAGGTTTACACTCAGTCCGAACTTGGAGGGCTCACAGCCTCGACCGACTGCCTAACCGCGCTATCGCAAAATGTGAGCTGCTACGCGAGCTTGAATGTTGCTGTGACCCAGGAGAGCACGTGGTCTACTACTGCCTTGGATCTTATCTGTTCTGCAAACTGTGAAAGTTCCTTGGACGAGTACATCACCGCGGTCGACGATGCGTGCGGCCATGATACAGTATATAACCTGACCGGTGGCTCTCAGACAGCGTCTCAAGCAGGAATCACTTTGAGGTGGAAGGAACAAACAACCTGTTTGAAAGATCCAACCACGGGCCGATATTGCAATTTGATCCTGCAGGAAGCTGCACAAGATGGGAATGGGAGCTCCCTGCAGTGTAGCAACTGTACGATTGCTTATCTGGAGAGCCTAGCCAGTGCTCCCTCCGGTCAGTTGATGGTCCAGCCGGCGAAGGTGGTCAGCATAATCTCAGCTTGTTCTGGCACTGCCTCCTTGTCGGTGACAGCTTCTACTTCCTCAGGAGCCGCCACTTCAGCGACGACCACCAGCGCATCCAACTCTGAGAATACTCGTTGTAATGCTGCCACTTCGTGGTATACGGTCGTGGGTAATGAAACTTGTGTTGACATTTCGCGAGCCAGTAATGTCTCGACCCCGGCCCTGGTGTCCTTGAATGCGCTGGATCTAAGCTGCAGATACATTGCCGCAAACCAAACTTTGTGCCTACCCTCTGTATGCAACATTTACAGGGTATCTCCTAATGACACCTGCGCCTCTATTCTTGGTGGCCTGGACCGAGAGGTGTCAGATGCTATCTTTCGTTCGTGGAATCCCAGTATCAATGCAGCTTGCTCCAACCTGCAAACACTCGTCAATGGGTACATCTGTGTCAGGTAGGAAGTGATTATCAAAGAGGGTTGAAGCTGTCTCATTAGGCTAATGAACCGTTCATGCGTGCCTAGCCCTCCAGGTACCTTAGCAATCCCTAGCAGCTTCCCCTTGATTCCCGCAACAACAGCTGTGTAGGAGACCCTGGTCGATTTTGATTGCGTGGTAGTGCTGACTGATTGTTGCAGGGCAGTTCCAACCAATGCAGTCACGACTTCCAACACCGATTGTGGGCACTGGTACACTATCCAAAGAAGGGACACATGCGACGGAATTGCCGGGGAATTTGGAATATCCTTACGAGAGCTCTACTTCCTTAACCCGCAGCTTAACGGCACCTGTGCATCTCTCTGGGTGGGCAACAGCTACGTTTGTTCTCCTCTTGTGTCTTCCTCTATCCTTCCCGACTGACCTTCGAAGTGTGTGCAAGCGGTGGGTAATATCGACACCTACTCAGGATATACTACATCCAGTCGGGTGTATACAACGTTAGCTCAGACGATGGATCTGAGCGTGACTCAAACTGTCAATCGGACGACCACGTAGGTGTTCGCTCTCAACCATACCATCTATTTTTGGTGGTGCTAATATCCTGTGAGGCATTTTTTCTACTCCTACCCGGCTATGTCAACATCAACTGTTGTATACAACCCGACAGCTTATGAGATGACCCGCAACTACACCCTTTGTCGGCAAGCCTTGGCCTACTACAACATTACTAGCGACGACCAAATTGTCGACGCCGAGTTCGATGACCCAGCTTGGTATCAAGAGTACGAGCGCGTGTGCCTGCTTAATCTTACACAATCATTGCCCACAATTCCTTTTAATACGAGCATTGCGCTGGTCACCTGGACAGGTGATATCGTGGTAGATCAGACATCGTCCACCCGCGGTCCGGTCCCTTCGGGTTATATCACCTGGTCGGCCTCTGCAACAGGCGGTACTTCAACAGCACCAGCAGCGAGCAGTAGTAGCGGTTCAACTCCTTCCAACTCCTTGCTCTCGTTGTCCTCAGCAACCACCACTCTTTCGACCCCAAGCTCCACTGGTTCTTCTACCATATCACCTAACGGACTTTGCGGCGCGACGAACCATGACTGGGTCTGCAGGGGGTCTGGATTCGGAGATTGCTGTAGTGGCAGTGGATATTGGTGCGTTCCCACACATGGTTTCCGTTCTTCATAGCTCACATTCAGCTTTCCAGTGGATCGACCAGCGACTACTGTTCGACGGTTGGCTGTGACCTCACTTATGGCGCCTGTTCCTCGGCTGTGATTTCCCCCAATGGTCTCTGTGGAACAAGTAATAACCACTGGGTTTGCACTGGGTCTGAATTTGGTGATTGTTGCAGTGCTTACGGCTATTGGTCGGTTTCCTTTCCCCCTCGCCCCTTTCCCCTCTATCGTGAATCCACCTCATGGTTCAAGGTTGCCTATAATGGATACTAATACTGAAAAACGACAGTGGGTCGACTAGTGACTATTGTAGTGCGGGAAACTGTAATAGTGCTTTTGGGAGCTGCACGAACTAGATAGGTACTAATAGCATGGGGCAAATCGGGGTCTTCGGAGATGATCATGGATGCCGTGCTCGCCCACCGGGTGGGGTGGGAGTGGGAGGGGGCCGGGCCGAGCAATCATTTTCCGCGGAGTTGTTTATACCCGCCGAGCGCCACTTGTGACCTATTCGGTGGAAATCGATCGATCAATACTACCAAGCAATGCCACCAACTAAGGTGGAACCACCCGGGAGTGTCTGAGGGTCCTCAGCTCAGCTGTGTAGCCCTGCTGCCTATATAGTGACGGTTTTCGCTACCCGAGGCGTGATTCGGTCCGTTTCCAACCGCACCAAGTACCATAACACCCTTGAACCTTAAGGTAATGCCTACCTCCTCGTGGCGAGCGTCTCCGCCACCCGAACCGCCTCTTCCGCGACACTGGCCTGGGGGCATTCCGAGCACCATTCGCAACCACGCCACCCACATTCACAACCATGGCAGGCTTTTAGACATCACCAGAGGCTGGTTCCTGTTTGTCTCTGAGCGATGGATCTCGCGTAAGGATGCGGGGGTTGCCGAGCATGAGGACGTAGAATATGAGCTGCGTCAGCGGCGGACGCTCGTCGAACAGTGGGCGGCAGCAAATCAATCATTCCGTGATGTATGCATCCATTTATATCTTCCCATTCCCCCTAGAAAGCATCGTTTGCGCAGCTGCAAAATATGGTAACTGATATTTGCACACTGAGAACAGGCTTTTCAAGCCCGCGCACCCCGTCCAGCTAGTCCCCGGGATTACTGCCCCGAAGCACGCAAGGGAGTTGGACGCACCCGCCAACCGCAAAGCCAATTCCTCTGTCTGGCGGACGTGCAGGCTCACAACGTCCTTAATCGAGCCCGCTGGGTAAAGCTGCTGATCCTGTTACAGGATTTCAATACCCCGGCCGGCAACGGGTCAATCTGTCACCAACCCTTGATCCTAGATCCCAACCCCACCACAGACACTCAAGCACTGCCCCTTTCTAAGGCAGATGCACTCCGATGGTTGTTCCTGGAGACGGCGGATTTTGAATGGATCACTATGGCCGTGGACGGAACAGTTCTCTTTCTAAAGCGATCCGACTATTGGATAGTGAGCCAAGAGAATCTAGAGACGGGAACAATTGATCTTGTTCGCTTCGGCACGAACGGCCAGGTGCTGATGGAGGGTCGCTGGAGAGCATACAATACGCCTGATGTAGTGGCATGGCAAGAAGGAAAAGGTTGCTCAGTTGGAGAACTTCTTCATAGGCATGCCGGGGGATTTCCACAAGAGAATACCGCGTTTGTTGCTCCAACCCTCTTCCTCATTTAGATCACTGCTGACTCCACGGGCACGAGAGATATAGCTTAGACATGAACCTCTCTTTACTCGAGATCCTGAATACCGCCTGGGACCAACACCTGATGCGCGGCTTCTGGCCGGAGGCCAAGACGGAATTCGCCAAAAAGGTCGACGAGTATGCCCCGGGGTATCGCGAGCTGGAGGTACAGGGTCGAGAGGCCGACTATAATCTACACAGTCTCTATCTACTCTTTGAGGGATAGGTCTGAGGATTTATTCCAATTGCCGAGGTCACAGTGGACTACACGGAAGGCGTTTTGGGGATACTATTTGCCACTACATGTTCTGTGCGCCATTCAGGTCTTTTTAAGACGGTTTGGTTTTATTCATCAGGTGACAATTGACCACGGTGGCACTATATTGGTTCATGAAGAGTGATCAGTGAAGCTGGAAGTCAGAATAGAACAAAGATACAAAGAGCATAATCCAGTCAATAGTGTAGGAACATCTAACCGAAGAGCTGAGATGTAAGTGTCATCGGGTTGGTCCGGGCGCGAGTTCGCAGTCTAGTAGGTGAATCCGGGTATGGTCTAAGCTATAAAACAAGTACTTTTTATTTTTTTTTTATTTTTTATAGATAGCTAGTCTATTTCTAAACTAATTATAAGAAGCCATATTTAATTATTCTATATATTAGAAGATAAATAGAGGAATAGCTATTGCCACCAACTTTTTAACTTTCCCACTTCCGGGCCAGTTGGGTAACAGTAAGCGCTCTTTTTGGATAGCCAGAAGCTTACTTTTAAAGAAAAGAGAAATATCATATTTAATCCTAGATTTGGGAAGCTTTTGGAGGATTAAATTAAGGTAATTCTTATTTTTGTTAAAGATATTGCAAACAGGAAGTTTAGATCAACTGGTTAAAGTGGCTTAATCTGACTGTTATACCTTAACCTTAACCTGACTATAGCTGTATAGCCAGGTTAAGATATAAAAGTTTTTTAACTTTATAGTTAAGATTAAATAATAATATAACTACTACTTTAATTATTTATATCTGCTGGTTAGAAAAATTAGATATAATAAATAAATTATCAACTATAGATTAATTAGTAATATATATATATTATTTTTTTATATATTATATATAAATTATAATAAATTTTTAATTATAGTATAATAATATTTTTTAAATTTAGCCAATTTATTTTATCTGCTTTATCTGTTTTTTTTAAAATATACTATACTTTATAAAATACTTTTACAGAACTAGAGTGGCTTAACCTGAATGTTATACCCTAACCTTAACCTCACTATAACCATATGGTTAGGTTAAGATATAAAAAATTTTTAACTATACAGTTAAAATTAGAGTAAGATATAACTACTTGTCAACAATATGGGCAGATTGGCCAGTTGGCAGCCTCAGGCTCGCCAGTTCGCGGCCTTGGGCTCGCCAGTTTGCCACTACTGCCAGGCGCCACCTTAGGGCCTGCTCGCCTGTTATTCCTGTTCACCCACCACCTTAAGCCCTGCCTGCCACTGCAGATATGCCTTAGGCTCGCCACTTCGCGGCCTCAGGCCAGTTCGCTGCCTTAGGCAACCAGTTGGCGGACTGATATTCCAAGTTCCGCCCACCCCGCAGTGGAGTAAAAGGCCTTACTTTTATTGATTATTCTAGGCCCTATTCAACCACTGGTTCTATTATTCTCAGCCCTGTTCTATTTATATAATTTTTATATAAATTTTATATAAATTTATATATTTTTTATGTGTTTTTAATAGCCAATTGGCTATAAATAAGGATAAAAAGACCCCTAAAGTTTTATTCAGAAGAACAATTAGTTTAATCAGTTTTAATTCAGTTAAATCAGTTTTTAATCAATTCTAGCAGTTTAGCCTCTTTCTTATTTATCTAATCTTTGATTCTTCTTATTTTTAATTCTTTTATCTTTCTCTTACTTTCACCTCACTTTCGCACCCAATTTGTATGCAAAAGTGAGAGTCCAATGAAGTCTTTCTGAGAAACTGCAGAAAAGTTTTTAATATTAATAGCCGGATTCTGACTATAATAGAAATAGAATACCTTTTAAAAAATAGTTTAGTACTTTTTATACTAGTTAATAATATTATTTAGCTATATATTCTTTTTAAACTTTTTAAGCCGTCATCAATGTGGGCAGATTGGCCAGTTGGCAACCTCAGGCTCGCCAGTTCGCGGCCTCCGGCCAATTGGCAGCCTTAGGCCACCAGTTCACTGCCTTAGGCCACCAGTTGGCAGACTGATGTTCCGAGTTCCGCCCACCCCACAGCGGAGCAAAAGGCCTTACTTTTATTGATTATTCTAGGCCCTATTCAACCACTGGTTCTATTGTTCTCAGCCCTGTTCTATTCATATAATTTTTATTTAGATTTTATATAAATTTATATGTTTTTTATGTATTTTTAATAGCCAATTGGCTATAAATAAGGATGAAAAGACCCCTGGAGTTCTATTTAGAAGAACAATCAGTTTCAAATCAGTTTCAATCAGTTTTTTAATCAGTTCTAGCAGTTTGGCCTATTTTTTTATTTATCTAATCTTTAATTTTTCTTATTTTTAATTCTTTTATTCTTCTTTCACTTTTACCTCACTTTCGCACCCAATTTGTATGCAAAAGTTAGAGTCCAATGAAGTCTTTCTGAGAAACCTCAGAAAGTTCTTAGTATTATTAGTTATTAAATATGATAACTAATAGAAAAGGTTATATTTATATAAAACTAATAAAATAATTACAGCTAGGTTTTTACTAGTATAGAATCTAAATACTGGTTAAAAGCCCAGTAAAACTTTATAGTAATTTATATCTTTTATTAAAAAGTATTTAATTAAAGTAGAAAATATCTTTTAATTAGGGCTCGTTAAGTAGTCTACTATAATTAATATATAGCTAATATCTAAAAATTTTAATAATAACTATATATATTTTTTTTAACAACTTTAAAAAATATTTTTTAATCTGTACTTAATTAAAAGGGCTTGGCTTTTAGTAGAAAAATAAAGTAGTAAAATTAATTATCTATTTAAATTTAACATATTTAACTGTTTAAAGTAGTAGGCAATAGGTAATTATAAAATATAGCATTTAATTCTAAAAACTCTGTTTATTATAGGCTGTAAAGGCCTAGAAAAAAATAATAATTAAAAAAATTATTTTAAAAAAATAAAAAAATATCTGTAATAGCCCTTTACTTAGTATCTTAGTAATTATTTGTTTAAATATAACTAATAATATTTTTTTAATAATTCTTATAAAAATAGTAGTTTATAGAACTAATTTTTAAGTTTTTAAATTTTAAATATTATAAAATATAAAGATATACTTTATAATAGATATAAAAAATTTTATTAAAAAATAATATATTTTTTGAAAACTTTTTTATATTATTAATAACTTTTTTTAGGTAAAAATAAATAGCAGTTTCTAAGGATATATATAAGCTTAAAAAATTATCTTTTACTACTAATTTTAAAAAATAGAAATTTTATTTTAAAAAAATAAATATAAAATAATGTTTGAATTCTTTGTAATATATGTAATTTTAAGGTTAAAAAAAAACTAGCTTAAAAAACTTATTTTAGTTTAAGAATTATTATAGTCTGTAAAAATTAAAAAAATAAAATAAAAAAGTTTAATACTATTTTTAAAAATAGGCCAAATAACTGTAGTTAACTTATAATTCTAAAACTACTTTTTAAATAGTAGATATAAAAAATAGAAGTAGAAAAACTTTATAAAAATAGTATTATTTTAATTATAAATATATTTTTATATAAATATAATTTTTTATATTTTTATATACTGCTAAAGGCATCTGCAGTACTTTTTAGACCTAGCTGTTTTATAAGTAGAAAATTATATTTAAAGCCTAAAAATATAAAATAATTTATTATTTTTAGTAAAGCTTAATTAAATATAATAAATTAAAATATAAAAAAGCTTTAAAAAGGGCTGTTATAAAAATCTACTAAAATTTAGTATTTAGTATTTAATTTTTAATTAAATAGTTTTTAATAAGTACAATTACTAAAAAGACTAAATAGATAGTATAGTATAGATTTTACTTAAAAATTTAATTTATAATATATTATTTAGCTTTTTTAAATAAAGAAAATTAATAGACTACCTAAACTAAATTTAAAAAAATAAAAAGTAGACTAAAAACTGTATAATTATTTTCTATAAGGGCCTAAACAGCCCTTCCAACCTTTGCAGATATCTGCAAAGGGAAATATATATAGATAATCTAAGGTGGTGGCTATATAATAGCTAAGCAAGCCAGCTGCAGCCGCCTCTAAAAACAGCAGCTGCCTTATAAGTTAAATAAAATAGTAATAATATTTTAAAATAATATATTAGTATTTTTAGCTTTGTAACAGCTATTTATTTATTATACTATTTTATTTTTTAGCTTTTATAATTTTATTATTTAATATTCTATAAAATAGTCTAGTAAGTAATAGTTAAATATAATATATAAAGCTAAACCAGAAGTAACTTTTTTAATCTAATTATAAAAAATTATCTATTAACTATAGAAAATAAATTATTTATACTAAAAAAAAATACAGATTCTAATTTAAAATTTTTATAAATATTTATATTTATTTAAATAAATTACTAAGCTGTAGAAACAGCTAAAAATTAGTATTATAAAAAAATATTTATATAAAAATTTAAAAAACTCTAATACTAGTACTGTAGAAATTAAAAAAACTAATATATATATTAATTTATTTATAGATAAAAATAATATAATATCTATAACTATACTATTTATTATATATTTATTATTAAATAAAAGTTAACTATAAAAACTAATAACTAAAATAAAAACTAAAAATATATATTACAGTAGTTTATTTAAATTATATTTTAAATAATCTATAAAAAGATAAAATAGCTGAATTCTACTGTAAAAAAAATAAATTAGCTTTTATAAATTTTTTAAAATACAGTTAAAAAATTTTATAAATAAATAGTAGAAAGTTTAATAAAAAAATATTTAAAATTAAGTTTTATAAAAAAAACCAGAGTTTGCCTATCTATAGAAATAAAAAAATAAAAACTAAATTAAATTATAAAATATAAAATATTAATATTATATAGCTGTATTTATTTTTTATATTTTTTTTCTATAGTTTAGAAAAAGATCTGTAAACAGCAGATTTTTTTTATAATTAAATAAAATTTTATTATACTACTTATAAAATTATGTTTGGTATTAAGTTAATAATACCAATAAATAAAAAATAAAATATTTTATAAACAGATTTTAAAAAAAAAATTACAAATCTACTATTTTTATAAATAAAATTTAAAAACTAAAAATCTAAACTAATAGTTTTATAAAAAAAGTTTAAAGGCTAAAATAATTTTTTTAATACTATAAACACCTATAAAGGCCCCTAGATTAAAAACTTACTATAATTATAAATAAATAAATTATTAAATAAAAAATTACTAGTTAATTAAATTATTTATAAAATAACTAGTAGACAGAATTATAGTATTTATTTTAAACTAAATTAAAATTATAATTTACTTTAGTTTAAAATTAAAAAATTAGCTAATTTTTTATAAAAGAAATATTTTATAAAAATAAAAATTATTATAAACAGTAAAGCAGAAATAAATCTAGTATTTATAATATTTATTAAATAAATAAAGTAGCCAACTATTCCAGTAAAAATAATTATAAAAAAAGTTAAGTAAAAAAATATATAATTAACAAAAAACTATAATATTTATAATATATTTAAAAAAATATCTAAAAATACTATAAAAACTAAATAAGTTTTATAATTATAATATTGAGAACAGATAAAATAGTTTTAAAAATATTTTAAATAAAATGGTAAAAATTTATTATAAAATTTAATAAATATAAATTCTAGTTCTGTAAATACTGTATACCAAAAGTACTATAAATTATACTAAAAAAATTATACTAAAAAATTTTATAAAAATAAATTTTTATTTAGTAATAATATAAAAAATTTATAAAATAACTATTAACTAAAAAAGATTAGTATAGTACTATAAATATAAAATAATATTTATAAAAAAAAGCTGTAAGCTTATTTATATAAAAACTAAAAGTAGATTTAAAAATTAATTTTTATAAAAAATTCCAGCCAAAGCCGAAGTAAGTATATAAAATATTATTTATAAAAAATTTTTTATAAAACTACTTATAAAAAATACTTATAAAAAAATAGATTTAGTATTTTAAATTACTAGTAGATATACTAGTTTTATTTACAGATAAAAAAAATAAAAGTTTATAAATATATATAAACTACTATAAATTAAATAAATAAATAATAAAAAATATTTATTTGCTACTGTAAATTAATAAGTATATTAATTAACTTACAGGGGCTTTTTAGTTTATACAGCTAAATCTATATAAAGTCTACTATAAAATTAAAATTACAAATAAATATAAATAAAAAATAGTATTTTAAATAAAATATAAATTATTTAAATATTTAGTTATATTATTTAAACTAACTAATATATTTATAGAATTTAAAAATATATAAAATATAAGTCTATAAAATATTAAAAATATTATAAAATATAAAATTATATATAAAACTAAGTAAATACTGCTTTATAATAATAAAAATTAATTTTTTAAAAGTTTTAATTAGCTGTAAAGGTTTTTATATAAAACTAAAATATATTATAACTATTTATAATTAATTTAAACTACAGAATATAAAAAATAAACTAAAATTTATAGATTTTATAAATTAGTATAAATATTTTATTAAAAAGTATTTATAAATTATAGTACTAATTATAGACTTTACTAGAATATTTTATAAAAGAAAAAAAAAACTGGATATGGTTTTTTAATACTAAAAGTCTGTAAAAGCTTTTAAAAGCTAAAAAATATATTTATAAAAAATACAGTTATAATATATTTTAGAAAAAATTTTATAAATTAAAACAAATGCCTTGGCCTTTACAGTTAGTAAAATACTATTATAAAAAAATTAAAAAAACTAATAAAAATTAGTAGTATTGTATTTATAGAAAATAATCTCTACAAAGTAGAACTACAGTATTTATAATTAAAAAATTTTTATAATTATAAAATTATTTAAAAAGTAGTAATACTAGTTTAAAAGTATAAATTACCTGGTAAAAGTAGTTATAAACTATAAAAATTTTAAATATTTTATAACTAATAAAAAATTATTATAAAAATAAATTAAATAAATATAATATTTTATAGTATTTAAATTTTTCTTAATATATAGATTAGGTTTGCAGAACCCAGCAGACACCCTATTATAATAATTTAATTATAAAAAAAAACTATAGAAAAATTATAAAAAATTTAGAAAAATAGTACTGCAGTAGTTAAATAATTTTTTAAATTTAAAAAAAAGTACAGCTATTTTTATAAAAGTTAAAGTACTGTTAGTAAAAAATACTACAGCAGATTTAGATTAGCTAAAATTTTATATAAAAATAATAAAAATAACTATAAAAAAGAATATATATTATAAAAATTTATTTATTAATTTTATATAAAAGTTATTTTAGCTGCTGTAAAAGAATAATCTTATAAAAAAAGTATTTTAAATAAAATAAAAAAAACTATAGAAGTAGTTTACTTTATAGTAGAAAATATCTATAAAAAAATTATTTATAATAAAATATTAGTTAAAAATTATTTTATTTTATAAAAAAGTTATATATTTTAGATAACTACCAGCTAAGACTAAAAACTTTTATAAAACTATATAATTATCTTATTATAAAATATTTTATAAAAGTAAAAATCTAAAAATTAGTTTTATAAAAATTTTAATAGCTAAAATTAGCTAAATTTATATAAAGCTACTACTATATATATAAAATATATTAAAGTAAATAAATAATCTATAAAAAATAATATAAATTATTAAAACTACTATTATTTATTATAAAATTTATTTATACTAATTTTTTATAAATATTAACTAAATATTTTTTATTTTTTATAATAACTGTTTTAAATCTGCAGATAATAGCACTTAATTTATAAATATTAAATAATTTTATAAAAAAATTAAAATAATATTTTTAAAAAATTAAAAAAATAAAAAAAAAGATAGCTATAAATCTTAAGTAGATTTACAGATATTAAAAAAACTTTTTTAATAAAAATTATAAAACTACTATTTTTATAGTAGACCAGAAAATTTAGCTTTTTATAAAATATTTACTATAAAAAAATTAAATAAAAAACTAGACCAGTACTATTATAGATTATTTTATATAATTAAAAAAATAAATAAATAAATCTATAAATTAAAATTATTTATAGATTTTTAAATTTATAATATTTTTTATATATCTTTACTCTATAAATACTATATAATAAAAAAATAGACTTATAAAAATATTTTTTATAAAAAAATATAATTATAAATATTATTTAAAAATATTACTAAATTTACAATACTGTAAAGAAATAACAGAAATTCTGGTTAAGTAGAAAAAATACTATAATAAAAAAATATTTAAAAAATCTACTGTAAATCTATATTATTTATAAATTTATAAAAAATTTACCTTATAAATATATAAAAAACTTAATTAAATAATTAAAAAAAAGCTAAACTAAATATAAACTATAAACTATTTATAATTGTATATTTTATACAATTAATATAAGCTACAGTACTTATTTATAGTAGCTAAAAATTAAAATATATAAAAATATATTATTATTTTATAAAAAAGTAGTACTTACTATCTGTATATAAATAGTTATTATACTTTTAGCTAATTTTTCTGCTAATATAATTATAAAAAACTTTTTTAAAAAAAATTATAATAGTATTTATATATTTAGTTAGATAGCAGCTGCCGGCCAGCTTAAATTATAAAAATATTTTTATAAAATTATATTTAAATAGTTAACTATTTAAAATTTAATTATTTAATATATAGTATATACTATATAATAAATTTATAGATTTAAATCTATTTATAATTTAATAAAAGCTGTAAATCTGTTTAAAAAAAAAAGGCCGAATACTATAATAAATATTATTTTTAAATAATTTAAAAATTAAACTATAAAAAATAATTTGATAAAAAGTAAAATACTCTACTTTTTATTATTAGTCTAGTTATAGAAAGCTGGCTAATTTTAGTTAATTTTAAATATATCTATAAAAAATAAAAAATTTTAAAAATATAAAGGTGGAAGCTGCGGGGGCTGCTATAATATTTATTATTATAAACTAAAAAATCTTATTTTTTATATATAAATATTAATATATAAAAAAAAACAGCAGTAGTAATAACAGCAGTAGTATTAAAATTTATAGTAAAATTAAAAACTAAAATAAAAGCTAAAATAATAGTAGTAGTAGATATAATAAAAATAAATATATTTATAATAGTAGCAGCAGCAGATCTAGTAGCAGCAGCAGTAATAAAAATACTTTTTTTATAATAAAAAAAATAATAAAATATACTATAAATAGTTAGTTAAGTCTAAATCTATTTTATAAATAATTTATATAAAAAAATAAAATAAAATAAACTAATAGAGCCTGTAGATACAGAGCTTAAATAGTATACTATAAAAAAAATTAGTTTACTTTTATAAAAAAAAAAAATAAAACTAAATCTTTATAAAAAAAACTAATAAAATATTTTAAATATTACTATAAAAACATTAGCTAAATATTAACTTATAAAAGTATCTAGAAAAAAAATACTATATAAAAAAACTTACTAAAAGAAAAAAAAAATAGAAAAAGAGTTGTAGAAAAAAAAAACTAAAAATTTAAAAAAAAACCTTTTTATATAAAAAAAATTTTACTTCTGTAAGATTAGCTCTGCTAGTTTTAACTATAAAATATTTTAAACAATTAAAATAAATAAATTATAAAAAATTTAATACTATTTACTAAAAAAGAATTTTTTTAATTATAAAAAAAATTATTTATAGGCTATTATAAAAAAACCAGCTGGTAGATAATAAACTATATACCAGTAAAAAAATTCTATAAAAATAATAGTATTAGCAGTATAGTATATTTTTTTTATAAAAATATAAAATAATAAACTACCTTTTCTACTACTTTAATTTTTTATAAAAGTATTTATAAAGTAGAGATTTTAATAGTACTACTACAAAAGGCAATACTTTTCTATAAAAAAATAATTATAAAAATCTAAACAGCTTTTTTAATCTTTATAGATATTTATAAAAAAAATATATATAGATAATCTAAGATAGTAGTTATATAACAGCTAAGCAAGCCGGCCGCGGCCGCCCCTAAAAGCAGCAGCTGTTTTATAAGTTAGGCAAGGCAGCAACAACATCTTAAGGTAATATATTAGCACCCTTGGCTTCGCGAAAGCTATTTGTTCATCACATTATTTCACCCTTTAGCCCTTATACAAATCTTTGTTAAGATTTGAAGTGAACAGGATAATATATCAATAGTTAAACATTCTAAATCAGAAAGTGAAGCCAAACTATTCATCTAGACATAATCAAGGTATATTTATATTAAGTATCTACTTAATTTAATGCATGAGGGGCAGAATCTCCTTACACTTATATACTTCTGAAGGTGAAGTTTAGACCCTATACAGGCCGCTGCCTAAGATTGTGTTCTACAGCTCTTATAGTAAGCAGCTTTAAAATCTCTGATACCATTACAATGTCTAAAGTATTTTTATACTATAAATACTACTAATGTGTTATGGGACCGAGGCCCTGATATAGATCTTGACTAATATCATCAGTATAAATCTTTAACAACAAGGCCTGTACTGCTGGTAAATATAATATAACTGTTAACTAATATCTTAGCAATACTTGCGCTATCCTCCCGCTTACCAATTACATTACTCAGTTCAAGGGCAGTGATGAACTAGGAGATTGACTTCGTCCTTGAGATGCAGCTGAAGGAAAAGCAGGATTGGGGCTATATCCATAATACTACATATGTTTATTGGCTATCCGAGTAATCTCCGCCGCTACTTCGACTCCAACAGATGTGTCTGACAGGCGCTGGATAATCTCGCACAAGCGTTAGTTCGAATTTGGTAAAGTCTATTCGCCCTAAGCCTCCCCCACACATAATTTTCGACTCTCGAGCTTAAGAGTGCCCGCTGGGATTAATAACAACCAATTTTCCTTGATGGTGTGTGAAACAACACATTTGATTCTGTCGTCGGCCTACTCCCCTCTCCCTTATCGGCCCACAATTCCCCACCTTTGCTTTTCCTTATCTCTGATATGCCGTTTGACAAGTTGCAGAGAACTCTATCATTGATGTTGCTGAGACGGCAGTTCCGCTGGCCCACACGCCGCACCGCCGCCTTTGGAATTTTGGCTCTGCTAGTGGTCTCCAGTCTCTCGTGGTACCTTGGTGGTGGTAATTCTCCGGGTTGCAGCCGGCTTATCCTGCGCGCGATATTGTGCTAACTACCAATCCATGACAGATGGTCTCAACCCCGTGCATGAGCAACTATCCAGATACACGACCACTTATGACAATGCAACGAATGAGATTGGCTTGGTACTAGCAGCGAGGAAGCACGAAGATCTAAATTGGGTGCTGGGATATTGTAGGGATCAGTATGGCACTTTGAGGTCTCAATTGCCATATGTTCTTGTGTTGGCTGACGATTTTCGCCGCAGCGGGACAATTCCATTTGTCTACACCACTGATGCCAACCCGGCGCCTCATCTTTTGACTCCGCGTACGATTCGTGGTCGCGAGGCCACCGCCTACCTCTCCTTTATCATCGACTATTACGACAGACTGCCAAGTTACACCTTCTTCGTACATTCCGATCATGACCAGTGGCATAATGACCTCTTTGGCCCCCATACTGGGCCCATCCTGCGCAATCTCCGCTTGGAGGCTGTCGATGCGCGAGGTTATCTTAATCTTCGATGTGAGCATGAGCCCGGCTGTCCGACAAGTGTTCAGCCGTGGAGCCCGTCAAACCTCGATAAACAAAACCGTGATATCCGCGCCTATTTTGCCGAGGTATACCAAATCCTGTTTGATGTTCCTGCCGACCAAGTTCCAGAGCAGATTGGAAATGTCTGTTGTGCTCAATTTGCTGTTAGCCGGGCGCGAATTCTTCAACGGCCCCGATCAGACTACGAGCGCATGTTACGCTGGGCGGATGAAACAAAGCTGACAGACAGTTTTGGAGTTGGATGGGTATTCGAAAAGATTTGGCACATCATCTTCGGAATGGAGGCTATATAGTGAGTGATGCACGCACGCATATTAGAATTGGTTCCAGGTGAAACAGAGTAACATGCTTGGCTAAGCTGATATCTAGTTGCCCTCGATATGAACAATGTCGGTGCGACGCGTATGGTTGGTGTGGACCTTTGGTATCGGGTGAGACTCTAACAGCTGTGTGAGCAAATCAGCGTTATGATGGAGCCAATTATTCTACTTGAAATATAGAGTGTATTATCTTAATTGAGGTAATGTATAGAACTATTAGAAATACTCTCTGTTGAAGCCGAAAGGAATTACAGTTTGTAATGCAAATTCGGCTAAGAATGGGCGGTGGTATGCGCTGAATCTTTTTGCATTTCAGCATTATCCCACACTTAAGTGTGTGGGAAAGAACGTTCTGTACCCATTCATATAAAAAGCAATGAGCTGCTATTGTGATAAAAGACCTGATGAAAAAGTCCTAAACACGCCGGCAATGTACACCGTTAGAAAGAATCTTGAGAGAGATTTGATCTCTCTATTAAGATCATGGAGGTACTAAGAAATACAGCGGCCTTCATTATCTCTCTAGACCGGAATTTAACTAAAGCACCTAAGACTGCTCTAGCTGCCATAGGTACAGGGCTGGCCGTAGTTGTGACCGAGTAGGCTTAGTAGAGGGATGTTTGGTCGGGGCTTGCTTAAAACCCTTATTATATAATATATAAAATTGTGGCTTCTTTATAATAAACAAACATATCTTATATGCCCGACAATTCGAAACTTGCTCCAAAGCCGAAACTGTAAGCTTTGCAATAAAGATATAAATAGTTAAGAGCTGGGAAAATTAGTAAAAAGATCCTAGTACAGTGGTCCAGTGCTACAGGATGCTCAGGAGTTGAATTTACTGTTGCCTCAATTATGTGCGCGCTAACAGCAACTAAGTGTAGGTGCGAGACTTTACTCCCCCGCGCCTAATTGTAGTTCCGAGTCGAAACATGAGCCATTATGTTCTGATGGAAGGCGGGCTGGCGAGGGGTGAAAGGGGCTGTGCAGCCTTTCCTATTTCTTAATTGGCCTAAACATAAGTACTATTCTGCATCTGAGCGATTGCGTTCAGCCTCATCATTGGAAGACTAAAGTGGGTCTTGAGAGCGACCGGATCCAGCCCAGACTACAGGTGAACTGGCCTAAGGCTGCCACCTGGCCTAAGGCTGCGAAGTTGCAAGCCTGAGGCAGCAGCCTGGCATATCTGCAGTGGCAGGCTTGGCAGGCCTTGAGGTGGCGAACTGGCGAGCCTAAGGCCACAAACTGGCCTGAGGCCGCGAACTGGCCAATCTGCCCACATTGTTGACAAGTTGTGAAGTAGCAATTAAGAAAGGGCTTATATCCTACTCGGCCGCGTTTAATAGGTGGCTTAAGTACAGCTAAGCGGATGGGAAGCCCTGTTTTCCACACCCGGTGGTTGTATGTGCTTGGTTTTGTCTTAAGGAACATCATATACAACACAAGTCACACATGGCACGTAAACAGAACAATGACAGTATGGAAGAAAGATTGGATAAAGGTGTTGGAAAGAATGCTGCAGATGGATCTTCCACAAAATGCGCAAACTTTGCAGATTTGGCGGACAAGCAACCGAGGGATTCCCCGGGGGTACCCGCTCAATATAGCTTGGTACAGCAAGCCTTTGCTTATATACAACTAGTTTTCCCCTAGGTCCTCGACTAGCTATCTCGCTACCAGAATGGGCCTATGAGGGGGACTGTGTTGGGGTAACTGGGTCGACAATGTGGCCCCTTCCGTCGTTCCGCGGAGACTTCCCCATCAGACTAGATAAGCTTCAGCGTTGTGAGTTGTCGGATTGCGACACTTATCTTTGATCTGCATGCCCGGATCCGAACCTTATTCCTAGCCGAGAAAACTTCCCCGACGATCCAATACCCCATCCCACTGTCCATTCGTTGCATCGGTCTTGCTCGTATCCGCCAGAGAGGTCCATAATGCTGTGGGGTTCCGGCCAGGAAACAGCCAAGCGATCGCATACCAAGGGCTCACAATAATCCTGCGTACATATACCCGGCCTCGCTGCTCATCCCTTCCTTCCAATTCAGTGTGCTTCCCCCCAGTTCCCTCACTCACCATGTCCTCCATCAGCCTGGATTCGTTCTCCCCCGCCGAGGTGGTCGAGCTCATTGCCCGCACCGGCGCCACCAAGGGCCACATGCGCCTGGACAAGGTCTTCTTCAGCGCTGTATCGGCTGGCTCCCTGCTCGCCTTCGCCTGTGGAACCTCCCTGAGCACCAATTCCTCGCCTTGGTTCACGGAGAATGCACCCGGGCTGCTCCGCACCATCAGCGCCTTGGTCTTTCCCTACGGTCTGTGCATGATCATCCTCACCGGAGCTGACCTCTGCACCGGTTCTTTCATGGTATTCTCGATCCCTGTCCGAGCTGGTGGCTGCACAAAATCTGACCCCCGGCTTTGGTAGTTCACCACCGTCGCTGCCCTCCAACGCCAACTCCCCTGGTGGAAAATGCTCCTCCACTGGTTCGTCACCTTCTGGGGCAACCTGTGCGGCTCTCTCTTCGTCGTCGCCATCATCTTCGGCTGTGCGTCCCTTCTTTGCCCCCTAGTCCTCTCCCTCGCCATGCTCGTAATACTAACCTCCACTCCCACCCCCCCCCACAGATGGAGGCATCTTCACCGCCGACCCCTACAAATCCGAAGCCATCGACTACGCCACCAAGAAGCAACTCACGCCGTCCTTCCACGAGATCCTCCTCCGCGGCATCGGGTGTAATTGGCTCGTCTCCCTCGCCTGTTTCTTCGGGCTGCAGGGCCGCGACCTCGCGTCCAAGATCATCGGCATCTGGTGGCCCATCTTCGCCTTCGTGTCCATGGGCTTCGACCACGTGGTCGCCAATATGACCTTCATCCCGCTGGGGATCTGGTTGGAGGCCCCGGGGCTCTCGGTGGGGTTGTACATCTGGAAGGGAATCATCCCGACCTTGATTGGGAATATCCTCGGTGGTGGCTTTTTTGCGGGTAGGTTTCTTGCTCGAGGCTCTGGTGGTAGAGGGTGAAAAGACGTGGGTTATGCTGACAATCTCGTACAGGGACGTATTATTGGTATATGTATCTTGTCGATGGAGGGAGTGTGGGCTTGGCGGGGCTGAGGAGGCAGAAGTACAGCGGGGAGGTGGGGTCGGGGGGGTCCAGTCCGGGAGGGGACATGCTCGATGTCGAGGCTGCCGCTGCGGTGGAGGATGTGAAGAGGGCGTGATGGGGGGTGTGATGAGACCATGATCAAATAGATCCTCTCTGTGGAATATCAGGACATTACACAGATGAGATGTGACGCTGTCCTATTTCTAGCTCCCAATAATAGACACTCCAATTGCACCGGGTGGGTGGACCACTGTTGTTGGCAATATATATCTCTACGTAGGCAAGAATAAAGTGTTTCACAAAACTCCCGAATTATTCTAATTAAAGGTATGTTTAGGGCAGGATTATCTGGCTAGTAGTCCAGAGAGGTGCGAAATACCCTGTATGTATACTGCATCTAGTTTCACCGGTTCTCAAAATATATGATTTTTGTTCATGGTAAGAATAGCACTCTTATGATGTTCCGGCCGATTGTCTGCCCTAGCATTGAAAAAGAACAGCAAACCAAGCTGAGAGCCCCATTTCAACAATTGGGGCTGTGGTTTAGTGGTATAATATTCCCTTAGCATGGGAGAGGTCCGGGGTTCGATTCCCCGCAGCTCCATATTTTTTATTTTTTGTGTCTTTTCTCTATCTATCATTGCCTGAGGCACGAAATACCCCGTCCCATTGATGGGAGCAGTTTCTCTCATCAGTTGAACAACCGCCAGCTAGCCACACTGTCCATGTGTGATCGTTTAATAGTCTTAATGCGCTAGTATTAGCTTGTGTAGCCAGACGACCAGCCGGAAGAATATGCACTAGCTAGAATTGTGTTGTCATGGGACCGCTCACTTGCAGTAGCCTCTTCTTAGCTTTAGCTCAAGCCCGCACCCGTGGCTGTAACCCACGTTGGATGAGCTCAACACCTAACCCTTATTTCTATATATTCCGCTCTCTGGATCAGCCAACCCGCACCTGTGGCATTCTCACCAGCTTGATGTACTTTCATAACAAATTTTGCCAGTTCAAACTCCCTCCAAAGCTATCGAGAATACCACCCAGATGGACAGTTTCTTGGTTTAGCCGGAAGGTATCCCGGCTCAGCCCAACGACAGGGGTGTCTTCTTAGTGAGCACTAGCCTTTCCCTATCTTACAGCTTCCCCCAATGGTAGAAAGGTAATACAGGCGAGCTATAGACATCCTTTTCGATGGCTAGATTGAGCATAGCCTAGCATGGCTGCGGGTGTATAAAGTGTGGAAACCGGTTATCCGACCACAACAGACGAGCTGCTAGCTCTGCGCAACGGCTGAGGCGGAGTACCCTCCCATATTACGCCAGGGGGAAGCCCGCGTCTTTAAAAGACCCTAAGTCGCTGCTGGTCGCTGCGACTAGTTATCTGGCACTCGATAACTCCCACCCAAGATGGCTCACCCGGGGCGTGTATGGAGCAGCCTGCTACTCTCATTGCTGCTCTTCACTTCGCAACAGTCTCTCGTCTACGCCGATGGATTCACCTTCCCAACCGATGATGTATATCAATTCATTGTCGGAGACCTGGTCAATGTCACCTGGGATTGGGTGTCACCACGCATCTCGCTCTATGAAGTCTGCTCCACGGCCGTCCTTCTAGAATGTAGGCCCTTCAGCCCCATCAATCCCATCAGCTATCGCAGACACAAGCACCGCTAACACAGATAATCAAAAGCCAATGTCTCCGACACACAAAGCTACGTCTGGAACGCCACCCGTGACAACTACAAGGAGTCAGGCTGTGTATTCGAGCTTGTCCCCCTCACGGCCGACGGCTCTCTCAACCCTCCCAACCTAACCAGCGTCATCATCGGCGTCAGCAAGCGATACGCCGATGACCCAGCACCGACATCCTACAACTTCGGAGGCACATCCTCCTCGACCGCGACCTCCTCCGCCACTGCTTTTCTATCAACGACAACAGCATCCTCATTCACTACAACCGCAACTGCCAACCCATACACCGCAACCGCAGAACCAGCATCGGCGACAACATCGTCCTCCACTGCCAACGAAACACCCACATCCATCGCAAAGGCAGGTCTCACCACCGCCCAGAAAGTGGGGATCGGGCTCGGAGTGCCGCTGGGGGTCCTAGCACTATCACTGGCCGGGGCATTGATCTTCATGTACCGCCGTCGGCAGCGACGAAGACGCGAGGGTGAATCGTCTGCACAGTTACCATTACCGCCATCGCAGCAGCAGAGCTCACAGCATCTGTACTATGCGGTTCCGCCAATGGCCGAACAGCCGAAATCCCCGTTTGATGGGTCACGGATGTCGCGGGTGTCCGGAGCAGAGACGCTGATTGCGGAGCTCCCGGCGGCGGAGGTCGAAGCCCCGTCGGAGAGGGGGGATAGTCTGCGGCCGGTTAGTGAGCTCATGGGTACACCGAGGAATGAGTTAACTTGACGGCGAGGGATGTTGGCTGAGGTGCAAGGTGGGGCTTATTGATTATGATTTGAAGTTTGATGATGGATCGTGAGCTGGACCTTGGATTACGGATATATAATGTCTGCATAACATGATGAAAATAATTTGGATGTATTGGGGGTTCAGTCTCCGTTGTATATACTGGTGGCACACCATGTGACTGGAACAATTAAACCGTTTTGTTTATCTTTTCTGTATGCCGGGATATAGTATGGGAGCTAGATCCGGTGTCGACATTACAATCTCATTCAAACTTTTTATACAGCCTGAACCTGCGTACTGAATAACAATGATGATGAAGGGCTTGTTATACAAATAACTTAACAGCTATATGTCTTGCGCCATTGAGTCACATGATGGGCATGGTGTGACCCGCGCGCTGTTTCCTGTGTTTGTTCTGTTTGGCCCGTTTGTCTTGCTTGCACTGTTTGTCTCCCCCACACGCCTCGAATCAACAACGAAACCGGAAAAGAAGACAACAACAACAACCATGCGAAGAATGTACGGCCACTTCAGTCTATTATCTAAGAGTGTATTGAAAGAACATCAAGTTATGCCCTGTCAGCTTTGCCGTGCCAGTTTCCCAAGACTATCGATGAATAAGTCCAGCAGCCGCAAAGCGCAGGCCTCATCCACGCGACCCTCGTACCACTGAAAATCCACCTGTAGCCGATCCTCAACTTCCTCCACCCCAAGGAAATAAGCATAGGCCCAGAGATCCCGGATAGATTCTGTCTTAAACTCGACCGATCTCCGTGCGGTCTGTGCTACGTTGTCGAATTTACGATAATTCACAACACTGTTGAAAAGAGGCTGTCCACCGGTAACCACGCGTTGGATCGCGTCCAATGGACATCCTTCATACGCCACTGCCTCGGCCATCTCCTTCTGAACAGTCCGAGAGATCTCTTCAATCCTGAGGCCTGCGTTAGTCTGCACGGTGCAGGGGTGGAAATTCAGACATGATCCCACCACTCCTTCTGGGATCCCATGTCGTCCTGCGGCTACGATGCCGAATGCCACGGTCTGGCGACCTAGCTGATGGCCAACTGCAGACGCCCAGCCAGCTAGTACCATGGATCGCGGAGTGGTTGACTCCTCTCGGCTTCTCTTCCGGAGCGATTCGAGGATCGGAAGGCCACCTGGCACCGTGTGATTCCTCCTGCCCCCGGCAGTGGCCCGCGATACAGTATTGCCATCGGCACTGGCCTGAGCCTGGATACTTCGACCAGCGCCCCTGAAACCAAGGATGCTCTGCAGACGCCAAAGGAGGAGCTCCGAGCCCAGCATGGGAACTTAAACGAAGGGCTCCACGAGTACCTGCGCGAGGATGAACGATTTCCGACCGTAGGATCACGGGTGTTTCACAACTATGCTCGAAGCTATCCTGAGATTGTGAAGAGATGGGTGAGTACGCCCCAACAAACAACCAAGCCATAAGCATTGCTTGCTAAAAAGATCCCAGTTTCCTGGATATAACATCGACTCGTGAGCGTACCGCACAGGGTCTGGTACCTGGGGTATAATCTCTTGGGAATCGGCTAAACCGTTCAACCGGCTTTCCTGCTGGAAGGCAAAACGCCTCAGGTTTAGGTACTTGCTGTTTGGTATTTCTCGTAGGGGGTACCTCCGGAGTATGCTCCAGACTACTATGAAAACCCACGGGCAAAGAAATCAATTGAAGACTAAAGGTAGTAGAAAGCATCTGTTGCTGCATCTGAGTTCTCAGGTCTAAGTACCAAGAGCGACAAAGGTTGTCAGGTATCTGGTTACCTTTTGGCCGAACAATGAGGGTTATTTCCGTCACGGTCGCATATCGTGAGTTCGATTCCTGGTGGAGTTAATTCTTCTCTGGGGACGAACGAATAGTGCAAACAATGGAATACTCCAAACATCACCGAACACAACATCAATGTAACAGTCCAGGCATTGAGCTCGCTCTGCCTGGAATCGATTCGACCATCCCAAACCCATACAGTTCACAAAGGGTGTCCGCGGTACGGGATGTGTCAATCACCCAACAAGGACTTAGCCCTTCCAATCTCCAAGGGGTAACCAGATACCTTTTTGCCCAACGGCCAAGGGCTAGTTCTCTTACTACGTCTCTTTTTGAAGGTTTCTATCGCTCTGATTAGATACCTTGATTGGCTCAGCTCAATTAGACATTTTTACCCTTTGTCATGAGCAACGAACTATGTCCGTATTTCACAATCTTAGACTTCAGTCGCTATTTTATCTCATCATATCTTCTGGCCATGCAGGATCGAGGCATCAACATAGTACCAGTTTTAGCCACCGTTTCAGCTCCGAGCTTCTACTTTCAACATCTATTGTATCCTTGATAATCTGAAGATGATCCGCTTATTTACGTAGGTGCCATGCTCAGTCGAGGTCACCATCGAAATATGATAGCCTGTCGAAGGTATGATACCAATTCAGCAACAAGATGCCCCACAACCAATGAGCCCAGAAGGCAATTACTGTTGACAGCGCGGGAACAAGTGGATCTCAGCGACGGCAGACAGCGATTGGGAGGCTGAGGCTCATGACAAGCCAGGCCCAACTGTAATGTCGCGATGAGTCCACGACCCAGGCAGTCAACCATCACGGTATTCTTTATCCGGTATCAGATGATATCACGACCACTGCAGCTGCATGCTCTAGGCGTGAGTCTGAATACATGTTGTATTGACCTAGCCGGACCCGTGGCGCTGCGTCTAGGCAATCGCGCTCGCATGCTGCCGCGTAAACAATGGTAAACAACCACAAACAAGTTTGGGTTGCAAAATTAGACCTTATAGACTGTTCGCCAATTCGAGATGACAGCAGCTCGTCATACACATCTTGCAGGACACATTCATATTTATGGTTCAGCTGGGGCTAGGGTTCCCGAAAGCTTCGTGACGTGTGAGGAGCATGGAGATCCCGACTGCCCGGCGCCAGACCATGGAATCTTCCCACTCCATCAGCAAACATGTGAACGCTTATGCGGTGCGATCTGGAATTGCCCACACGTGTCCTGCGTTGTATCAAGGTCTGAATGCGGCAAATTCAGGGCTAAGTTGCCGATGGGTCTTGCCCTTCCTGGCATAGGCTCTTGTAGTACGACTATGAAAGTTTTGCTGTCCACACCAGGTTTGCCGAATAAAAAAGTTTGAATAGCTTCAATGCTGTGGCTTGAGTGATGATATCTGCAAGCACTACAGTTAAGTCTGTAATTTATTTTCTGTTTGTTGTCGCACCCCTCTGGTCATGGGGTCAGACCTCGAAGGCTATGCACCGCGTCGTAGCACGCCACAAACTATCGAGCTTGTCAGACCGATGCTTCAATCCTGCTATTCAGACCTGCGATACATAACAGAATTCTACTATGACTAGTAGACTATGTAATTGAAACAGAGCTAGAGTATTTCAGGTTCTGAGCCAAAAAGAAGGATCACATATCTTTCAAAGGGACACACACCGCCAATGTCGACGCTGAGGGTATACGTATAAGTGGAATTATTCCTCAACTTCTATTCAAAGCTCTGGACCTTTTCACACTTGTCATTCAAAATCCGAATTCAAAACCGAGTGGAGAACCCAAAACCGAAGAAAATAGCTTGAATTTCTCTTGCAGACCGAAATCGGAAATGGGTTCCTTGTTTCAATCCACTATCGACAGGATCATTTCATCCCACACCGCAAAAGCTCCTCAGGCGACGGCTGTTGAAGATGGCGACCGCAAGATGTCTTATCAGGAGCTTGAGCGGAAGGTAGTCAACCTCACCTCCATGCTCGCGGAGCACGATCTCAAGCATGAAGAGCCAGTTTGCATCCTGGCAGATCTCGGCGTTGAGGTGGTCGTCGCTCAGCTGGCTGTCATACGCCTTGGCCTGACATGCATTCCCTTGATTACATGTACACCCAGGCTTCGCCTTATGAGTATTCTGAAGGATGTGGGGGCAAGATGTGTTCTTTCAGACTCGGCAAACATTCCTCTGGACAGTGAATTCACAGTCCTTCCCATCACTGTCGATGGCGAAGAATGGCAAGGCCACGACGCCGATCGTGCGGGGTGTGCCGACGGTGTCGATGGCAACCCAAGTTCATTTCTTGAATGCCAAAACCCCAACTATCGTACTCACATCCTGTATACCTCTGGATCTACTGGAAAGCCCAAGCCGGTGCAGGTTATGGAGCGAAGTATCCTGCATCTAGCGTCCAAGAGCCCGCTCGGAATCCTGGACCCAACCGACAAAGTCGCCGTCATCAACAACCCCGGCTTCGACATCTCCCTCTTCGAGATATTCACTGGCCTGATCGGAGGAGCGACGCTCGTGATCGTGCCTCGCACGGTGGTCACCGACCCCTTCACCTTCCGCGAGTTTATCACCGAGAAAAGACTTTCGGTCATCTATCTGACCTCCACCTTGTTTGGTATCATCGCCCACGCCTGCCCGACCACCTTCCACAACGTCAAGCATCTTCTGATCGGCGGAAGTGCTGCCAATGTGGCAGCAGTAAAGGCTGTTGTGAATTCGTCTCTGCCGCCGAAATATTTCTGGAACACGTACGGCCCTACCGAGATCACGACACATGCGGCGATGCACTTGGTAACCCCATCAGAATTCAAGTACGATAACATCGGGCTCGGGAAACCTTTTGGCAATGGGCGCCTTTGTCTGGTGAATGAGGATCTCAGTACCATTACCACCCCGGGCGTTGTCGGTGAGGTTCTCCTTACTGGACCCGGCTTGACACGTGGATACGTTGGTCTTTCTCAAGAGAATGAGTATCGGTTCCTGCAGCTCGAAGACGGCCTGCGGTACTACCGGAGCGGTGACCGAGCGAAATGGAGAAAAGGCGAGGCAGATGTTCTCGAGTTCGCCGGACGCACGGACTTTCAAGTCAAGCAGGGCGGCTTCCGCGTGGAGCTTGAAGAGATCCAGCATATGCTACTCTCTAGCGGTCAGCTCGTGGGGGCTGTCGTCGTTCAGGTACCCGGAAGCAGCGTGACCGTGGGCGCGTTCATCGTTGCCTTCGTCATTCCAGCAATCGCCGATACCCTACGCGTCGGAGCGTTGGAGGAATATCTTGGGGAGAGGCTGCCCGGATATATGATCCCAAGCGATATCGTGTTCTTCCAGGAGTTTCCATTGAACGATCACGGGAAGATTGATCGCAAGGCCTTAATTCAAACGTACCTCATGGAGCGAGAGCAGCAGAAGTCCGAATTCAAAGACAGTCGTGACACCGCCACCATCGTCAGGGGGCTCTGGTCCTCGTTGCTCAACAAACCATCTTTCAAGCAAGACGATGACTTTTTCCGACTGGGGGGCACCTCGCTGCAGGCGGCGGCCCTGATTGCCAAGCTGCGCGAGCACACGGGCAGAACAATTTCCATGCGAGGTCTGGTTGAAAACTCCCGTCTCCACGAGCTGGTCGCCTATCTGGGCGAATTTGTCGAGGGGGGCAATGCTCCCGACGACGCCGATTGTTGGATCGCTGACGCCCGACTGACCGATGACCTGAAGATTAATCCGGCCTGGTCCGCTCAGGATTGGGACTCAGTCATCGACTGGACTGCCCCAGGGGAAGGACGTCTTTTCTTGACCGGTGTCACCGGGTTCGTGGGGGCCCATTTTCTCTTTCGCTTTCTCAATATGCCGGAAGTGCAGGAGGTTGTCTGCCTTGCGCGCGCGAAGAGTGGCCAGACACCCCGTCGGCGCGTGGAGCACACTCTCAAGCGCTATGAATTCTATGAACGAGTCGCCCATCACCTGGACAAGCTGACTGTTCTCGAAGGCGATATCACACAGACGGACCTTGGGTTATCCGCCAGCGACTACACCCAACTGGCGGACAGGACCAGCGCGATTTTCCACATCGCGGCAAAGGTCAACTACTGCGAGCCATACTCGGCCCATTTCAAGCCCAACGTTCTAGGAACCAAGAACCTGCTTGAGCTGGCTGCGCAAGGCCGCAGGAAAGCCTTCCACTACATGTCCAGTCTCGACGCGTGGGGTGCTACCGGTCTCATCTACGGGACCCGGGTGCTATTGGAAGACGAGCCTCTTCTCCCACACATCGGGTCCCTTGCATTTGACATTGGCTACGCATCTAGCCAGTGGGTCGCAGAGCAGATGGTCCGCGGTGCCCGCGACCGCGGCCTTCCCGCCGTGATCTATCGACCCGGGTTCGTCATCGGGGACACGCAACACGGCGCCGGCAATCCGGACGACTTCGTGTCCCGTCTGTTCATGGGATCGATTCGCCTCGGTGCGTTCCCGCATCTCCCCAACCAGCGCATGGAGTTCGTCACGGTGGATTACGTCTGCGATGCGACGTTGCATATCGCCTCCAAGAAGAGCAGCTTCGGTCGCTCGTACTGCCTGGTGCCGCCCTCGCCCGCAATCTCCGTGGATATGGAGAAGACGTATGAGATTCTGGTCGAAGCAGGCTATGCGCTCCGCTTGCTTCCCTACTGGGACTGGGTCCGCGAGCTTCAGGAGATCGAGGATCAGGACAATCCGCTGAACCCCCTCCTCCCGATGCTGCAGGAGCCCGTCATCAGTGGGCTGTCACGGTTCCAGACGAGCCGGCAGACTCCTTGGTACGATTGCTCCAACACCCTCGCAGCGCTCAAGGATGCCCCGGAGATCAAGTATGCGCCGCTTAGTGTCGACTTGCTGACCACGATCCTGCGGTTCTGGCGGCGGATTGGGGCTTTTTGAGGCGGGTTAGGGCTGATTGCGGCATTGAGTTTCCCTGGTGCTGACGGCGCAGCTATTTGTGAAACACTCTCTTGACTATTGTCCCTTTGCGCTCGATGAAGGCGTTTGCCCTGAATCATTGTGTACTTGGATAAGTGAAAATCGCGAGATGACTATGTAGGGTGGATCTAGTAGTATAAAAAAATACAATTGCAATTGCCAAGAAAGCTTGAAGATCAGAGAGGTCGCATGAAAAGTCTGGAGTACAACTTGAGCTACCTTAACGGAGAGCGTGCTTTCCGTATGTTGCTATTTTTAGATGCAGTATTACTCGTTATCAATTGCGATGGTACTGAATTAATTGGTTAACTGGGCGGCCCAATCACTAAGACAATTGGGATTCACAAATCAAGGCTAAAAAGGCGTCAGCACTGCACACCGCCAATCTGCTCTATAACATGCCAAGGGCCTGCCCCTCGCAGTACGTTGGCTGATCAACTTTGGATGCCACCAAAGTAACATTATTTGTGGCTGGCTGTCTATTGCGCCTTGCCTAGCCACAATGAGTCCGAGCTCGACGCAGCTTATACCTATCGTATTGACAACCTGTGCCTCACTTTTTGTCCTGAGCGTTCCTTTCAGGCTCTGGAAGCCTCATAAATCTAGTACCCGAAATCCTTCACGCTGGCTGGGACGTTTGAACACTGTCAGTACCTTCCTTTCTACCTGGAACGAGTAATTAATGTAGGCAACACGGTAGGTCTTGGCAATTTCCCTGTCTGTGGTTTTATCTTACTACTGGGTCCAAATCTCGACCCTTGACCTTCAACATAAGACCGAAATCTTGATCTCAATTTTTGCGTCTATTATTGCTGGGTTAAGCTTAGGCTTGCTCCTATACAAGGAGCATCAACGAGGTTATGGACCTTCCGTCCTAGCGTTAGTCTACATGGTAGCAGCTGTTGTATGCGACGTTGGTTACCTGAGGGTAATGCCTGACGAGTCAAATGGCAATATCTCACATGTGATCTTTACTCGCTGTGGTCTGCACACGACGCTTCTCATTATCGAGCTCTGCACCCCTCGATGTTCAATTTTGGACGGTGTGACCAAAGAGCAATCCCCAGAGGAATGCCGCGGTCTCGTCAGCAGGACCTTGTTTCTATGGATCAATCCTATCCTTCTCCAAGGATACAGGAGCATTCTCAGCCAGGAAAATGTGCCACCACTGCGTCAAGATATACACCCAGCAATTACACGGGAATCAATACTGGAAACATGGTCTCAGCGTGGTCTGTGTATGCCCCTTGAGCGATCACATGCATCTTGCTAAATCAGACCAGTCAAACCCGAGATAAAGCGGACATTGCCAATGGCTCTGTACCAATGCCTAAAAAGACCCTTCCTCGCAGCTGTTGTTCCACGACTATTTCTCCTTGCCTTTCGCTACTCTCAGCCGATATTGATAAAAGAGTGTATCCGATACGTCAATTCAGGCTTTACAGGCAGTGGCAGTGGGCGCGGGGCTGTGCTCATTGTGTCTGCCCTTGCGATCTATGGTGGTCTCGCTGTAGCTCTCCCTCCAGCCCTCAAGCTTCCCCCTAGTCTAATGTCTCATTCCAGCTCTCGACCGCTATATACAGACACCGCATCAACCAATTGAAACTCATGACGAACAGCGCGCTGGTAAGCCTAATCTACGACAAAACCATGAAGTCGCCCAGCATCACTTACAACAACGGCGAGGCAACCACGCTCATGAGCACCGACGCGGACAGTCTCGATGGCATCGCGGAGATGGTTCATGAAACATGGGCTCAGGTTGTCGAGGTGTTGATCGGGATCGGGCTTCTGGCCAGCCAAGTCGGCTGGATCTGGCCCCTGCCTCTTTTTCTTATATACCGTGGGCACATGATTCCGCTAATATGAACCCGAAGCTAAAGGTCTCTTAGTCTGTTCGCACATGAGCCGATTCGTCGCAAAGCACCTGCAGCCGCGGCAAAAGGCCTGGAATTCAGCGACGCAGCAACGGATAGGCGCTACCGGCTCTCTACTGAGTGCGATGAAAGGAGTGAAGATGCTTGGGATTCAACACAATTTGACCGATCGCATTCAGCAGTTGCGAGAGGAAGAGCTACTGGCTGCTTCAAAGCTGCGTTGGGTTATGGTATACTACAATGCATCAGGTTTGTTACGCACATTTTATCCCCTAAGTTCTACCTTGGTGTTGAAACTAACGAGCAAACAGCCAATGCCCTTGGAATCTTCTCCCCGGCCATCACCGTGGTAATTTATGCTCTCATCGCGGTTGCTCGCGGGGGCATGCTGGATACTGAGACGGCATTCACCACCATGGCCATCCTGAGCATGGTCACACATCCTGCCAATATGGTCATGACGATTGTTCCGCGTGCAGTAGCTGCTTTCGCTGGCTTTGAGAGGATCCAAGCATTTCTCTTGCGTGAAGACCTACCATTCAATCGTGCGATACTAGCAAAGGGAACCCATGATAGATTCTCCGGGGATCGGGTCACTGGCGAGATATCAGAGCCAGCCGACCTTATACAAATCAGTCAGCTGCGTATCGGCGATGAGCACCCGGTATTAGAAAGCATTACCCTCGACATAGCGAAGGGATCCTTTGTGATCGTCTCCGGCCCAACGGGCAGTGGCAAGACGAGTCTACTGCGCGCCATACTGGGAGAAATTGTCCCTGCCCATGGCTCGATCAATGTGTCCACGCCAAAAGTAGCCTATTGTGCGCAGAAGCCGTGGCTACCTAACACGACAATCAAAAAGGCAATTTACGGTGCTACGGTGGCGAAGACGCGGGAAAGTGAGAAGTGGTATCATGAGGTCACAGAAATGTGCTGTCTGACCCATGACTTCAGCTCCCTTCCTGATGGAGATCAGACTGTGTGTGGCAGTGGTGGGCTGAATCTGTCGGGTGGACAGAGACAACGAGTGGTATGCTTACTGCATGCATTCAAAGCTTACTTGGCTAATGTTTCCAGGCACTTGCACGGGCTCTCTTTGCCAAATGCGATCTACTCCTACTTGACGACACTTTCAGCGGCCTTGATGGTGACACGGAACAGAAGGTCTTTGACAACATTTTTGGGCCCGACGGACCTGTTCGAACTCTGAATACTACTGCTGTTCTTGTCTCAAACTCAGGTACACCACCAAATACATCTTCACGAGTCCAGGTACTGACTACAGGACAGCTCAGTACTTCCAATCTGCGGATTACATCGTGGTTCTCGGCGAGCATCGAATCGTAGACCAGGGACGCTGGGAAGATCTGAAAATCAAAGCTGCATCCATCGAGAAGTTCTCAGGCAGTCAACACACGCCGAATAATGCTGTTCTGACCGCCAAGTACGAGACGCTTGGCGCTCAACTGCGAGCCAAAGACGAGACTGAAATGGATCTTGCAAGGCAGACGGGGGATCCCGCTCTCTACGGTAAGAGTACAATTCGCAATCCAGTACATTACTGACTTGGACACAGCATACTATCTGAGATCCATCGATATCATCAATCTCATTCTTCTAATTACCACGAGCGCATCATACAGTATCTTCATTACGATCCCGCAGTACTGGCTGCGACTGTGGACCGAGTCCAATGGCAGAAACACCGTGTTTTATGTGGGTGGATTTCTGTTTCTGTCGACTATCTCGTGGATGTCAACTAGTGTCATGATGGGGTAAGTCTATCTTAGCTTTGAAAGCCATGTTCTGGTGCTGACAGGTAGAAGAATCCTTGTTATTCGGATTGCACCGCAGTCTGGGAAACGACTGCATCAGCGTCTTCTAGATATAGTCGCAAAGTCAGTACCATCGGCTCTCAGTGTTCGAACTGAGACATACCAGGCGATGCTAAACATTCTTCAGTGCACCTTTGTCCTATTTCTCCCAGACCGACAACGGTTCAACCTTGAACAGGTATGGTTTAGTTATTGTGGGTATCGATCGATATATTTTAACGCCTACTAGATTTAGCCAAGACATCCAGCTGATCGACAAGCAACTCCCCACAGCCTTTCAGACTGTCATGACTCGTACGCCGTAAGCCCCCGACGTCAGAATATCCCCAACTAATCACCCAGTCAGAGATTTTCAAACTCCTGATGCAAATCGCCCTCTTGTGCATCGCCGACAAATGGCTCGCGGTATCCCTCCCAGCCTGCGGGCTTCTTGTCTACTTCGTACAGAAAGTCTACCTCCGAACCTCACGACAACTCCGCTTGTTGGAGCTGGAATCGCGTGCGGGCGTCTTCTCCAGCTTTCTGGAATCAGTACGTACTTCTCCCTGCTTCAGACACGTTGCGTATCTTCTAACGAAAGGAAAAGATCGACGGGCTCGAAACCATCCGCGCGTACGGTTGGACCTACGCTGCCATTCGCGACAATATCCAGCACCTGGACCACGCACAGCGGCCGGAGTACCTTCTACTGTGTCTGCGGCGGTGGCTGAGTCTGGTCCTGGATTTTTTGGCTGCTGCCCTGGCCACGATCGTGGTGGCTACGGCGGTCGCATGGCGCGGACAAGTAAGCGGCGCGCAAGTGGGCATCGCGCTGAACGTGATGCTCGTGACCAACACCACCCTGCTCAGTCTGGTGGTCAGCTGGACCAATCTGGAGACCTCTCTGGGTGCGATCGCGAGACTGAAATCGCTGGAGGAGTTCACCCCGACCGAGGGCGGAAATGCTGGGAGCCTTGATCCTCCGCCCAACTGGCCTTCCAAAGGAGAGATTGAGTTCGACAATGTCACCGTATCCTATCAGTAAGTACATCTACCCGATGACTACTGCTAAGTGATGACTGGAAAAGTACCAGCGGCCAATCCGACGCCTTTGCTCTCCGGAACCTGAGTCTCAGGATTAATGCCGGCCAGAAACTCGTGATCTGCGGTCGGACAGGGAGGCGAGTCATCCTATATTCCCCGATGGCCGTGCATCACGCTAACACACTTGCTTGCGTGACAGTGGAAAGAGCACATTGATCCTCACCCTCCTGCGCCTCCTGGAGCTGCAATCCGGCACAATCAAAGTTGATGGCCTCAACATCAGACAGGTGAGACTCGACCTCCTCCGTCAGCGCGGCTTCATCGCCGTCTCGCAGGACGCCCGACTCTTCCCCCACGAGACGCTACGCTTCAACCTCGACCCCGACTCCGCCGCATCAGACGAGATGATTGCTTTTGCATTGGGAAAAGCGGGACTGTGGAAACACTTTTCCGCAGTCGAGGCGCTAGGCGCAGACGACTCCTTGGCCACTGTGATCGACATCCCTGGACACGGTGTCGAACACCCTGTTCTGAACAGAAAAGTCTCCTCGTTCCCGGAGCTTTCCGTCGGACAGTGCCAGCTATTCGCGGTGTGCCGCGCGCTGATCAAGGCGCGAGTGCAGCGGGGATGTGGTGTCACACCCGTGGTGGTGCTGGACGAGGTCACTTCGTCGCTTGATGCGGAGACGGAGGCGACAATCCACCGGATTATCGACGAGGAGTTTACGCAGGAGGGGCATACTGTTATCGTGGTTGCTCATAGAGTTGAGGGGTTGGTGGAGCAACTCACCCCAGGGCGGGATACTGTTGCGGTCATGGCAGATGGAAGATTAGTGGATGTCGTTGAGCATTTCAATCCCGCGGATTTCTCGAAGCTCGGACGGTTGGAGTAAATGTGGAGTGGACAGTAAGATAATGGGCAATGTACTATACACAGCGAACTCTACCGAAGCAAGTCCACAACGACACTCTTAATCGCACACATCATTGCCTACCCACAGCCCCAACCCTCACAGCAGATATCCCGGCGAGCGCCAACGCATAGAACCCGGCAGCAACCAAGAAGAGCAAGCCTACCCAGACGTCGCCTAGCACCATTCCCAGATGAAACATGCCTGCTAGAAGAGGGCCTGCGATCAACATGCCGACTGAACTCACCACGCCGATAAGGGTGTAGACGGTGCTCGGCGATCGAGGCTCGACGAGCGCGGTCAGGGCGGTGTCTTGGGCTTGAATTGGGTCCTCGGGCGTATCTTGAAGCAGGGGCGTCGTCTCATGGAGATGTGGGTCACTCGTTGGAGACATAGTACTGGTAACTTAGAACATGAATGCCAAATATGGGATGGCCCGGAGGGGAAATAGCTGAAGGGGTTCGAGGCCTTTATGAACCTGGCGTAATACCAACGCATTGTGGGCAGGTGCATACAGGCTAGTATCGGTCCCTGACGGTTAATCCTAAATAGTATTTAGCAATGAGCCTTATGCAGGGATGCAGATAAAAGCTGAAAGTCCGATTGGCCACTATAGTTGTCTGCTCGCGATGTTGTCTTCGGATTTGACTAGCGAATTCAGCTAGCAAATTCAGCTATGTTTCACTCATTATGACAGTACAGCTGACTAGCCTGAGATGCACATGCTGACGTGACCCCGCGCCAAAATTACAGGACTCAGCGCTAGAACAGAGGCATCTTCTCCTGATTCGACTCTTTTGTCCGTCTACCAAGTTGCACAATAACAACGTACTACGGCTAAATATTACCTTTTCACTCGGGCGTGGATCAAACTTCGATCCATCTCGAAGGTCACTACCCCGGGTAACTTCAAGTCAACCAAGGTCTTCTGAGTCAGTGATATATGCTGTTACTCTACATTAGGCATTTCAAGGCGCACCAGAAGAAAGCATGAATACAGACATGCTCAGAGCCAGTCAGAGATATGCTGCGAGATGACCAAAGCGGTGTAGCTAGTTGCCACCCTGTTGCTTGCTTGCTTCCCTTCCTTTTTCATTTCCCATTTCCATGTACATTAGTTTGAGAATTTTTCAGGGGTACTGATTATTACCTCAGTATAATAAGGAAATCACATCCGTCTGTCCTGATGGGTTGCAACATAAGTCGCAAAGAAGATCGCAGATGGCCCCTATCATAAATTGTGAAAGCCCTACATGGCTAGTACAGGTTGCGCCCACGTCTGTCAATAATTCTCAAGCTTCTTTCCCTGTCGTCGCGAATTTTGCGTCAACTACATCTGGCAGCTCAAAATCTATCTTCAACTACTCTCGGCACCTGGGCTTGACTCCTTGGCTAGAGTGCTGCCCCATTACTAATTGCCCTAGGTAACAAGCTACACACCAAATACGCGCTCCACTTGAGATTGTTGCAATTCAAAATTCCATGGCTTTATCAATCTCTGGGCGAAATTGACCAGACATGCATTCTGCCATACAAAGCGATGTGTTGTTAGTGAGCTCGACCAAGGATGAAGAACGGAAACGTTGGAGCATTTTCCGCTCTGAACCTAGAGCTTGCTGAAGAAATAGCCTTGCTTACTATCGGAAGGTGGCACGTAAGGGGGTCACGTGAGCAGGTGGCTGATCACTATGTTCATGGAAGTTCGCCTCATAGAGTTCGATATCCACTTCAGGTGGCAGTCTTGGGTGGAATGGGCTGATGTAAAGCATCAGAGGAGAAGACGTAGGAAATGTCCTGTACAGTGAGCCTTCTTAGCTGTTGTATAGCCACCTGACTATCATGTAATGGTTGTAAAAGTTCCTGGTTATATGAAAATTGACTAATTCGGCTCCTGCCGACTCGATGTGTCTGTTTGAAGTTTTGCTTGACACGAGCAGTAAGGTTATCCCGCTATTGCGTGTCGCGAATGATAAGTGGCGGTATGGAATTGAAGAGCATCCAAACTAACAAATCGTTGACCACACTGAAGACAGCTGTGAAGCCTGTGCTGGTCAGAGTAGTGAATGTTTAGAGCGGCTCTATTGGGAAACCACATACGACAGAACCCACATTTGGCAGGGTCTGTGCCATGCCTAGCTTTGAGATGAGAGCGGATACCACTGTCACTACGGTACCACAAAGGGCAGTGTGGACACGGGTAGGTCGGCCCGCCACTGTGGTGGATCTTCTGGTGGCATTCTATATCAACTTTGCAGCTAAATCTTTGCTCACATGGAGCATCTCCTGGACCAAATAGTTCACAGATGAAGTGTTTCTCAGATATATCCAGTCGATAGCGCGTAGCAACCCCAAGACAAAGTCGGCCTTGCTGCACCTCTGGGGTGACAAGTGGCTTATGCTGCTTCTGCCAATCGAGACCGTCATATCCCTCGTCCCCCTCGGGCCCGTCCTCTTCGCTGTCTCCATCCCCAGCGCAACAGAGCTCGCTGCGCAGAAACCAGGGCGCTCCACATCTTGTACAACCGAACCTGGTGGCTGCGCCATTGTCGTGGAATTCTGGCAGGGAGACGACGCACTCATCATGGTGCATCCCGTTACATCTTGAGCACCGCCAGAGTAAAGTGCCCTGAACCGGATGCTGGTGGTGGTGACAGATCTCGCATTTGAGGTCGCTATATCCATCCAAGTCTGAAGGCACGGACTCGACCAGGACCTCCTGCAGCATCCCCTCCTCAGCTGACATCATTTCTGAATGAATTTGCTCTTCTGGTCTTTCTGCCATTGTGTTTGGTGCAGAAAGACCTCAGGTGGGAATCTTTGTGGAAGTCGAGTTGATGGATTACGCGCAGTGTCCAAGTTGCGACTGTTGGCTAGATCGTCACAGCCTGAGGTCTTCAGTCACTTATATACATCTCAAAGGGCCACAATGCAGAGTATGAACATAAGAGATTATTGTCTCGTTGACCTTAGGACAAAGTATTCGTTCTTCATTGTACATTTACTCGTGGCTTTCATTCATTGTCTGGTCGGGGTAAGCTGTATGGTACGAAACTGTATTCATTGTGTGATAGAAGTTCCGATTGAACATAATAATGATTCGCTTTCAGGAGATCTACTCAAGGATTTTGGATACCCTCAGTGGTTATCTGAAGCGAAGCTGTGTATGGCCCACTTTGTCGCTGAGTGGACGGGAAACCCTACTTTATCGTCGGTGCGGACGATTCAGGTCTAGTAAGACAGGCTTTCCATGACCCGCGATAAACTTAGTCACACTTACTCAGCCATTAGTGAGGTATACTTCCAGGATCTCAGAATGACATTCGGTGGTGAGAGGGACCAAGTAAATCATATCAAAGTTGTAGGTCAAGTTTTTCACGCCCCCTCATCTCTTGCAACGGTCTCCAATGAATCATCCATCTTGGCAACACTCCATAACAACAGCACTGCTTGCTGAGCCTATGCTAAGCATTTTCGAATTATATGCCGCAGTCAAGCTTGCGTGATGAGCCACTAATGCAGGTGAGGTGGAGATGGTCTCAGCACTCAAAGCGGGCCATGTCCCTGATAAGCGAATCAGCACGGCAAGATCCTTATCATATCCTGACCAAGTGACTAAAACGGCACATTGAGCTATATTCACTCAAGGCGCTAGATGAACTCTTCTGCAAGACCGATGTCACCTCCGTCGGAGGAAACGGAGATTGACCGACCCACTGAGCCCAGATGACGAGATTATAAACGTTCCCGTCGGCTGCCATCGTTTCGGCTCCGCGATCAGGCTGCGAGTCGAAATGAAGTTTCTGTCCCCCTTCGTCGTATTGTCCTTGGCGACATTGTCAGGGGCCCTCCCTGCGTCCGACCATGTTGTTCATGAAAAGCGCAGTGGAGCCTCTACCTTGTGGCAGAAGGCTGCTCGTGTGAACGGGACCGAGAACGTGATTGTGCGAATCGGGTTGACTCAAAACAACCTCGACCGCGGGTATGAATACTTGATGGATGTGTAAGTGGTCTGTTCCCTAGTCGTATGTCGATCTCAGCTGATATAGATCAAACAGATCGGATTCAGTCTCGCCTAACTACGGAAAGTTCTGGACGCCAGAGAAAGTCGCCGAGACCTTTGCTCCCTCGAATGAAACCGTTACTGCTGTGAAGCAATGGCTCATCGAGGGTGGAGTTGATGCGTCTCGACTCTCCCAGACGAAGAATAAGGCCTGGATTGTCTTCAACGCAACAACTGCAGAGGCAGAGACTCTCCTCCACACGCAGTACTATCACTACGAGAACGCGGTCACTGGTTTGACCACCATTGCTACCGATCAGTAAGCCTCTTAAGCTCTGCCACACGTGGAATCTTTATTGACAAAATTAGATATCGTCTGCCCCAGTCTGTCACGCAACACGTCGACTACATCAAGCCCGGTGTAGTCCTGCCACTGACTTCGAGAAAGCGACAAGCCGGCAGAAAGCCTCTCCGGTACCAGCCTTCCAAGAAGACTACCCCGAACCCTTCCTCTCTTGCCACCTGTGATGAAGCCATTACCCCTGCTTGCGTGGCTGCCTTGTACAAGATTCCTGTCGCAAGCAAAGACGTGAGCCCCAATAACTCACTCGGGATCTTCGAGGAGGGCGACTACTACTCCCAAGAAGATTTAGATTTATTCTTCAAGAACTTCACACGATGGATACCCAGTGGCACGCATCCCAAGCCTGCCTTTATTGACGGAGCCGAGGCCCCTGTTCCGGTTGATGAGGCTGGAGCGGAGTCGGACCTGGACTTTCAGTTGGCATACCCCATTGTCTATCCCCAGGCAATCACGTTGTTCCAGAATGATGACTACAACTACGCCAGCGAGGAGATCTACACCTCTGGGTTCTTCAACACCTTTCTCGATGCCCTCGATGGGGTAAGTGCCCCAGCCTCCTCAAAGCATAACGCGCTAACTAGGGTCTCTCAGTCATACTGCACCTACTGCGCGGACGGCGAGTGCGGCGATGCATCGGGCCTTGACCCCGTCTACCCCGACACCAACCAAGGAGGGTACACCGGACAGCTGATGTGCGGCACCTACAAGCCGACCAACGTTATTTCCATCTCCTACGGTCTGCAGGAAGACGATCTTCCAGAGTATTATCAGAAGCGCCAGTGCAACGAGTATGAACCATTCTCACCGGAAAGAAAGCCACTAATCTAATGTCCCAGATTCCTCAAACTCGGTCTTCAGGGTACCTCTATCCTGATCGCCTCTGGCGACGACGGCGTCGCAGGCCCGCCGGGCGACTATACCGACGACGGGTGTCTTGGAAATGGAACCATCTTTAGTCCTGCGTTCCCCAACAGGTAGGCCTCGTTGACCCTCCACTAAAATATCTTTCTGCTAAGCAACGCAGCTGCCCCTGGGTTACCAACGTCGGTGCGACAAAACTGTACCCAGGGTACACCGTCGCGGACGGCGAGAGCGCCGCCTACGACCCGATTGGCGACCCATACTCCATCGCCTATGCCTCCGGGGGAGGGTTCAGCAACATCTACCCTATCCCAAGCTATCAAGCCGCAGCTGTTGCCGAGTCAGTCTCCCCTTCCAACTGCCTCTAACCCGAATTCACAGAGGCTAACATCTAACCGCACAGGTACTTCAATAAGCACAACCCACCATATCCATACTACAAAGGTGCAGCCAAAATTGGCAAAAACGGCGGGCTCTACAACCGGCTGGGCCGCGGATACCCCGACGTCGCCGCCAACGGCGACAACATCGCCATGTTCAATGCCGGCGAGTACATCCTTGAGGGCGGTACCAGCGCTAGTATGTTTTGATACCCCACGTCCGTTCGGAACCTTCGTTAGAAGACGTTGAAACTGACGGATCCTTAGGTACCCCCATCTTCTCTTCGGTGATCAACCGGATCATCGAAAAGCGGATCGCCGCCGGCAAGGGCCCTGTGGGGTTCCTGAACCCGGTCCTCTATCGCAATGCGGATGCGCTGAACGATATCACCAATGGGACAAATCCCGGCTGCGGGACGGATGGGTTCTCGACTGCTCCTGGGTATGTATCCATCGTGTTTCGCTTAATTTGCAAGGTGATGCTAATGCTAGACGTGTAGATGGGATCCCGTGACGGGACTCGGAACACCGAACTTTCCTAAGCTGCTGGAGGTGTTTTTGAGTCTGCCGTAGGCGTCGTGATATGTATACCGAGGAGAAAAGAGAATTGCTAGGGTGGAGAAGTCGGAACAATTGGGCGTACCAATGAGGGTATTTCTTGCGGAGATCGAGGTCAAATTTACAGTCGGGCCGAGGTAGAGCAAGATTATAAGCGATACCACAGCTTCTCACTTCAGCTTCAACTTATTCGAAAGAAAATCAATTACGAACGGTTTATACGGTACGGGGATTATCCACCGTTGCAGTTGACTTTGTCCACCGCCTCCATTCGATCGTACGCATAGTCATGGGTCACAACCTGACTTGAACCCCACCAAAAAAACCACATAAACTGTTGAGAAAAAACGTCAAGTCTGCTCATTGCGAATTAGCAGTTGAGAGTTACGCTTCAAAGAAATTTACACCCAGAACAAATAAGCAATGCAATGAGGATCAGAGACCCCGCCACTTGACAACGGTGAGGGACTTCCACCCACCACCCCTATTCTCCGGGTAAGGCTCCCAATCCTCCAATGTGCAGAGGACCTCGAAATCATTCTTCTCGAAGACGCGGACGCTCCCAACGTTCTCGACAAAGGCCGAAGCCATGAGGCGCTTGATATTCATCCGCGGGACTCCCCAGTCCTGGACCAGCGTCCGCAGGGCCGACGTCATGATTCCTTTGCCGTGATGGGATGGGGCCAGGAAGTCTTAAATTGAAAGTATCAGTCGGAGATCAGAGCCGCCTGGAAACAAAAAGACCAATTGCATGGTGATGAGCGGGTGTACTTACAGCCAATACCCCACGCAATCCCCTCGTTCCCGGGTAGTAGCTCATTATTCCGACGCTGCGCCTCCGCTCGCTCTGCGCTGTCATGACGATACTCATAGAACATGTACCGCGCAACCCCAATATCCCCGATCAGGACATCCTTCTTGGGGTGGCCCGTCTCAGGGTCCTCTTCTATGACTTCCCGAATGACCGTGAAGGGACACAGGTCAAAGTACTGTTGCTGCTGAACCGAGGTTTTGAATTCGGTGCGCAAAGCCTGGAGGACGGGCTCAGCGGCCGCACATTTGGATTTCACCCATTCTTCCTCATGCTCGCGGAGATAGGGGTACGGCGGACCCGTCAGGTTGAGGTAGATGCGCGGGTCGTTTAAAAGCGAGACCTTGGCGGCGATGGTCTCTTCAAGTTGGTGCAGTCGGTGCGGGGTGAGGATGATGTGGCTGAGGGGCGCCGGGAGGCGCAGGTACGGCTCTTGTGTTTCGGGGTTGTAGTGGATGGGCATGACGGGCAACGAAAAATGAAGTTTCTATCTGGAATCATTCCTCTGGTAGGATTATGGGCTGACTAGTGACTTATTTATATATCCTGTTCCTTCATAATAAGCGATGCTAAGCTCACTTGAGCCTCCATGAGTCATTCCGAAGCCGATCCCGAGGCCGCCCCCACGATTCTGTTCCGTATCCTTGAATGAAGAAGGCTGCGTATAGGGCTCAGACATGGGGAACATAGCCAAAATTTCATATTATGGGGGTGAAAACTATAAATATAGTCAGAGCTTCAGGAATGTAAATATGGAAAAGGACATTGTATATAGAAGACACAATAGTCTAACAACACGCCCCTGCGCAATTAAGAGTCTCGTGGACACTATATACTTCCGCCAGAACCAGCACTAAAACAAAAATTACGGAAGAGTATTGTAGCTACCCAGTAAATAGGATTTCTCTTATTAAATACCCTTACCACAGTGAGAACCGCCTAACTTAAATATTGCCTTTTCTATGAAACCAGAGTACTGTGCCTAAAGTTCTCTGATCTGTTACTTGCCTCTCCCCACCCCTGGGTATTATACTGTAAACCACAGCCCTCTCCTATATGAGGGTAATTAGAACTCTAATAGATCGAATGTATTTTCGAGAGGGCCCATTATTGGGCAATATCTTTCATTTTACTGTCTATTAAGGTACTTGGACTTAACATCTATATTCGATTCTCCTATCTATTGTTCTGCCGGCAGACCTTTCATTCGCCGAGTGGCCGCAATAGTCTTTCGTAGACTAAGAACAGAGTCCTCCAGCAAGATGATTTTACCTGTTGTGGCTCTAGACCTGCATGAGTCTCAAGAAAGATGTCAAGCTCGCTTTGCATCACTTTCTCATCCACATTTCTCCTCCACTAAGCATTTACCCAAGGAACAGGGGTTCTTGCGCAAGCTACCGCAACCAGCCATTCAGCTCGATTCTGAATCCCTTATCGCTTAATGGTAGCACGCCTAGTGGTGCTTCCATTCAGCCTGATATCATTGCAACGGGGTAGCAGTGTTACACTCAGAAAATGAAGGGGTTTCTGGCTCGCCGCCCCCCAGCCTCAAGGTAATACTCCTAGCCCTAGCAACCAACAACCGGCGGACAGGTGAAAGGTCAATAAGACACCATGTGAGTTTCTTTACGGCATCCTTCAGCACAACCCGATACATACGCCAATACGGACAACTATCGTCGTTGGGGAGAGGCATGTCTATCCACATGGACGCAAAGATCATTTGAAGGAGAGTATCGGGCTAGAAGCAGAATGCAAGATACGCTCATGTGTCGGGAGAAAATGCGCTCTGAGACTCCGAAACAAGTGTTTACAAGCACAAGAGTAGCTCTTTTGAGCGGCTGGAGCGTAGAGCCCGGCGAGCCTGTCTATATTGAGGAAGGAAAACGGGGGTATTGTGCCGTTTGGAAGCTGGATTCTCGGTGGATGCATGCCAGGGGCTTTGCATGTTACGGTATATGTGTGGTACACCGGACGCAATGTTGTGATCCGGAAAGCCCAGCGCTTAGCTCTGCGTGCTACTCCGTATCCCTGATCGCGGAATCCCGGGGCATGGACTCTCAATCCGGGGCTCGAGGAGATTTCATGATTTGGCCAAAATATGACCTGAGAGAGAACTGTCGAGGTCTTAATTCACCAAAAAGATGACCTGAAATCAGAAGTAAAGTGAAACTATCCTCCACAAGTAAATACATGGTGCTGGTTATGTCACATCTTTCGGGCAGGCAAACGTACAGATTTGACTTTCCAAACTAATTACTGTTTCCATACAGATGTGGACGTACCCATGCATATGGTTGACCTGAATTCGCGGTATCGCCTTGGTTTCTCTTGTGAATGGCAATAGAATAATTCAGCCGTGCGACGAATGTGGGACTCGGGATTCCCGACCTAGGCTAGCACACGAATTATTGAATATTGGATCTCTGAAGAAGTGTTTGTTTAATGCGATGGACACACTTGGCACATCAGGACCGGCTCCAGGCTATGAGCCCAATTGCCGGTATCATGATCCACGTATGCTCAGCAATGTGTTCAGTATCACTTAGGATACACAAAGACCCCAGCCCAGACCTGCCTTTCACTCAGACTAGTGGTATAATACATGAGATAGCGTACATTGAAGAATTATCATGAACGGAAGATAATTGAAGTCCGTTCCCATCACTTGGCTCTGCTTCCTACCCGTGCGCACGGGACAGAAGAGTCCCATGCAACCTGCAGTCTGCATAACGGGATTAACTTGCCCAATTATGCAAGCTTGAACCCTTTGTCGGATAATCGGTTCATCAACAGAAGTCATGCATCGGACTCATGCGCCTGAGAACCTGGTCTTGGCAAGGCGCTGAACAAAGAAGACAGGCACTGGTACGGCCCGATTCCGCACCAAGAAGGGCAACTTTAATCGCCCTGGCCCGGGGTATAGTGTTTTCTTGGCGACGCCAAGAGGGATGAAGGGTTTATGGTTGATTTAAATAAAGTAAAGCGATATTGGAGTGCTTGGCGACTTGGAAATGGGTTGACTGTGAGTGGTAGGAAAGGACGCGCGTCCACGGACCCCGCCGGAGTTGGACCCTGCCCTACCTACTTTTAGCCAAGGCGCTGACGACGACGTTTGTGTTTTCATGTCCTTCGCCTACAACTGGTACGGAAAAGCGGCATTGATACTCCTCTTTGCTCATGGTAGGTGGAACGACACAATGGAGATGTGTGATGCCGACGATGCACAGTGATACTGGACCTCCCGTGAAGGGAGGGGAAGTACGAGAAGACGGAGTATAAAAGGGCGCGATATCTCGCTGGATCTTGAGAAGATTCATCTCCAGCAGCAAACGCAACAGCTTCTTCATAGTTAAAGCTTGATTCTTATCATTTTCTGTGTCTTCGCATCAATCATGGTCTCTTTTTCAAAGCTCGTTGTCCTCGGGATGACCGCTGTCGCGGTGGCCCATCCCGGCCATGAGGACATAGGCTCAAATGTGGCACTGAAAAGAAGCTTCCTCCGTCACTCTCGCAACAGCCTGTCCAAGTGCGCGGAAAAGGCCGAGTTTCGTGCGCTGCAGGCCCGCGCGGCTGCTCGTCGCCGGGACATTGCAAGCAAGAAAGCCAAGCGAAGTGCGGATGAAGGTGAGTACTGCGCCAGCAAGAATCCTGCCTTTCTCGACGAATAGTTCTGATCCTTAGAGTAGGCTTTCTCAAAGCCAGGGACCTCACAACTGTAATCAACACCTCTCACCTGTCCAGCCTTACCGGTGTGACCGCCGACTCGTCCGAGGACGTCTTCTTCTCAGACGACGTGTCCTGCATCCTCTCTCCCGAAGGCGAGGTTGGCCCCTTCTGGGTCAAGGGCGAGTACATCCGCTCCGACGTGACCGACGACGAGCCCGGGGTGTCCGTTGTGATGGACGCGCAATTCATCGACATCGACACCTGCGAGCCGATCGAGAATCTGTACTTCGACGTGTGGAACTGCAACTCCACCGGTGTCTACTCCGGAGTTCAGGACAGCAGCAACGGCAACGGCAATGACGTTAGTAATCTCGACAACACCGCACTGCGTGGCCTGCAGCCCACCGACGCGGACGGAGTGGCGCAGTTCACCACTATTTTCCCCGGCCACTACAACGGCCGCGCCACTCACGTGCATGTCATTGCCCACATTGGCGCCACCGTGCTGTCCAACGGGACCCTGACTGGCGGCAATATCGCCCATATTGGCCAGCTGTTCTATGACCAGGACCTCATTACCCAGGTGGAGGCGCTGTCTCCGTACAGTGAGAACACCGTGGCTATCACCCTCAACGCCAATGACCGGGTTCTGGCCGCCGAGACTGAGAACAGCGACTCGGATCCCGTGCTCGAGTACGTTCTCCTTGGGGACACTGTGGAGGACGGACTCTTTTCCTGGATCACTATTGGAATCGACACTTCTGCCAGTTACAGCGCGAGCTATGCGGCCACTTTGACTTCTTCTGGTGGTGTTTCCAGCTCCAACAGCGGGGGTGGTAGCAGCGGTAGCGGCGGAAGCACTGGCAGCGGAGGTAGTGGCGGTAATGGCGGAAACGGTGCCAGTGGCCCTCACTAAAGCGTCAGGATGCTTCGAGGGTATATGAGAGGAGAAGAGAGATCGGAGTGTGGCTGCACTCTGACAGACACCGGATCAACGTTGTATCGGCAGGATGTCATGTCACTCGCTTGTTGTTAATGCCTGGTTTGCTTGAATTTTCTACTCTACACCTGTCATCCAGTTGAATGATTCTGCTTTCAAACGTTCTTTATTTCTTGACACAAACACACAAACAAGTCATGTATGTCATGAATACTCGTCTCGATTATCAGCAAGTCTGGCACAATTATCACCAGTGAACTATCCGCACAAGCTCGAAAGTAATCATGGAATAGAGTAGTGACTGTGCTAACCAAAAAGCCCTGACTTGGCCGTTCAGCGTATCATATCCCTCCATTCCTTCGAGCCAGAATTCATCCCTGCTGCCTTAAGTTGGTTTCAAGTTTGCGCTCTTTGCAGCGCGGATCTTGCGGTCGATTGCCTCGGCATAGATGGAGTAAACCCTTCAACGCCACGATCCTCTCGCACAACCTTTTTACTTCACACTCTCAATTCAAGTACAAATCCTGAACCCTTCTTTGCCGGTCCACGACCCCTGCCCGCCCATATCTTCGAGCTGCTCCGCCTCCACATGGGTCATCACACCGCAGTACACCATCACGCCGCCGTCGTTGGCGTACACAACGCGGATCGGTGAATGGGCCTGCTGATTCGTCTTCTTTGTGTTGTAAATGGATGCATGACGCTCCCAGAAGACCGGATACTCGAGCAGGTCAATGTTTGCCTTCTTGCAAGTGGCCACGCTCCAGTTGAGCTTTTGATGGTTGTGATAGGGGTGCGGATAGCCTGTCTTCCCCTGGTGAGAGATGCCAGCCTTTTCCATCTCGACTTTGGCGGTCGCCACGCTGACCTTCCAGCTGACGTTCCTGGGCCTTCTATCGCCGGTGACGTCCTTGACCGTGCAGATGACGGTGGCCTAGATTTGGTTAATCATTTATGGGGACTGCGTGTTGATGGGCGAAATCCTGAATGAAGCAGGACTTGAGCAGCGGCTGGGGGATGGCCTGCGCGTTCGAATAAAAGGACTTACATCTTTGGCAGTAACTGGTGCTGCAGTGATAGGGCTGATCACGAGAGCGATTGGAACGAAGACACTGCCGATCCGCATGGTCGCGAACTTCACCTTGCCTCACTGGGCCTTGGAAACGAAAAGAGTATAGACTGAAAAGAGTATAAGAAACGAGGGACCGAAAACCGAATAATGAGAAGTAGCGAAAGAATGAGCCAGGAAGACCGGTTTACGACTTCAACATCAGGCTAAATCGATGTGAACTGGATGATCAGTTAAAAATGAAGCTCGCTATCTATAAGCCAGGGAGGTACTATCTTTCTCTGAAATCCGACTTAACAACGAGCAATGTTCTGTCATGGTGCGCCCCGGCGAGATCTGACTTTGGCCCCCTCCCTTGGGGCCATTTGCAGCCAATTCGTGACATAACAATGTGCGAGTTGGTAGAATTGAGACAAGATCCCTGGTCTGATGTGGGCAGCGCTTCCAGAGGCTGCCGGTAGCCGTCCTATCGAAAGCTGAAAGGAAGACAGCCGCGTTTTGCCAAGGAGGCCAGGCTAGGTCAGCATAACCTGAGGCGTTTTTAGGTAAACAAAGAGGGGTCGCACCGTTTGGGTGCGAGTGTCAGATGGACACCGGGGTAGGGCTGAGGTGAGATTGTGGCAGTCGCACATTTAGGGTTGTTCCTGTGAAGGGTCTGACGGATGCCTGGGGCCAACCAAATGAAGGGTGAGATTTAAGAGGCCAAAGGCTCATTCACCTTTTTCCTCCTGCATCATCCGTCGCTTTTTCTTCATCCTTATTCCATCATCTTTCACTCCTCTCCCACCCTCTTCTAATCATTTTCTAGTCTTCATAACCACCAACAAGATTCGCACGCTCATACAAAACAAATCGTAATGTCGACCCTGGTTCAGAACCCTGACTATGCCGAAGAGGCGAACATCAGCCCCTGCAGTTCAAGCTCTACGACCAGTGGGATGATGAGGATGACCTGTGGATCAAGCACAGGCTCGAGGCTCTTGTAAACCAACAGATCACGCCCGAGCAACTAGCCCTCGACATGGATCACCGTATCACCGCCCTCACGCGCCGGAATCGCGATGACGGGGTTGAGCCCCAGCGCGCCGAACAGTTCATCGGACCCTTCTTCCAAGCCTTGACGAAGATGTGCTCGGCCTTCCCACCCTATCATGCGGGGCAAAATCAGCTCATCGCCTTGGCCAAGGCACTGAACGCGCTCCCCCGTCATGTCATCCCAGAAGGCCTGTCGCCAGCCCAACTCGAAGAGAAGCCGTGGATCACGACAACTCTGTGGGGCTTCGATGATCCTTATCAAGAGGGGAACTGGAAAGCGTGCGCCGAGGCCTTCGATTTCGAACATGTTTGTGCGTACACTTCCACTCGTTCTCTTTCCTTCCTATTTACTCCTGCGTACTTCGTGGTTGATCCTCCGTCATCATGCAAAGCTAACAATTCTCCCGTCCCTTTTATTCCGCTCTGAACAGACATCTGGGCGCCCTACCGCAGCCGCAACTACGACTCTGCTATGGCGCGCCTGACCTGCGCAGGGCTGATAAAGTGCGCCTTTCTGAGCTCCCTCCGCTTCATCCTCCCCACGGACGATGAGTACCCCGACCTGACCAAAAGACCTATCGACGGACTGAACAAAATCGGCAATTACCTAGTCGGGGCGGCGCAGTGGATCCTGGGACCCGAGGAGTGTCGATCTGCGTACACGGAATGCCAGAAGGTGGAGCAGGTGGACGTGAGACAGCGCAAGCTCTGGAGCCGGGAGCACTCGGCGGAATGGAAGCGCCAGTTTGCCTTTGTCGCGGGCGATGAGCGGTTTGCGCAGAAGTATCGCAGCGTCGCGGCGCAGGCTCACCATCAGATGCTCACGTGCGAGCAGGAAGAAGAGCTCAGGCAGGATGTGTGATGTGTCCGTCGTTTGTATGCGAATTAGGCCAACATAGAAGCTGTATTTGCTAGTCTTGGGGAGAATTGCTTCGATGACGCTATTCTTATCATGGTCTGAACATTGTGTCTATCGTCCATAGAACTAATTCCACTCCAAAAGTACATTTTGTGACTAGAGATCGCTCCGTGATCTATGAGTCGCCAGAACAAGGCTGTGCTGTAGATTCTAAGCCTCGTACATACTGTATATCAGTCCTGGGTCTGGATCGGGTCGACGCGGCTAAGCAGGCGGGAGTTAGGAGACGGAGGCATTTCGAGTGGTGCAGGAGAGGCCACCGCCGCGTCTCACACGGGATCGTCCAGGGCTGGGAAATGGGAAGGGACCCAGCGTTCCGTTCGCCGTGTTCCAAGTTGACTTCTTACATTACCAGCTGGCTGCCTTAGTCAAATACCTTTCTGTTCATTCTATTCCTTGTCTCGATCATCAATCTACTACTGTCGTCATGTTTACGCTCGTTACGCCCCCGTCATTTCTCCTCTGAGGGCGCTTCACCAGCCACACTCTACGCGCGCACGATACCCCTGCGTAGCACGTCCCGCCGCTCAATGGCTACAACAACAGCGAGGTCAATAACTACTCCCGACGACACTGGGTTCCGGTTCTTGTACGAGCCTATCGAGGACGTCGAGAGACTCGAACGTTATCAACCAGGGGGCTATCACACCGTACAAATCGGCGATCATTTTCATGGTCGCTATAGAGTGATCCACAAGCTGGGGCATGGCTCCTATTCCACTATATGGCTGGCTCGGAACGAGCAGAACAACAAGCACGTGGCATTGAAAATATGCACGGCCGACTCAAGAAGTGAGTATAATGTCAGCTCTCACTCGTCCTCGCATCACTGTCACCAATGACCCAGGCAAGGAGATGATATCTTCCATCATAGACACTTTCACTGTCCACGGTCCGAATGGCAATCGTCCTTGTCATGGCACCACAGCAGCACGAGCCAGTCTCACCGAGTTGAAAGATGGTTCGTGGATTTCCTTATTCCAGCTTGACGTCGCACGAGCACTAGCTGCCCAAGCTGTTCTTGCGGTGGACTACATACACACGCAGGGGGAATTGTGCATGGAGACCTACATATGGGTAACATTCTCCTCAACTCCACTCCTGGCTTTGATCAGCTCTCGTCTGAACAATTATAAGAGAAGTATGGAGCGCCCGAGCGCGAGCCGGTCATTTGTTTAGATGGGAAGCCGCTTCCTCCTGGTGTTCCATCTCACGCGGTAGTGCTAATATGGCTTGGGGCAGCAAGTGAGAAGATCACACTTCCCGAAGCCAGGACCCTGCTTACAGATTTTGGTGAGGCCTTCTCTTGCTCAAACTCGAAAGAACTCAAGTATGAGTCTCGCACCCCGCTTGTCATTCGCTCCCCCGAGGCACGGGTCGAACCAGACAAGCCGCTATCGTATGCGTCGGATATTTGGACTCTTGCGTGCACGACATGGTCTATCATAGCTCAAAGGCTGCTGTTCGAAGAGTTCGTTGCCACAGAAGATGACATGACCCGTGAGCACGTCGATACCCTTGGCATATTGCCATTGGAGTGGTGGAAGAAGTGGGAGGCGCGACGGGAAAAGTTCACCGAGGATGGTAGGCCCATCAACCGCAATCCATTCCGGTCTTGGCGAGATCGGTTTGAAGACAGCGTGCAGCAGCCCAGACAACGGGAAGGGATGCCCGTTCTTGGCGACGATGAACGAGATGCTATCTTTGACATGCTACGACCGATGCTCGCATTCAGGCCAGAGGAGCGATGTACGACTAAACAGATCCTCGAGTCAGAATGGATGGTGAGATGGGCGCTCCCTGCATATGAGAAGATTCCGAAAAATGAAAAATAGACGGGTTTGATTATCGTGCACATGGGATTGGTGTTTCTGTTACCATTGACAAGGGGTGTGATGCGATGGTAACTTGATGCGGTTAGCAGGGGCCACGCCACCATCTATACCACTTCCAACCTAGCGCTGACTACGACTAGAATGACTCAACGAACATTCACCCCGCGAGCTTATTTGCTATAAAGTATGCCGTGACTGTGTCAGACCCATCCATCAACGCTTCATTCTTCAAGCTTAATCATCATATCCTTTCCTCGCGATATCACCGTGACCAAGCATGTCATTACCCACAGAACCCATGCACTGGACCCGAGGTGAATTCCTCATCTCCACGGATAAGACATATCTATCGCTCGCTGCCATAAATCACGCGTTTGGACAAGATTATATGTACTGGGCCAGCCCATTTCCGGAGGAAATACTCGAAAAGATCATCGATAATTCATTTTGCTTTGGCGTCTACAGTCTGGACTCGCATCTACTCTGCGATGACGAGAACGGTCACCCACAGCGACCGGTAGAAGCCTTGAAGGCAGCCGATGCCAGACAAATCGGGTTCGCTCGACTGGTTACCGATGGTGTCACGTTCGCCTACCTGACCGATCTTTACGTCCTACCGGAGTATCAGGGACAGGGGCTGGGTGGGTGGCTCATCGACTGTGTGGACGAGGTCGTCCGCCCTTTGCCGTACTTGCGGTGGCTGATGCTGCGGACCTCGGCCGCAAAGAGTCAGGCGTCCTACGAGACCCGGCTTGGGATGAAGGTGCTAGATACCGGGGATGCTACCAAAGGGGCCGTCATGATGGGGAGGCAAGGAGCGGCCGGAAGAGCATGATTGTACAGGTTAATGCTGGGAAGGGGCGGAGGGTGAATGACTCTTGGAGACTCGCAATTGAATATAGGATAACAAACAATTCTCGAACTTTGTATTTAGAATATCATATACTTACTGGATGACAATCCGAGCAGATTCGTGCCGTATAATCTACCGTTCGGAGCTTTATCCCGTAGACTTCAGGCGCTGAAATGCAGCAATAACCTTGATCTTTATTATCTTCGAAGGCAATCGACTTCTAATTTACCCATTGAAACATCGCCCTATACACCACCATCTCAGCAATCCTTCCCATCTCAATCACTTCTTATGCTCCCCAGCGAGCCTATCATACATACCCCCGAACTGCCCATACCACTGATCAACCACCTCCCGACTCATCCCCGGCGCAATCACACTCTGCCCACCCTCCAACCCCTCAACAAAGAACTCCATAAACTCCTCCACCGTCAACGCACTCGGATTGTTATGCTTCTTATTATCATCGGGATCCGACCGGTCGCGGTGCAGATCCGTGCCCACGGAGGGCGGCACGACCTCGACGACCTTGACCCGCTCATACCCGCCCTTCTCCAGCTGCGTGCGCAGCGTCATCGACCAGAAGTGCAACCACGCCTTGGTGCCATTGTACACCGGGTTGATGACGGAGAACGGCACGAACGCCAGGATGGAGGAGACGTTCATGATCGTCGCGCCGTGCGGGTGCGACCGGAAGTGCTCCAGCAGGCCCAGCGTCAGGTGCATCGGCCCCCGGATGTTGATGTCGATCTCCTGGTCGGCGTTGGCCAGGAAGTCGGCGGGCGCGTCCTCGAGCACGTCTAAAGGTCGCTGGACGCCCGCATTGTTGATCAGGCAGTCGACTTCCGGGTACTTGGTGGTGAGCGTGCGGATGAAGGCTGGGATCTGCGAGACGACCCCCGTGTCCAGCACGAAGTAGTCGGTGGCCCCGATCTCTTGGGCGGTTTGGCGCAGGGTCTGCTCCGTGCGTCCCGCGATGATGACTTTCTTGCCTTTGTGGAGGAGGTAGCTGGCGATGGCTTTGCCGAGGCCGCCGCCGCCGCCGGTGACAAGGGCGCAGTTGAAGGAGAGGTTCGACATTGTTGGGTGGATTGTATCTGGTTTGTGGTGGATATTGGTGGTGGTGTCTTCCGTGACTTGATCAGGGAGTCGGCAGTAGGCCAAGCAATGTATTCGCTAGTCCGTTGCTGAAGATGAAGGACAACAGTGTACAGTATTTGTGATCGCTTGTATGATTCCGTTCACTTCAAATAGCCTGTTCTCGAAATTGCTCATCGGTTAAAATCCCCAAGGCAATTCGGGGAAGCCCCCACCCGCGTGAAGAATTTGGAGAATTGGCTTTTTGGGGATTTTGGCCCCGCCAGGGTCTAGAACCACGTGCAGTGAAAGCCACAATAACCTTATTCGGCTCATCTTGTGAGAGCTGGTCTTCAGAATGTCGTCATTTTTTCTCTTTCAGAGGCTTGTATCTGTCGTCAGTGAGGCAAGATGCAGCCTCAGGGAATCTCATGGTGACTCTAGCATAGCAGAAGGTGGTGGAGAGGAAGTGCTGGGAAGATAGTATTGTCGGTGAGCAGAAACTAAACATATTCTTAGAAGCCCCTCAGTGTAACTAAATGCTACAATGGTCAAATCTCCGAGTGTATATGACCCAATTCTCGTGCGGACCGTCCCGTAACATACAACATTTTGGCCGATTCAAGGTACAGCGCGCCCTAACCTAGCACTGTCGCGCCCTATACACTTTAAACTTTTAACTTTACGTGATGACGATGATGATCAATCACCGAGTTTACAAACCCTTCCACCACTTTCCAGAATCTATTCTAGGCATTTATATCTGATCTGAGCAATCATTCTCTGCGTGGCACCGGGATGAAACCCACCGGTTTACATAGCACCACAGGAGCGAAGGATGAAAAAGGGAAACCCCCGCCGCAATGTTTCCGCAAGCCTGGAGCAAGATCACCAGGAGAACAAAATCAAAAAGAGGGTCACAAAGGCCTGCGATCGCTGTAGAGTCAAAAAGGCCAAGGTAAGACTGCACCACAAATTGAGCGGCCGTGGACTAAGCCCGCACGCAGTGCGACGGTGCAGACCCTTGCCACCGATGCCAGGCTTCCAATACCGAATGCACGTTTCAAAGGAGTGTGAGGGCCAGAGATAGAGTGATACCCAAAGGGTAAGGCGCTGAAGGCACTAGATCTTTGCGGATTGGATATGATCATGGCTGACATAGATAGATATGTCGAAATGCTCGAGAGCGATCGCCAGCGCTTGATTGATGGGCTCCAAAAGTTATATCGATACACGAGTGGAGCATGTCCCCGAGACTCGGTTATACTTCCTCCAAGTGGGCAAGAGCAACCTCTCGTCCACGAGATCCTGAGTCGACTACACGTATTGCCCGCAGAGTCAGAAAGTCAGAAGCCTCCTTGCCAGCGGTCTAGCACCGAGACAACGATAGATTCGTCTGCGACGGATACATTTAATATGATGATATCCAGTGGCAGTCTTTGTGAAGACGGTGCGATGTCACCGCCACCACCCGCGGGGATCGACATCCCAATGACTGAACCGCTATGGTCGATGCTTGACTCCGGGTATACAGTTCGGAACCAGGACTTGGTAACGATATCCGACGCGATGACAAACTCCAAGGTACTACAAGCGTGGGAAGAGTGGCCCATGCAGATGGCTACGGGTCATTTGTTCTCAACTACATTCAGTCTCGACAACGGGTTTATGGATGAAACCCAATGGCTTCCATACAATGCAATAACCGACTGGATGGGTCTTACATGACCCTGTGCTCGGGAGATACAGATACTGTGAGAATTGTGAATTGAGCATTCTTCAACTGGCACTCTGTTTACGTAAAGTGTTAGAGAGATCTAGATCAATGAAAACAAAGAGATCAAAAGCAAAGGAGTTCACAGCTTGATTATCGAAACTCTATCCGCCCCACCCCCAAATCCCCAAAACACTCAAATCTCCAAATCCCCAACTTTCTAATTTGCTCAGCCCCGTCCCGTCGACCCACCCCCTCAACCCTCGCCTAATCGTCAGGCATGGCTTAACAAAAATCCCCTCACTCTTCCCCAACGGCATCCCGAAAATCGTTCAGAAACCGCCACCTCCCCCGGTCGGCCAGCCCCGCCTCCCGCCAGCCATTGAGTGTCCGGTGCGGGAAGCACCAGCCGGCATTCCCATCCTCCGCGCCCGTGAAGATAGGCAAGAGACTGTGGTCGTGGGCCGTCAGCACCAAGACCCGCTCGTCGGCGTCGAATTTGGTCAGTAAGTCAATCGTGCGAAGACACTCGTCAAAATCATGCGTGTACTCTTCCGCTGGCTCGAAGAACGGGCTGTCATTCGCCCCAGGGTGCCGGCCCAGGGAGTGGAAGAGATGACCAGGGCAGACACTCCCGAATCGAGGGTGGGATGGCAGCGGTGACGGCCGGATCCTCTCTGGCATGGGACTGTGCTTTGAGGGTCGAAACTCGCCCGGGTGGTGAGCGAAATCCTATGCGTCCCTCGTGGATTTACGTCAGTGGTTGGGCTTTTCAAGTTGTGCTGGGCTTTAGGGCTGTGTTGCCGGATGGGGCTAGGGGAAACATAGAAACAGTACTTACCGCACCCATCAAAACGAAAGAGTCCGACTGCACGCGAGCTAACCCGACCATGTGGTCTGGCGTATGGCCCGGGGTATGCAGGAGGTAGAAACTTCCATCGCCGAACCAGTCCACGGCGGGAAAGCGACCGATCTTCAGCTGCTGCTCGTCAAACTGGATTTCCCGCAGTGTGCGGCCGTGCCAATCGGCGGACTTCACCGGCGACTCAGGCTGCTCGGGCCATCCGGGCGTGAAGTTCCTGGTGAACCCCGGCCCCACGACCAGGTTGGTCGAGCTGGGGAATAAGGACGGATCGCCGGTGTGGTCGAAGTGGTGGTGGGACCAGATAATGGCGTTGATGTCGGCGAGAGGCACCCCGTTCGCGACTAGGATTTCTGAGACGTTGTGCGGAGAGGAGATCTTCCAGCCACTACTTGCGGTGTTGGTGCAGCGCTCGGCAAAGAGCGGTGCCAGGTTCTGGAAGTCAGACCGGATGGACAGGTCGAACAAGATGCGCTGGCCCGATGGGTGCGTGACGAGAAAGCAGTATGAGGGCACGGCCATGCGGTCATAGCCTCGAATCGCTGGGGTCATGAATTGCTGCGCTGGGAAGTCCAGACGGGCGCCTCTGATAGTTGTTGTCAGCGGAGTGGGTTTGGGGTAGCAGAGCAGTCACTGGAATAAGAACATACGAGTCGATCAGGAAGACCTCGACGGTACTGGCGGACTGTGGCAGATCAAGCGATGTCATTGTTCGTGTTTGTTGTGAGGAGAAGGAATACACTGTATCGAGTAGATATGAGGGGTCAAACTACTTGAAGTAAAGCTATGATTTGATCTCTTAGTCCTTGTGGTCATTGATATACCACAGTTGAATCGACAAGGTTTGGGGTAACCAGTTGGGGCTCGACCCCCCAGCAACGCTGGCGAAATCAGCTCAACCATACAGAGCGAAATTCTCTCGAAGCATTATTATCTCATGATGACCTCATCACTTGACATACCCAGAATTTGTCCAACAAAGCTTATCTGAAGTAAAGATATGTTTATAAGTTATAAACAAGACTATTGGCGGCACCGCCTGGTTCGCCAAATGTGCCATGGTTGGCCACTGCTGAGGCGATAGGGATGTGAATGTATGGGTGCTCAAGTTGGGGTATAACACGTAGTTGACCTTGTCGAAACTATATCTTCGGGAAATTTGACAGCATCGACTATATGCTGTCTGGAAATTAAATGGAAGTGCTGATGCTATAATACTGCTTTATGTCTGATACTTGAAGAGATACAAGTGTATTTTGTCCAAACGACCGAGCTTGAATGCTGGCTCAATATATATACATCAGTGGGAAAGATGGATTTGGGACGACACAGCAGCAAACCTTCAGCATTCACGTCTATGTTGCTCTATGTTAATACCAAAAGGTATTTCATATATGTCTGACTGCGAAAGCGATACTTGCGACGACTTCACGTCGTCGACTTAACAATTTTCATATTGACCAAGGGAATAAGAAAAGTGAACCAGTGGGTGCGGTCTTAATGCTTGAGGCAGCAGTTCCCGGCTAACAGGTTCCAGGCAGGACTGGGTCCTGGATGTGATAACCCCCTTCTTTTTGATGTTTTCACCGTCTCTTGAGGCTGAAATACTTGGTTCTCAGCAGACTTCTGAGGGGCAAGAAAGGTTCCTGGGTATAATGCAAATCACCTAATCTAGTGTAAGATATGGTGGTAAAATTCGATCCATCACTATCGCTGACTCATCAGACTCCGACCCCCAACCCCCAACTTACAGACTCCAATTCCCCAATGCCGAACCCCAAATTTACTGCGAGTTGAAAATCCGTCTGCTTCTCCAATCTGCGTTCGAACCAACAGACCTCCCTCTCACCCGCAATCTGTGAACCCCAATTCTCCTCCCGAACCTGCATCTTCTCCCGACAACTTATCCTCCTCAAACCCCCATCGCTTGGAGATCCCCAAAGGCCAGCCCCGCAATACATCGCACGCTGCAGCGGCCAAGCCATGTCTTCGGGAGCAGCAAAACGTGCCGAACGGTCGCTGATTTGTAATTTGTGCCTGCGTTCGTTTGCACGATTAGAGCATCTGCAGCGTCATCGGAGAACCCGTACTGCCCCTCTCTCAGACATTGAACGGATGCCTTGGGCTTGCCTGACCTAGGCATAGATACCAAAGAGAAGCCTTTTGCTTGTCCCTGCGGCCGAGCTTTTACACGAAAGGATCTGCTAAGGAGGCATGAGCGACTAAACCATGGAATTTATGACGGTAACTGGCCGGTCGACGGTACGTAGGTCCCCTCCACTAAAACCAAGAGGTTGGCTGATCGGAGTACATAGTAAGCGAGCAATCTCTCAACATAACTCCAGAGTCAATTACGACGGCTCCCGCCTTACAGGATAGACATTCTGCGCAATCTGAACAGACCCAGCCTCCACTCCCTACCACTTACCCTGGAACTGCGGATCCCCTACACCAGCAATTTTCAGAGAATGCCCCACTGTACTTCGACGATATTCTAAAAGACTATGACGACCCGGTGTTGGACTTTTCAAGGTTCATGGATATGGTGAGTTCGGATTTTGACTGGAGCACAATAAACCCGGGCATGGGGACCAGTCACCAAGAAGTCCAGCCTACGGTCCTAATGAATGCTATGCCCTCGGATCAGATGGACGTGACCCCACCTGATAGTCGTCCAAGAGTACCCGATGGTGCGACTGATAGCGGTGCGCATAATCACAACTGATCTGTTGTAGGATGTATCAAAGATACTGACTTGAGATAGACGACTTTCAAGAGCTGAAGCCCACGCTGGATCCCTGGGTTGTCAGCGAAGCTCAACGAACTGCGATCACACAATCACTGGCTCCATTCCAGACCTCACTGGGTGACTTCAAGCTCCCATCTAGGTCCGCTCTTGGGCGGTATGTGAAGGGCTACGTAGACGGCTATAGCAATCATCACCCCCTCGTTCACATCCCCACGCTCAGTATCGCCTCCCCAGAAAGAAGCCCAGAGTTTGTCCTGGCGCTTCTAGCAATGGGCGCGCATTATCGATACGAAACAAAAATGGCTCGCCGGCTGTACCACGCAGCTAGGTCAGTTGTTGCTGAGCGTCAGACTCGCGGCGGACCACTCTCGAGTTCGGCTAAGGCCGGTGTAGCCGGGCATGATGCAATGGACCGACTGCGCGCATTAGTCCTAGTGGCGACGTTCGCATTGTCCCAAAAGAACAGTGATTTCATCTGCGAGTCTCTGGAGTGTCAAGGATGGATTGCCTCGCTTCTTCGTAGCGTTCCTATGCCAGATCACAACCACGCCAAGATCGGAGATAATTGGCGGCAGTGGGCCTCGGCCGAGGAAGACATACGCACCATTTTCAGCGCATACTGTCTCCTGATGAAACAAACGATCTTGTACGACACCCCTCCGATGGTATTGAGCCATGAGCTTGATCTCCCTCTGCCCTCCTCGTGCCGGGAATGGATAGCCGCGACGCCATCGGAATGGCTCGCTGCTCGGGCCACAGTGCCACCTGCTATCTCTTTCAGGGAATGCCTCCGCTCACAGCTAGCCACCACCCAGCCCCAAGTTCCGGCTCCATCACTCTCCCCAATGGGGAACTACATTCTCATTCATGCGCTCCTCCAAAGAATCTATCTGGCAAACTCCCTCTCGCAGGACGTAGACCGTCCCTCCCTCTCCGCCGCAGAAACCGACGGCCTCCAGCGGGCTCTTAACAACTGGCGAATCACCTGGAAGGCGTCCCCGGACACCGCTCACGATCTGCATGACACCTACGGTTCCATGGCCTTTGCCTCCACCGCGCTGCTGGGCATGGCTCACGTCCGGCTGCAGTGCAACCTGGGCCCCTGGCGACAGCTGCAGAGCTGTGACCCGCAGACGGTCGCCGCGAAACTCCACGCGTGTCCGCTACCGGAGCGGAGCCCCCATTTGCCCCACGCCCTCCTGCACTCGATCCACGCGCTCCGCATCTCCGTCCACATGGGCGTCGCGTACTTCTCAACGCGCCAGTCGTTCTCGTGGAGCTTGTACCATGTCTTCTGTGGACTGGAGTTTGCGGTTTTCACCAGTAAATGGCTACACGTAGTGGCTCAGAATTGCGGCAGCGTGCCCCTCACTGGTAGGTCACTCTTTCCAACCACAGACATAGTTCTTTCTTCACATGGCAATACTAATATGTGTTGGTAGACTATGAACGACAGATCATCCAATGGATCATCCGAGCGGTGCGTGACGGTTTGGAGTCCCACGATGAGACGGCCGGCGACGAGTACCAGATCGAGGACGATGATCTCCGCCGCCCACAGGAAACGATTCGCTTCCTGAAATTCGCAGTGCCAAAGCTGTGGGCGCAGATGTTTATCGCCTGTAACAGCCCTTGGCCTATTGCTCGCATGATTGGGGAGAGCTTGGAGCATTACGCCAACCTAGTGAGAGATGAAGTCTGATTAAAAGGGCCGCTTACTTCGTCGACAATGATAATGATGTTGCGCGTCCGTCTGTATTGGGTAGGGCTTTCGAGACGAAGTTTTAGAGGTTGTTTCACAGCAACATTGACTGACCCGTTAGTTCAACCTGCTGGTCGGAACACTTTGGGGTCAAGTGGTAGATACCCTGTGCGCGTCCATTCAAGCCACTTATCCATCTCGTTAGATCCAGGGCAGGTACATGTAGTACGCCATTGCCACCCACGGACTGGAGGCTGTTGTTGCGTGTTTGATACAAGGATTTCCTGACATCGTTGGTGCAGTTCCATCAAGCTAGCGGATTATCGATGACAGCGAGAACATCTTATGTAGGGTGTCTGTACAGCAGCCTTAAAGAATAATTGGGAATCGGCACCGAAATAGTGGAGAATAATTCTTAGTTTAGATGTGTGCACCTGAAGTGAAAAGCTTTACCTGGCTGTGGCAATGCGGACGCACGTACTGTGCTGCGAGCAAATTCTAACACCGTCCTCGCAACGCGGGACAGCATCCTTCCGTAACATAGCAGGGATTTGAGCAACGGGAACCATGCCCTTGACTATTGACGGCGGCCAGGGGGCCTTAGGCTGCCCGTTCACGCCCCACAACAGTCACTGGCCTTAGCTAGTTCCTTGCAGATAGCCTGACTACGTCAGGCTATCTGAACATCTTCCACCTCTCTCGCAGGTGTCATCAACTGTAAAAATTGAGGATGAGTGTGAACAAATTGAATGATGGAGGGAATGTTACTATACTGCTTGAAATATTATTTCCCTCCTACGGTGCTTCTACACGTAGCCTGAAACATCCAATTACATAGCTGGGCGCCGTCTAAGTCCTTGCCGTTAGGTTCTGGCTGAGTATGCCTACAGTTTCTTGCATAGTTCATGTTAATCCAGCTTGAATCACTGTAAGACGAGGAAAGGAAAATCAAAAAAGAAAGGCCAAATAGAATGATTGCAGTACAAGTTTGACACCAGTGCCTTCAGATCAAATCCTATGCCGCGTCAACACAGCTTCACCATAGCTCTGAGTGTAGACACATGGACCACCATACTGACAAAAGGCACGTAGGATGACAATAGAACCTTTATTAGCAAGACCCCCAAGGAGTACTCAGCCCACCGAGGCTTTTGTATAGCATGATTATGACAAAGCCGGTGGATGCTTCTGTGCTGTGTCGTCTGCATGGCCCATACCATGGCTTAATTGAGACGCCGTTCATGATTAGCACGACGAGCTATGGCAAGTATTTCGCGAGAAGTTGCGGAAAGAGTACTCCCATCGAGCCTCAGTCTATTCCTGGACGTCCCCGCATGTTGCGCAGGCTGCGCTTGCTTTTGACGCTCACGGGCAAGCTCCTTCTTCAGGCTCTTGCACTCACTGTGCAGCGCCTGGATGGACTTTGCGGATGCCTGGCTCGCCTTGCGCATCACTCGCAGCACGCGGACAGACACATCATCGGTAAATGGGCTCTCGGGAGCATCGTCGAGGAAGTCATCGAGATGTTGCACCAGGACACCCGCTATCTTGTCACGTAGGCTCTCAGCATTCGGGACCCGATAGGCTAGCTCTACGGCTTTCGCAAATCCTTTAGGGGACCATGGCATCTGGAGTGTTTTGTCGACCTTATCAACGAGAGTATTCAGCCGCGACACCTGATAGTATTCTGCGATCTCAGCGACCTGGATGTGTGCAATCAGCACCTCGGATAGAATCGGAGTCGAAGGATTGGGATGTGACGTGGTTTTGCCTTTGGAGGAAGAAGACTCTTTGATCACCATCACTGGTTAGCTTGCATCCCAGAACGTTCAGATGGTAACGGAAACACAGACCGATATCGTCCTTGCAATCGTACTCAGTGGTATAATCTCCAGTATACAAGTATTCCACCATGTAGCCTACGGTCGATGACTGAAATCCGTCGATGCGGTAGACGCCTGAGCATGCCTCCTTCACGCAGTCAGCTCCCGTCCCCGAACTTCCTTGATCACGTCATATCTCCTTACCTTAAATCCTACCTTGCAGGCGGCTGCGAAAGCTTCTACCTGTGTGCAAACGACCACCTTGTGGACCGGAAACGTGGTACCGTCACACTCGAGGGCGAAGTCACTGTATTTGCCAGCTTTGGCCTGTAGAAAGAGAGCGTTGCTTAAGAGAAGCGCGTGCGAGGCCGCATCGTCAAGACTGCTGTTGTGAGGAGAAGAGAACGAACACCTTCAAAAAGTCTGGCTCACACTTTGGCGAAGTGTAGGCTGAGGACTCTGAGGATAGAGGAGTGTGTAAGAAGAAGGAAGTGGGAGAGATAAAGGTCAGGTTGGCTGGTGATTTTATAGCCTTCCTTCTCAGGCTCAAATGAGAAGAGAATTCTGTCAGTGAAAAGTGAATGTAGTAAGTAATAGGTAATATCGCCCGACTGACCTGTTGGGACTGTTCATTCACTGTACTGTGAATATTACCTGGTGAACGTACGAGTTAGCCGCTTGATGACACTAATCTGAGCCTCATCCCCAACCTTTTATCACTATGACTTCTCTACCACCCCTTCTCATGCCCTGATCTACGCTTTTTCCGCAACTACAGTTATTCTGCCGTGTTTTGAAGTGTTTAGCTCTCCCATCTTGTAACCTTCAGGCACCGGTTCTTCAGCTGGCAGAGTATCATGGAGTCAAGTTTTGTTTACTTCGCTTTCCAGAACTACGTGTGCTTCGGGGGAGAGCACAATATGAGGGAGTTGAGCAACGCTGGCAAAACCATCTACACTCCCCCTGTTATTGAGAACAAAGGAGACTAGAACTAAACTCCCTCGTATCGACTTCCAACATGACGAATATAAAACATTCAAATTTCAGGCCGAGAGTAGTCTGGACAATATGGCAAATGGCGTATACAAATCTCACCCCTGAAAACCTAAGCCCTGATCCTCCCACTCCTCCAACTTACAAGATCCCGGCTTGAACCAATGATACTGAATTTTGACAGCCCTCGAGCGCCCCCGGATCTGCATACAAGTCAAATCCAGCGCTTAGGAGCCCGACCCCCCACTGCAGCGATCTTCTTCATCAACTTAGCCGGCTAGCTCAGCATCGGCGAGTGGCCTGCGCTGCACCGATCGGCTTCCGCCCGGGCCAACCCCGCAAACTCCTCTTGGGAGGTTGGCGGAACGGCCTGATCTCCCTCGCACACCAGGTAGGTCGAAGGAAGGTACTTGCGACTCGCCGAATGCCCCGAGCACAGATTGCCCTTTCGTAAGAATACACCCCGCAAAGTAAAAGAGGTGTAGCACCCCGCCTCTGTGTCCCTGAGCGTGCCGTGCAGCGTGGGTGAGATCCTCGGGGATCGCTTCGGTTTCCACGATACCGCCGTAGTAGTGCACCGCAACTGCCACGGATTTCTCTTCTTCGACTAAGCCTTAGACGACTGCGGTAATAACGGCCGCGTCATCCTGTAGAGTGCGTGAGGGAAAGTCGCTGATTGCGACGTCGGAGCAGCTTGGGAGGGTGGGGTGGACTACTGGATATCCTGCGTGGCGAAGACCAGTTGTCAGTCATTCTTCGACGAGGAAGGTCTGGAGGAAGCCCCGGACAAGGACTATCGTGGGGTTGGAGGTGCTCATGGTCGGGTTACTATGTTCCCTGATAAAGAAGGTTGGCAGGAGTGAGTTCAAGATGCTGGTATGGTGGAGGGGAGGAAGAGATCTTATGTAAGCGCTTATGTATGCATCTGCTGCCTGGTGAGCATTAACTCTGCTCTAGTCGAGGAAGCTGTTATATTCTTTGGTCTCGGATTCAAATACCGTTCTAGTGTGTGTGAATACATAGCCCCCATCAGAATGTTCGATAGCAAGATGCCAGAACGACAGAATAGTCTCTAGAGAAGGAAGCGGGGCTCGCCATCAACGTACACTTTTACGCCAGTCTGACAGTAACGAAGGTATATGTAGCTTGTATCACAGATACTCAGAACCTCTGGTCATCGATTCTTCTGGGCGATATGCATTATGTGAATCAGACCACTCGCTACATTGCTTGATAAACAGGTCAGGTTGGCTGCAGGTGATCACAGGGGGTTTGCGAGAGTGCCGAGCCGGCCTCGGACATCTGGTCGGCTTATTGTAATAAACCGAGCTTTGAGCGATGCCATGGTTGTATAGAGCTTTGCAAGCATCTTACTCCTGGGCGTCTATAAAAATTGATCCATTTGTGCTCCCATAAACAACTTGAACAGAAGCAGAAAACATAAATTCCTTTCGCAAGCTTTCATCTAGCACAACAAACCCTTGTACTTCCTCAACAGCACAATGCCACAGCACATTGCTATCATCGGCGCGGGTCCGTCAGGCCTCACTCTCGCAGCCCTGCTACAAAGACACGCAATCCCCTTCACTATCTTCGAGAGCGAGACCTCATCCAGCTCGCGATTTCAAGGTGGATCCCTCGACCTTCACCCGGAATCCGGTCAACGGGCTCTGCGGGAAGCGGGCCTCTGGGACCAATTCCAGAAGCACGCGCGGTACCACGACCAAGACTATCGCTTCGGAGACAAGACCGCAGCAACTTGGCTCTACCACCAAGCATCTGCAAACGCGGAGGGCCGCCCGGAAATTGACCGGTCCTTGCTGCGCAAGATCCTGATCGAAGCCCTGGACCCCAACAACATCCGCTGGGACCACTCTGTCTCAGAAATCGTGCCCCTGGCTGATGGTCGCGTCAAGCTATTGTTCCAGGGCCGAGAGGACCCAGTGTTCACCGATCTGGTAGTCGGGGCGGACGGAACGTGGTCCAAGGTCCGGCCGATGCTGACCAGCTGGAAGCCAGAGTATACTGGTCTGACGGTGGTTGACTGCCGCATATCCAACATCGATGAACGGTTTCCCGAGCTGAGTGACTTCGTGGGCCGAGGAACCTTCTTCTGCCTTTCGGAGGGAAGTGGGATCTTCATCCAACGCAACGGGAACGGTAGCGTACGCGTCTACCCTTGTCTCCGCGTGGAGGAGAAATGGGCATGGAATAATCACTCCTTTGACTGGGGTGATCACCAGAAGATGACAGAGTTCTTGATTGAGACGTTCTTTGCGACGTGGGATCCTCGTCTACAAGCTGTTGTCCGGAATGTCGACGCGAGTATGACACCCCGTGCGCAGTATCGCATGCCCTCGGGACTGCGGTATCCTCATCGTCGCGGATTGACGCTCATCGGCGACGCTCTACATGTGATGTCCTGGTTTGCGGGTGAAGGTGCAAATCTGGCGATGTTGGATGCTGTGGACCTCTGTGAGACGATTCTCGCGCATCCCGGGGATCTGGACCTGGCCGTGCGCAGTTACGAGGCAAAGGTCGTTGACTCCTGCCGGGCTGATGTCACGAACGAGATGTCACAGGAGCTGCTTATCAAAGCGATGGCGGACGATGCTCCAGGAGCTTATGTGAAGGCAATGGCCGAGGCGATGGATGCCTGGTTCGCGGGGGGGAAGTTGCTGGAGAGAGTCGAAGACAACCATTTGTAGATATGCTGAATGTCCTTTTCCCCGCGGTTGGTGATGGCATTGCTCATTTTACAGCCATTTGAACATGTACTGTACTTCTGAATTAAGGAAGAGGAAGGTCTCACATGCAACACAGCTGCTCCGCATCCTTTGACAAACTTTCTCCCCTTTTAACTACTCAACCATGTCATCCTTCCGGTAAATCTCAGCGTAATACCATTGGGTCTTTGGAGAAGGACCAGTGCGTATCGAAATGTTTTACAATGACAAGACGACTCAGGTGGAATCCGTGATAATGTTTGTTCCCGTGAACCAAAACATATATCAACCTCGTCGCGTGTCTTTTTGAACGGTAGCACGTTAATTGTACACTCGTATACAGACATTCCATTGCGAGAGAAAATGGCAACCTCATCTGATAGATTGGCAGTCGGATTTCACTGACCTCCGAGCTCAAGAATGGCCGAGAAACGGGAAGTGGACTTTCTGCATAAATTGCCGAGATCGGTGGTAGCCGCGAGGCACTCCGTATAATTAGCCCGTTTCCCCGCCCAGCAAGTGGCAATTTCCCCAATTGTCCGAATGTGTCGTCCATGCAAGATATTCCCCATCATCCTGGACGATGGATCCTTCCCAGAAAAGACCTAAGCGGACACTTAAGCCAGGTGTCAAGAAAAGACGACCGCCCTTGGCTTGTATCCAATGCTATCAGCGGAAGCTTAAATGTGGCAAGGAATTTCCGTCCTGCGGCCGGTGCGTGAAGGCCGGAATCGCCGACGAATGCACATATCGTGGTCAACCTCATCAGAAAGATGTAATGACTAGGCTTGTCCGACAAAACAACACGGAGGCTATACCAGCACCCAAAGTGTCATCACAGGATGGCCTGCAGAAAAGTTCCCTGCCTACGCCCAGTGGAACTGGCGAAATAACCCATCTGCGAAGGAGGGGCAATTTCGTTCAATTTTACGGGTATAGTTATCACATGAACTTCTATCAGCAGGTGAGTGTTGGCTTGGTTAGTAAAGTAGAATTGTGTAATCTGATGCCCTGTGTTTTAGTTTCCCGAGCTTCAATCCTACATTGCTCGCGTCAAAGCTACGCACCCTTCGATCAATGTTGCAAGGGATGGGGTGTATCCACCACAGAATGAAGGCATTGCTCGTGGCCAGCGTCGTACCGCTTCAGCGAGCTCCGCCGCTTTGGAGCTCCTGATACCAAGCAAATCTGTGGCGGATGCATTAGTACAGAGCTATCTCGATCGCTTCGAGACCACACATCGCGTGCTGGACCGATCGGTCTTCATGGCAGACTATCATCGCCATTGGGGCGATTCCATGTCGACAGCCACCTCATTCCTTGCCCAGCTGCTCTTAGTACTTGCGGCTGGCGCCAGCCTTCACCCCGACATTCATTTCGAGAAGGAGAGCGAAACATCGATCTACGTGTCGATCTACGTGCAAACGACGGAATGGATCGAGGTCGCTGAATCATGGCTCACTTCCTCCACTGATGTTGTGCCACATTCTCCGTGCACCATTGCATGTCATTGCTTATTACTGATTGCGAAGCGAGCGAACTATATTCAAGGAAGCTCATTTTGGACCAGCACTGGCGCACTGATGCGACTGGCAATGGCAGCGGGGTACCACCAGGAGGCTAACCCAGCAGCTCGAATTTCCCCCTACAATCTGGAGATCCGGCGGAGGCTATGGACAACGATCGTGGAGCTGGATGTACAGGCCGCTGTAGAACGAGGAATGCCGCCCTCTCTCCGAATGAATGACTTTTCGACACATCGTCCATTGCATATCAACGATGACCAGATACACGAATCCCTCGAGAATGGGGGTGTCGATTTGCCAATGGAGGCGATGAGCGATACCTCGTTCCAGGTTATCATGTTGAAATCACTACCGACAAGACTTGCCATATGCTCGTATGTGAATGGCTACGATGTAGCGATAGAGTTTGAGCAGGTCCAGGAACTCGCGGAAGCGTTGCACAACGCAATTCGTGACATCCCGGACTGGAAGGGTCGGGCAGCAGATCCACGCCAGGAGAGGCTCGCTATGTACTTGAGCACGTTGCTGAAGGTTTATTTGTGTCAGTATTCGCTCTTGCTGTATGCCAAGTTCGGTTGCCAGTCGCCAGACTCGTTCCAATCAGCGATCTGTCGCAGAGCGCGCTTGGATGCGAGCACAACAATACTGGAATGCTACCAAAGGCTCGTTGACGATGGAATCGTTCCGAAACATGCTTGTCAGACAGGGCTGATGGTAGCTGCCTTGGACCTCTGCCATGAGATTTATCTTTCTCATGGCCCTGGTGGTGAGTCAACTCGCCATGCCTTTTCAGGAAAGCTCCTGTCTTTTTCTTTTCTTTCCTTTCCTTTTTTTTTTTTTTCCTTTTTCACGCAAAATGTTGCACGAGCGGTGATAAATTGACATTGTTCTCAGTGGAAGCTACCGGAGTAACCACATCCTTAGGATTCGCACATCATCTACTTGGCGCGGTTGAGCAGGTGTTAGAGATCTTGCAAACAAGGATAAGCAGAACTCTGCATGGCTTGAACGAGTACTATCTCCTCAGCATGATCATCGGTCTGGTTAAGACCAAGATATCTCCCGCGACAAGATCCAGCAATGACACGGAAGCTGCGAATCGAGCAATCCAAGTCTGCACTTTCTTACACACTGCGCGGGCTTCTTTGCTCACGTGTGACTCGCCCATACAGCCAGTGTAAGGCTCGCTGTCATAGCATCCCCGTCGAGTTCGAGTTCACAACTAAATAAGGCGTCGCAGTGCACCAGCGATCAGCTCGGAAGGTCTTTCACCATCAGCAATGCTCCACGATATCTCCGGTGGTCTGGACTCATTGGTACGAAAGCAGTCCCTTTTCCTCATCTGTCGTGACTAATCCTAATGATGCCCAGTACAACGACAATGCGGGATCCACTGAGGATGACTTCTTATTTGACTTCTTCCTTCAGGACCCATCGTCTTTTTCTAATCATAGGCAAGCCATAATGACAGAAATGTGCTGACAAAGCACAGCTTGCCTGATTACAATGCGAAGCCGGTGTACCGTCTGTGAAAGAACTCTTCGTACACTCAACAGTGTTGCATTAGGTATACTTGACACCGTATCAATGCTAAGAATGATCTCTCCGCGATCACAATCCTCCCGCACCCTCGCTTTCCACCGAATAACGGAACCACCACAAGACCTCCCAGCACTCAACATAATCTAGTCCACGATCCCACAACACCACCCTAAGCGTTCTCCATCGCCGCCGCCACCATTCCCTGCAGCATCTCCACATCCATGACATACAAATCCTCCCCGTTGTCCCCCAGAAACACCGAGGGCCCGCGGCTGACCATCAGCAGCTCGGTCTCGCAGTCGAACGGGAGCGGGTCGTGCACCGCGCCTCTACTCTCAGACACATAGTCGCCGGCGACAAAGGACCCCGTCTGCGGATGCGCGCCGCTGCCCTTGAGGACGTAGATCTCGGCGCTGTCTACGTGACGGTGGCGCGGGAGGAGACCGCCCGGCTCGGCGCGGACCATGATCGTGTACTCGCCCGTCTCGGGGACGAGTTTCACGACCTTGATGAAGACGCGGGGGGCGAGTGGGAGCCATTGGAGCGAGTCGACGTGGACGGTGAATCCTGCGTCGGGGTCGGTGTCGGTGTGCATCTCAACGTGAATCGAAAGTTGAGCCTGGACGCGTGTGTGATAGCGTGAAGTGGTGACTCGAATGGTCTGTAGGCGATGGTCTGCTGGAGTTAGGACTTGAGGTTTTGCGGAGAGGCGGGTGGGGTGTGTTTCGACGTACGTGCATCTGCGAAATCAGGGACCGGGAAGTGTTGGGTATCAGCACGAATTGTAGAAGATCAATGGCTGCTTCGCTTATATTGGCATTGTTTCGAGGGTCATTGCATTAGCAGACTGGAAGTAGGCCCTTCACTGGCAGTCACACACATAACGACGGCGGCCGATCATATGCTTTCGGAGATCCGAGTTCTTCGGGGTTCCGGCCGAATGGGGTAAGTGTCTTCCACACGTGGACGTAGTACTCAGAGACCGCTGCGAGAAAGTTGGTGCCACCTATGCTCTACGTTAAGGGCATGCCCATGAGGAATCTTGCCGCTTGATCAGACCAGTTATGCGTGCAGATGGGATTCTCCTCATCTAGTCAATCCTTTACGTGGGGCCAACATCGAACGGGTCGACATCCTTGTCCAGCCATCCCGCTGGAACCTGGCTATTGAACAGCTGCCACATCAACCAGTCAGCAGAGGAATCCACGTCGGTGGTGGCGGTGGGCATAGGCTCTAAACCAGGGGCTTCAGGGAATATGGGGTGAAACGTTTCCAGGGATGCCGTGTTATGCGCATGATCAAAATTGGTCCCAGCCAACGGCACTGGTAGATCGCCATCAGGCGCGACAGCCTCAGAGCCAGAATCGCCCCGACCACCAGATACCTGGAAGAAGGGCGCGCAAAGACGCTCCAGCGACTGCAGCAGGTTCAAAAGCTTGCCCAGGTGGCGGTCCTGCTTAAACGGCTCCAGGCGTTGGATGATCCGATCCAAGAGGTCGTAATCGTCCCGATCGATGGTGCCGATAATGTTGCAGAAGACGACAAAGAAAGCGCTCAGCGGGTAGAGGAAGAGGGTCCTAGGATGGTCTGCGGTCAGTCTGAACTGCCCGCGCTGTGAAGTACAGTACTGGGTGATCGGTGACCAAACACGCACCAGGTCAAGAAGGACGGATATGGATCATCAAACCCTGGAAGCTCGGCGGGGTGTTGTTGGAGGAAGTGAAAGGCTTGGAGCGACTTGCGCGCATTGATGAGGCATTCTCGGTGAACCTTTGGGCTGAATGCGCTTTTCAGCCGGGTACGGTGGATCTCGACGAATATGGCGTAGTAGCAAAAGTCCACACCGACCCAGTCGTACTGGACCATTTGGGGATGGGAATCACGACCCTAAATGACGGCCTGGCTTAGAGGAATGATTTTGTGTTAGAGGGAAGTGGTGTAGGACGTACCGCCTGCAAGCGTGGAAGAATGGCCTGCATTTTAGCCTCGAGGCGCTGGCATGTCTCGAGAGCTTGATCGGGGTGCTTGTTTCTGCTACCACAAGAGACTGCACGCAGCTTGCCCTGAATTTGGGCGAGATCAATTATCACCCGCAGAAGGTCATTGTACGGGGACGACGGCGCTAATGCAATAAGGTCGGTAGGGGAGACCTCGAGGTCGGGTAGCGAAGAGGGCCGACAGAGAAGAGAACTCAAGGTCTGGTCGAGATAGTAGCACCAGTAGACGACACTGTTGATCTCTTGCTCCGTTTCGGAGGTCGCTGGCAGTCTGCGTATCTTGTGATAGTTTAAGGCCGTGATTTGTCGGGCGGCATATGAAATAAAGAGCCAACATTGGTGTGGTCTCCCTAAGTGCTGCATGAGCAATGCCTAGAGGGTGAAATTAGTCAAGAGCTCGTTCATCTCTTCGGTCGAAAGACAGCTTACACTGGACACCATGGACTGGATCGTCAAGAGATCTGGTGGTTTGAGTATGTTGAATTTCTCAATGCTGCGCATTGCTGCTGCTACATAGTTTGACCTGGATTCTGACATCTCCTTTCGCAGAACAGGGTCGTCGATGGATCGTGAAACCTGGTATATATGAAAAATGGCTTTTACATAGATACAAACGCAATACTGGTGGAATGTCTTGGCGTCGAGCTGCGATCGGTCTTTTAGTAGGGGCGTGGCCATCCTTACATAGGCCTTGTCCGATATATGATCTGGCCACTGTATACGCACGGACTCCGGTGGGCCTGCATCCCCATCAGCAGTGGCTTTATGCGAGAGAGAGGTTCGGTATCGATACCAGGCAGCAGCATGAATAACAGCTCACGCGGTGGTACTTCTGCAACCGTACTAGGGCAGTCGTGCAGATGATTCTCTTCTTCCAGAGATGGGGGCGGCTGATGGTCGGCCATGCTGCTCACCAATTGAAGCGCCGACTTTAGCACCGACTGTTGCTCACGACTAATCAAGCGAGGGTTCTGAAGATCTATCTGTATAATGTTCTTGGCCTGGATTGCATGATAGTTCGACCCCTCGTCGCTTGTAGTCGAGACAGCATCAGGAGAGGGGGGCCTAGGTACTAAAGTCGAGTCTTGATACTCAGAGCGTCTAGGAGAGCTAAATTCTGTGAGCGTTAGGCCAGGACTCGGACGTTGTCTGGAAATACTTCTCGTTAGAGACGTAGTAGTCGTCTTGAGCTGGCGGATTTCTGTACCTTCTGGGCGTCTGTCTGTCAAAGTCGACTATGGTTTCCTGGGGACTCAAAAAGCTGCGAAATGACTTCAGATTCAGAGCCTCCCGGGCTTTGAGAGCTATAATGGGAGCAGACCACTGGAGGGTTCTCTTCTTCGATCTCCGGCCACCGCGCTTGCGTCTACACACGGCACCAGCGTCTGCGCAGTTGGCGCATGGCGCTTGCCGATTACATTTAACCTAGTTGATGGTATCAAGGTCAGAACACCTGGAAGGACACGTCAAGTCCAAGCGTGAACATACCTTTCTGGCATGGCATAGGTCACACTGTTTACGATGGATTAGCATTTTGACGACGACTACAGCTCGGCTTGGAACTAGTTGAGGTGAGGTTATAACCTACGGCAGGAAGGATGTCCGTCGCAGAGGTGAGACTGTTTGCCATCTTGCATTCGTGGTGCCTCGTGCTTGGTTGATTCGGAATGGTAAAGCAGGCTGGTGAGAAAGGAGGGTTCGAGGTTCCACTGCAAGGGAGGCGGAAGCGGGGACAGGAAAATCCAGGAATCCGGCGTTCCTCGCTGCCTGAGTGCCGTGTTGCCTGGGCCGTTCTGCCGTGCTACCACCCAGTGATTCTACACTACACGCTGTACTGTACTGTACATCCAGGCCAATAGATCTTGCTGGGCACTTGTCGTCCATCTAGTCAATTTATGTTCTATCCTCGTATTTTGAGGGTGCATATGATTATATTAATACAGGTCAATCGCCCTTTTCAACACCATCTAGTAGATCTAAAGGCTCGGTCGGACCCGAAATATACTCTCGAATAGCATCACAATTCACCACGAATACTTGCCCCCAGCGGTTTACCACGCCACGTTCTGTCCATCATACTTTCCCCAACCAGGAACATGGATATTCTTGAAGGTTCCATTGTCCTGGCTATCGGCTGCGAGAGCCATCTTGAGTACTGCCTCTGCGCCCTGAGGCACGGTCAGATCAGCGTCTTGTCCGCCCATATCGCTCTTCAACCACTGTAGGCCATTAGTGAATATGAAGTCGAATTTGTTCTATCGGTGGGAAAGGGCGACCTACACCAGGGCTGACTGCGAGGAACACAAAACCTTCGTCCTCATATGAGAGAGCATATTGCACGGTCAACGCATTCAGGGCAGCTTTACTGATCTTATAGGCTGGACAAGGTGCATAGACTACATCTCGAGCATGGGTCATGGAGCCGTATGCACTCGAGCTAATAGTTTAAGTGTCAGCAATCTGCGACCAAGAAAGCTTCAGCGCGCGACGGGAAAGCATCTACTTACATGTTCACCACCTTCTTAACCTTGCTCGACTGCATGAGGGGCAGACACTGTCGGAGAACATTATGCGTGCCGGTCACGTTGACTGATAACTGCCAGTCGAGGTCCGACCTGAGCAACGTTAGTCTCTCCCCCTGAGCTAACCATCATAAGCAAAGGGTCGGTATTGCATACATAAGAGTCACCTTGCCATGCGTTTCACTATGGACACCTGCACAGTTGATCAGGATATCCAGACTGCGTCCCCCGAGGGCCGATTTGACTTGCTCGACCAAGTTTGCGATGGCCCCCTCGTCCGCTACATCGAGCGCGACGAAAACAACGGCTTCATTACTCGCAGAGATGACCTCCTTCAGCTGAGGGCTGCATGTCCGAGCAGTGGCCACGACCACTCCACCTTGCAGGTCCTGATGAGCAGCTATCTGCTTGACCAATTCGAGGCCAAGCCCGCGAGAGCTCCCTGTGACGAGGACGTTCGACATGGTATGATGTGCAGGGATTAGGCACGGAGGTTAATGGTTGACAAGCCAATAGCATCCACGATGAGCCATTTCGCAAGCCCAGTAGTCGGAATCCTGAATAAATAGCCGAGATATAGGCCGGGGTTTTCGACATCCGGGCCGGCATTGCCCTTGCCCTTGCACAGAAAGTCCCGTTGGGCCCCGAAAGCCGATGCGGGATTTCTTCGGATATCCGAACTAAAAGGGTAATCAGCTGGGTCGTCGGGTCGCCGACGTTTGCCACCCATGAAAATCTTCACATAACCTCTAGCCCCGAAAGATGCATCCCACAAGGGCAAAGTATGAGATAATCAATGGCCAAGATGTCGATCTTCATTGGAAAACCCTTATGTGGCCAATCGATCGGTGTACGTACACCTTCGGCCATCTGCACGACAGAATCCTGCAGCAGGCTGTTAGAGCATGCCTACAGGCTCTCTGGTCAATTCAGCAGGGTATATTAGAAAGTAAATCAGCTAGCTTCTAGACCTGCAAGTCGAGTGTGGTTTAAGAGGACTGCAATCGACCCGAACCATCTGGCCGCTCAGTTGCTTCTTCCACTCTGAGCCACACACACCCTTTGCTTGGCGGCAAGAACTAATCACTATGCCTGCATCAAACCCGCAAGCAGATTCCTTTGCAACCCTGCTCTCCCTGCTGCAGGCAGACGAGATTATCACATCCAATTCCCCAGATTATGAGGCCAGAGCCCAGACCTGGGCCGCACAAAAGCATGCAAGGCCCCGCCTGGTACTCCGACCCACCTCTATCGAGTCGCTCAGCAGGGTGCTTGCCTTCCTGTACAGAACGAGGCTTGACTTTGCCATCTACGGCCAAGGGTTTAGTTCCGCCTCAGCTAAGGATGTCGTGGTCAATATGTCAGGCTTCGATGACTTCCACTTCGATGCACCGGGGGAAGTGGTGACTGTTGGTGCTGGACAGACATGGTCAGATGTCTATCGGAAGCTCGCTGATGCGGCACCAGAGTATGGCAGTATGTGATCTTGCTTTTTTCAATCTTTGCGTGGTCTCCGTATGGTTGCAATCACAGGAACCCGGCTGCTGATATGATACTCGGCAAAACGAACAGTCGTGGGCGCCCGGACACCTTGTGTCGGCGTAGCTGGAACCATTGTCAATGGCGGCTACTCGTGGGTTTCCAGCGAGTATGGCTGCATCTCCGACCAGGATAACATGCTGGACGCCAAGGTGGTCAAGTATGACGGATCGGTGGTGTGGGCGTCTACGGAACCGGAATTACTCTGGGCACTGCGTGGGGGTGGTGGCGGCTTTGGCGGTATGTCTGTCTACGATGTGCGCAGGCTTTCGTGGGATGGTCTGTACTAATCTTCATACCTGACTGTAGCCCTGGTCCAGGTCAAGCTCCGGGTTTTTCCCTACCCCCAGCATATCTGGGCCGGGCCCATTCTGGTGCCGAGGGGAAGGTTGCAAGAAGTCGCGGAGGGCATCGCGAACTTCCTCTGCCGGCCGGTCAGTCCCAGGATAACCATGTTCCTGTACGTGGTTAAGGGACGCCTGCTCGAGTCGCTTGGCACGGACGAGGACATGTTAGTCATCCATGCCTTCGACGCCAACGGCGAGGAGCACGGTCGGGCCCACTTCCGGTGGGCGTTGGATATCCCCGGCGCCATCGACCAGACCAAGATTACGACCCTTGCCGGGGTTGCAAACCTGCAAGGTGAGAGATGGGCATCAAGAACCCTTGGCCGGTAATCGTCACTGACATGCAACCCTCTTGCAGACAAGGCTGGTATTGTCAAAGGCACTATGAAGCAGTTTTGGCAACCATTGCTACTCAAGGAGATCTCGAAAGACATCGTTATTAAGGCCGTCAGATGGTTCGAAGAGATCCGAAAGATCGATTCCTCACTAGGCGACTGCACCTATTTGATCTTCGAACTCTTAAGCTCGGTAAGGAGTTCCCCATCCCGTAGCATGTCTTCCCTGAAACCCAAGCTGAGTGCGCATGGCTTCGTTTCGATCTAGAGTGACCCAGTGGGTGGCATGTCCGGTTCTGCCTGGCCCAGACCTAGTGATACGAAGCATATCATCCTCCTCGGCACTGGATGCCCTGCGGATGCCGGTCCCACCCAAGAGGAACTGGCTCGCGATCTCGCTATCCAGGCCCCCTCCAGGGTATTGGGAGATTATGCGGAGTTCCACGTGTTGCCAAACGGCTTTGAGGACTACCATGATACGACAAAGGTATGTGCTGCCCCAAATAGCTGATCCTCCCCGTCAAACACTGATGCTGACACGCGTGTAGATCTGGGGGCCGCATGTTGCCAAATTGCGGGAATTGCGGAGGTGGTATGACCCAGATGGAAGATTCAAGGGCGCTATTGGTGTGCAGACTGACTCAGGGTGAAGGTAGTATTTGATTAACACGTAGTTATTCATATTTTATGAAACCTGGGACGAAGACTAGGAAGTACCTTTTTGTCTAGAACAACCAGAATGCTTTGCGGTCAAGAGGAATCACTGTTCGGATTTTGCTACGACATATTGATAATTGTGTATTGGCCCAAGACACGGGTTCAACTTCTACTAGTAATGTCTTATATCTCGATATCCTGCAATTGACCCTAGACTCCCGTGCGGACAAATGGGGTGTAAACATTGAGCGCAAGTGATACTTGACCCGCCAAGAAAACAACGCATCAATGGCCCGAGAGTGTGATAGCCTACCGTAACCAACAAAGATGTTCACCAATAACTTTTATCCCCCCCCACCGCCTGTATCACTACTGTTGCCGCCAGTGGCATAATTGGAGAGTATACAAGTTACTTGGTTAGCAGGCCGTGATTGACGATGGCATACTGCCAGAGTCACATTGACACCGGTAAGAATCCCGGGAAGTCCCAGGTGGCAGGGCCCATCTTCCCCATGGGTTCGGCTCGGCATTTAAAGCCGCATTCGGAAACTATCATGACTCCAAAAGCCGACACTGTGGAACTCATGAAGATGCTATGAGGTCAAACTCATCGTTTCGGCACTTGTGAGCCGCCCTGAGAATGTTCAGCGCTGTATTGGTCGGTCTCTACTGGTATGTTGGGTCTGTGCTTGTGGATTGACGAACCCCCGAATGAGATCCCGCGGGGATCTCTCGCAGAAGGGGCTTGCTTGATAAATCAGGGCATTACTAGTGATTGCGTTGATTGCGGATGGTCATGAGCTTAGTTTCTAATACTGGTTGGGAATAGGATGATCAAGCCAGGGCCCATAGCCCGGCAACTCAGCGGTGGGAAGAGGTCAACCCCGGGTTCGACTTCATCAACTTGTAGTAGAGGCAATGGTGACCGAGGGACAATGAATTGGGCCATGGTGATTATTACCGGGCTTGGGCTCAGAGATTGAAAGCTGAACGATGCATTATATACCTTTACCTTTCCGGGAGGGTGCCCTCCGGCTGGTTCAAGTAGGACCTCGAAGCACTTCATGACCCCCTCTCGCGGTAACGTTTATCTTTCCTATCTCTCGTGGGACCATCCTTTGGACTCCTTGTGCGGGGCTGTGAGCCACAGCCTTCCAGTTGTGGATATGTCAGATAAGGAGGGACAGGCACTAGTCACCTCTGCTTCGAAGCAGGCAATACCAGCCTCATATGGCTTGACCAGTGTGTGCGTTGAGAGAAAGGGACCAGCTCTGCCATCCTGCTCGTATCCCTGGCACTTGATCCATCCTCCAGCCGCGGGCAGAGCGAGAGATCTCTCGTGAGAGCGTTACTGGCATGAATTAGTCAAGGATGTGTTCAGATAATAAACCGGAAAGCCATTTCAAGATTCGTAGCAATTCCTTTTCGCCAAGCATTCTGTTGATCCAGCATTCTATCTGGCCAATCCATCTGGCCAATCCAAATTCAATAAATACAATATATCTTTACTTCGCGACCCCATGAACATGAAACTGGGTCAGATATCATGCCTGGCGAACCCGCTCCGCAACCGCAACTGTTTCCCCCGCCAGTAAAGCACGAAGGGGAACGGCACGAAAAGACAAGTCAGACATCCAAGCAACGTACACGCCCACCCGACGCCCAGGTTATGGAACATGGCAGCCGCAAACAGTGGGAAGCCAGCCCCAAAGGACGACCGCATAAAGTCATTGCCCGCCAGCACCGAAGCGGCATAGCGCGGGTAGGCATGGGCCAGATAACAGAAAATCGGGTTGAAGATCAAACACCCACCCACCGAGAAGAGAGCCGAGGCCATGATGGGCACGATCCAGTGTACGGAATCGAAGTTGCCGGTCCACCCAAACCAGAACAGCGATACAGGAAGGCAGATACTGCCAACGATTGCCGGTGGCAGCTGCCCTTCGGGCGTGCTGGTGGGTTGCTTGGATTGGATGAAGTACTTCCAGGCGAAGTAGCCGGGGATGGCGAAGCAGAGGGTTCCGGTGATGATTCCTAGGAAGGCCATACCGCCTTCACCGGCGTTGAAGCCATGGATCTCCTCGAAGACGATGGGGAAGGCCTCGAACCATATGTAGAGGATGCCGTAGACAAGAGAAATATATATGTTCATCACGAGGACGATGGGTTCGAGAAAGCAGAGTTGGAACGGGCGGACAAGGGCTTCGAAAAGGATCTCCTGAGGCGGTGCAGGGGAGATGTTAGGGCTACTCGGTGCGGGCGTGGGGAGAGTTGGCATACCGTGGATGAGATGCTTTGAAATTCCAGCTCCGCTTCGCAATAGAACGGCTTTCCACTGAGTTTGCGCAGTCGACGCGCTCGTCGATAGAGAATGTTTGGTCCATACGTCTCGGGCAGCCAGAAGAACAAGACGACCAGCGCAAAACCAGAGACCCAAATCAACTGCCAAACAGTCCACGTCCAGCCTTTGGCCGACGAGGCAAACCCGCCAACCATAGGACCTAGGACTGGTGCTGCAATGGCGAAAGCGCCCCAGACCACAATCATATAGTCGCGCGCTCGGGGCGACCAGATATCGCCCATAGATGCGCCGCCCGTCGCCAGGGCCGGAGATCCAATAAACCCAGTAAGGAAGCGAAATGTAAGAAGTATGCCAAAGTTCTTCGCGTAGACAACGCCGAAATTCAGGAAGACAAACACGAAGAGCGTGAGGATGTAGACAGGACTTCTGCCAACGGTCGGAAGCTCGGAGAGAGGCGACCAGATCATGGGACCTGAATTGGAGGGGGTTCAACGGTCAGCAACGAAGGTGGTTGCACGATGAAACACAAGCTTACCGATTCCATACCCTAGCACAAACAGTGTTAGACCTAATGTCGAGGCCACAGTGCTCACCCCAAACTCTTCCGCTACCCCGGGGATGCCGGGACTGTAGATGGCCGAGCCAATGTATATGGCAAAGGTCAACAGCCAGATAAGTGAGCTGACGAAGAGCTTCTTCCCAAAGCCCCAGTTCTGAGGATTCTATTTTCAATCAACCATTTGCCTTCCGTCACCTATAAGGGGTTGTCAGTAGTTACCTCAGTGTCATTTGGTCTCCACCCCACAATGATGGACTTTTCGTTCCCGTGGCCGGACGTGTAGATGGAGCCTCGACGCGACCGACCGGAGGCCTGAGACATGATAGTCTCTAAACCATTGGGCTCTAGAATGCTTGCATTTGGTTCTAGGGCTCCGGCTTCCGTAGCGCTATCGGAGTAATCTGAGGCGATGGAAGAGTCACATTCCTCGGGATAGGGTAGAAGCCAGTTGCTGCTTGCAATACGAACGAGCTTCCCAAAGGCTGTGTCCCGAAGTAGTTCACGCATCCCGATTCCTGTGGGCTGAGAACAGTGCTCAATATATCCTTCAAAAATGATCGGCTGTACTCGATACACTGATGATGGTTAAATTGGTGGAAGAAGGGAAAGGATGTGACACCATATTTGAACACCAATTTCTGATGACAAAATAATTGGGTCGAGCGAGGCTCTGCCACATTTTGGTTCCAATTTCGTTATTTTCTTCGAACCGTAGATGAAGCTTTGTATCCCTTGTATTTGGCAAGAGATTTCAGAGTCTCGAACGCCAATCACACATACACCACAGAAAACCTTTGGTATTTCCGGAAGCCGAGCTCTGATTTTACGTGGCGGGAAGCGAATCTCGACTCCATTTGTTCGGAAGTCCGAGCAGGATGGGGAAAGGTGGGTACAGTGCAATGCAAACACTAACTACCGGAGCATAAACACAAGGGTACGGAAAGGATCATCAGCAGAAGCCGTACGTACAGCCAAATTCTCCCGTCGAATTGGGATCTCAAGTGCTGAATTATAAGCCCCTCTATCTCCTATTAATATCTACACACCTGTATACATCCTTCATGTACCTCAGACGAAAGGTGCTCGCAGGCACCACCATCTCCGGTAGCATCGGCCTAGCATTGGGGATATACCTCACAACCGCTGACATCCACGCAATCCCCCTAACGTCGACCGATCCTATTTTCACTTCCAAGTACTACCAAAGCTACAACCCCAATAGCAATCCGACAATCCATGACTTGCACATCATCAGGGTGCCATTGAATCAAATCGATCCCACACTCCTGGAGGATCAGAAGAGACTACTTGAGAGATATTGTGGGGGAATATGGGCCGGTGCTGGTAACGCATTGAACCTTGACGTCCGAAAGCTTTGTGTCTCTAACCCGTGCGTCCATGTATCCTGCAGGGTTTGCTCCACAACGAGTCCTTCGCAAATGGCTCGATAAGCCTAACACGAATGCAACCCAGCTTTGGTCTTCTTCCGAGCTTCTACGGTCAGATTACAAGGTCGGCACCGACATCGTCTCCGAATTCGAGGTTATCGATCGGTCGTCAACTTCAATCCTCATCCGGGGAGGAGACAAAACTTGCAATCGCGGTCTACGTCCCTTGGACGCGTTAATCGAGGTTGCCGCTCGAGTGGACAAGGAGAACCATGTAGCCGAGTTCGGGTTCAAATCGCTCTTCTTCCAAGGAGCTGGACGAACGGATAGGCTTCCGATGCCGGGGGCTGTGGTGTGGCTGCATGAGCTATACGCAAAGATTTTGTTAAAGTCGGGTGTACAATATGTTCTCAAATAGAGCAAATACGCTTAACTATATCGCCTGGCCCTTAGCGTCCCTTCTCTCAATCTCAGCAGGGCAGCCCAGTCGTCAGGCCCTACCGTTCGTGACATTGATTCACTGCTCCTACAAAGTATACTTACTGCCCGAAAAACATGGGACCAAACAATTGGGAAGGTCACGCGCAATGAGACACTTGAACCGCCAGCCCGTGCAATGACCCGCCAGCAGAACCTTTGGCTGCAGCTTCTTCAAATCATTCATGGTGGCATTCAATTTGGCATCGTCTGCATCAGCCAAGTGATATCCGCCCACCACACAGTATAATGGGGTGCCATTGCCGAGCTTGACTGCGTCGTGGCAGGTATTCACGATTCCAGCGTGCCCGCAACCGGTGAAGACCACGAGCCCCTTGCCTGTATCACGGCCCCATCATCTCTAGTCAGAACAGTCCCGAGATTCGATGTGCTAAGATGGGGAGCTCGAGACATACCTTTGAGATTGCACATAACATACCGCTCTTCCATGATTAGTGTATCCTCCTTCCACTTCATGGTCGCTTCATCAAACCGCAGACCACCGTAGATGCCATCTTCGTAGCTGGTCTCGCGCGGGATCTCCCCGGACACCATGAAGAAATTGTCCAGTGCGGTGTGCGGTCGGTCGCTTTTGAGCAAAGTCGCTCCGGCAGCTTCTAGCTCCTCAAAGGAAGGGTCCGCTTCTAGGGAGATTGGCCGATCAGCCTGCACGCCGCGGTAGGCCGGACGATCCGGATGCACGTCCACCACGACATTCTTGCCTCCCTGATCGTGTTTGTTGATGAGCTCAATCGCCTTGGTTAGGCCACCTGAGCCAAAGTCAATGACTATCCTTTCACCGTGGGAAGTCCAGCTCCGGTACATACCAGAATGATCGCGATGGTAATGCGACAAAGCAACGTGCTCAATGCGGCCCACTTCGGCGCGAAGGCGACCAGAATTCCTCTCCCAGACTTCGCCCTCTGGCCCGGCGTCAAAGAGAAAGTAGTGTTTTTTGTCGCCCTTTGTAGCAATCTATTCGTCCTGATTAGTCATTGCTGGATCCCCCTAAGTTCCCAACTGGGAAGCGCAAAGTTTGGATCCCACCCACCAAGAGCAAAGAGATCCCATGTGCCGCACAACAGATGTTGTCCATGCGCATTTCCATTTGCGCGCCACCCCGCTCAGTGCCGGATGGCAGCGGAGAGAGCGGGATGCCCATAAACCGGCTAGCAACTTGCACAGCTGGATTCGGGCTTGGAGAAATAGGGTCCAGCTCGTCATTGACGATGACATGGATCTCGAGTTGGTCAATTTCAGTCAACATGAGGGGTCTTGGTATTGCGAGTCGTGATAGACCGAAAGATTTAGTTCCTGACGTATACCAGGAAGGGTGGGGACTTGGTGAACACTTTATACGCAGCTGTAGGCGGACTCCGAGACGGTGATGAGGTCATAACCGGGATTGTGCCGTTTCTGCTCGGCCATCCGATAAGTATGCGAGTCAAGCCGAGATCCGAATCGCGGCCTCAGTCATCCCACCACTTTGCTATTGAGTCGGCATCATTGTTGGTCCATCTCACCCGTCGTCGAATTGAGGAATATCTATGTGACTCGATTGACTTGACCTTGTGCCACACGGAACTCCAACCCTATCGTGTGCGCCAAGCCGTCCTCTGCGCCACGTACCTTCAGTGAAGAACTACATGTCATGTGTTTCTGGACACCGGGAATCTAAGAACCCAGAGGAGTTTATCAACTGATCCTCCTTCTTACTCACTTGTGCTTCCTGCAGCAGTCATGGGTAAGCTGAATACTTTCGAGTCCCCACAGACCGCGGGACATCAACGCTCATATACAGACTTGGAGCTCTTAGATGTCACGGGACATGTTAGACGCACCATCATGCTCCGGGAATGTCAGCATCTAGCCATGGATGATGCGTACAGAGTCTCAGAAATCATTCGCTGTTGAATGCCCTGATCTCTGGTTCCAGAAGATCTCCTCCAGATCTGGCCCCACCCGCATCTCGTATCGACGGAAACGCCGGGAACGGGGCGGGGAGATTAGCACTAAGCGGAAGGAGACAGTAACCAGAGATCCACAGAACAGGATACGGCAGTCGACGTCAGTATTCTTTGTTCGAGCAGTCATTCTCGTGTCCGTGACACTCAGGTGGCATGGCCCGTATTCCTTGTCATGCACTCATATATCAACGCAATAGGCCTTTGAGGTTAGCCGTGTCCGAAGACCTCGCTCGACTTCGTTTGGAATCACCCGCCCTGCATTACTCCCACTCCATACAAAACCAGTTCCTGTCCATGCAAGCTTTTATAAATTGCAAATAATGCCCGAAACAATCCTCGTCACCGGCGCCTCAGGCTTCGTCGCCTCGCACGTCATCCAAAGATTCCTCGACGCGGGATACGATATCCGTGGCACCGTGCGCTCAGCTTCGTCCGCGGAGACGGTCAAATCCCGCTACCCGCCCGAATACGTGGATCGCCTCTCCTTCGCCATCGTGCCGGACATGGCTGCCCCCGGCGCCTTCGACAAGGCCGTCCAGAATGTCTCCGGCGTGATTCACACCGCCAGCCCGTTCTCCCTCACGGTATCGGACAACGAGACCGACCTCCTCCAACCAGCCATTCAGGGGACGCTGAACATCCTCGACTCCGTCTCCGCTCACGGACGCACCGTGCGCCGCGTCGTCGTCACCTCCTCGTTCGCCGCAATGCTCGATCTCAACCAGGGCCTTCGTCGAGACTATAGGTACACCGAGGCGGACTGGAACCCGTGCAGCTACGAGGAAGCCAAGCTGACCCCGGACGTGAGCGTCGCGTACTGCGCTTCCAAAGCTCTCGCCGAACGGAAGCTGTGGGAGTGGGTCGAAAGCGCCGACAAGCCGCTCACCTTCAGCGTCGCCACCATCTGCCCGCCCTGGGTGTTTGGCCCCGCGCTCGGAGACCCAAACAAGGGGCACAATCGGCTGAATGAGTCGGCCGAGACGATCTGGAATCTAGTAAATGGGTCGCGGGCTGAGGTGCCCCAGAATGATTTCATGGCGTTTGCCAATGTCCACGATGTTGCGGAAGCGCATTACCAGGCGTATACTCGGCCCGAAGCGGGCGGGGAGCGCTTTCTGGTCGCTGGGGGCCGGTTCCTGTATCAGGAGGCGTGTGAGATCATACGCAAGCGGTTCCCGGACCTGAAGGACAAGGTTCCGTACCGGGAAGGTGGGGCTCTGGATGAGACGTATGTTGCGGATGGGAGTAAGGCGGAAAAGGTGTTAGGGTTGCGGTATCGCAATTTGGAGGATACTTTGGTGGAGACGGTTGATGACCTCTTGAAGAGGTTTGGGTAGGTCACGGACACAAGCATTATTTTCTGGCCGAAAGGGTCTTGTTGCCAACTTCATGATCGTTTCTAAAAGTTGTCTTGTTAAGGCGAAAGTGAATTGTTTTGCTACCATGTATTGACTCGGTCTATGCGAACAGTGCAACAAGGCTTGATTGTGCTGATCTTGCAAGAAGTCTACTTGCAGGCCGGTGAATGACAACTTACAAGGATTACCATTTCTTAGAAACAAGGACCAACCTTTGACTTGTCACCTTATGGTTCAATGGCTATGCCCTGCCATGCCGAGGTTAGTTCGGATTTTGCGGATGACCATGTAAGATGGGGAAAACACGTTTACAGCCTTTTCAGCCCGCACAAGATGTCAAAATCCCGCAACACGGTCTTTATTCCGAATCATCAACTCTAGCTCCTGGTAATGAGTGTAGATACAAGCTATCGATTAGGAATGACGTACCCGGTCATTGAAAGCATGATGTTGAGCCTCTCCCAGCTCCCAACCGACAGGGCCCATGGCGGAGAGCGTGGGAGGCGTATTACTAATACGCTACGTCAGTCCGCCCTGCTAGCCTGACTCCAAACCCTAAGCGCAATATCCAGGGTCGCGTAGAATCTGCTCGGAGCCTTGCAAATAGGTTATACGAGGCTCATTGGTGATGGGGTTGCCTACATCACCTGTCATGGTCAGTATAAGATAGGTTTCAGCAAAGCTGTGGCGGGCTCAAATATAAAACAAGACATCATGTCTACAGCACTTGTGAAAATCATAACAATTGCCCAGCACACCCCACAATCGACCCATAGTACCACGGACAAACATAGTCAGTATGGTCACATACCAAAGCATCATCCTCTTTCTACTGGGAGCACGGTTAGCTACAGGCCAAGCGATCACAGTTGCAGCAACACAATCGACAGGATGGAATTCCTCTTTCGAGCTCAGCGCCGACCAGGTCAAGCAAGCCAATTTGACCAGCGATCTTGAAGCAATCGTCAACACAATCACTAAGTTCGACCGCTCTCAGCTTGCCAACGGCGGGGCACATGAGGATGACTTCTACAACATCCAGGGCCTTTCCAAAGAGCAATGGCCCACCGAGCCCGGCAAGACCCTCAAGCTTCAAGAACTCACCGACCCATTGCCATTCTCCATTCCCGCCAAGACGGCCATGTCCCGCATTATCTATAGCACTACCAACCTCAACGGAACCTTGATCCCTGCGTCTGCCTATATCCTGTGGCCATTCAATCCACGACCAATTCGTGCTCTGAGCAACACTACGACGGCATCATCCGCCCCCGTGGTACTCTGGACGCACGGAACCTCCGGCTGGTACGCCAACGGCGGCCCCTCGACGCACCGCGGGCTCTTCTACGGCGACTTTGTCCCATTTGCGCTGGCGGAGGCCGGGTACGCCGTCATTGCTCCTGACTACGCTGGTTTGGGCGTCGACACATCCTGGGATGGAAGTTACATCCCGCACCAGTACAATATCCGCGAAGCCGGCGCGCACGATGCCCTCAACGCGCTGCGAGCGGCACGAGACTCCTTTCCCACGCTCTTGTCAAGCGACTACGTTTCACTGGGCCATAGCCAAGGCGGTGCAGTCGCCTGGGGCCTGTCCGAGATCCTGGCCCGTAACGACTTCCAGTTCTCGGATGTGACCCCAAGCTACCTCGGTGGGATAATTGTTGCTCCTCCAACGGCATCCTTATCAGTCACGATCCCAGGGTTCATTGCGTGGATCGCCAAGGAGCTGGACTCGGTCTTCCCGACCTTCAATGTCAGTGATTGGTTCACTCCGCTGGGTGTCAGCAGGATCAACCTTTTGAACCAAATCGAAGGATCGCAGATGGTGACATTTGCTATGCTGGGCGCGAGCTCCGAGGCGGAGTTCTTGCGGCCCGGGTGGAACGAGACTTGGTACGCCGACGGATTCTCCAAGCTGGCCAACCCGGGAAGGCTGCCGTTCAAGGGGCCGCTTCTCATCGTTCAAGGGACGGAGGACTCCTCCGTTATGTACAACACGACCAGGACGACGGCGCAGGAGACGTGCAACCTCTACCGTGGAGATCTTGAGCTGCTGGCTGTGTCTGAAGGCGGCCATTTCTCCGCCATCAACGCGGCGAAGCACACATGGTTGCAGTGGATTGAGGACCGATTCGAGCATCGACCTCTGGCGAAGCATGGCTGTGTCGAGTCCCAGTTGGATAGTCTGCTCCCTGCGCAGAACTATCAGGTGCAGGCCAACTCGTTCCCCATGTGGGCTGGAGAGGAACAGTTTGCTTACGAGGTGCCCACCGCACTTTGATTCCCATATTTTACATGGCGGGACAACGGAGCATGTTGTGGGGCTTGGCAGGGTGGATGTTCGCACAGTGTCACCTTGTTTGACTTTCTACTACTCATATCATTCCTGCATTCTGTGGGGTGTGGTAGATTAGTAGTAGTGATTCCGCGATCCTCTAGGAAATTGAAGATGAAAATGTGTCACCTGGGTCCATACATAGTGTAAAACCCAATAATTAACCATTACACTACAATAGGTACTTACATAAACCCACGTTAAACCTGAGGCCTAGCGTGGGCAAGGAATATTTGTTCGAAAAGGAGATGGACACTGAAAGATATTCAACTGATAGATATACCCCCGTTTCAACTCTAGTCTATGCTTGCTATCGATGTGCCTATACGGGCCATTCTTTTTCCATCTTCTGCGTGGGTCGATTGGTCTTCCATTTTATTCTTCGAGGGGGGCTATTTGACCAGAGTTTCAAGATGAACCTATTTTCCCTCAAGTGTTGTAGACCAAATACCTATCAAGGCAAACAACCTACCTTGTATGCCTATTATCCTTTGATATTTTGAAAGGATCCTATGGGGCGTTTTGCCTATCAACAGCAGGTGATAAGGTCCCTGAGTGAAAAGGGAATACAGTATTCAAGCCTAGTCATGGGTTAAGGCAAAGTCTGGAATCATAGGATAAGATTGAATATGGTATAGGGTGCAGAGCAACATAATAAACTAGACCTTCATAACAACCTACACAACCCAAGGCAGAGGCAAACAGGTTTTACATCGGGCAGTATCACAGCATCACAATAGAAAGTCAAAAAGGGGAGTAACCTAGACTCTCGAAGATTGTTCAATCCAGTAAGTCCTTAGAAGGTTACTTCACCCATAATATAAATCATGACTAGTAATATTATCGGCGTGTGCGTGTAACGCCTTGCTTTAATAAGTTATATAATTTTAAATTAAACTAGATATATATAAACACCACAAATTTATAGAGATTTTTCTTTTTTTTAATAATTTAATAATTTATAAAATATTAAGCTTTTTTTTTTAAGTAAATAAATCTATTAGTATTATATTTATAATTAAAAGGTTATAAGCCCGGCTTAAGCTTAAAGCCTTTATTTAATTAATTTTTATTATTTTTTTTATTTTTTAGTATTAAATACTAAGAAGATTTTTTATTAACTATATAGTCTACTAAAAAGTACTAAACTAAGTTAAATATTTTAATTAATTAATAAATTTAGTAATTTAAAAAATATATTTATTAATTAATAATAATATAATAAATAGTTAATATTACTAAGCTTTTAATTTTAACAGGCGCGGACAACTATTAGATTTAGTATAAAATTTTAAAAATATATTTCTACTTATAAAATTTTTAAAAAATAGTTTTTAATACTAATATAAAATTTATTTAATTTTTTCTACCTATTTAGCCCTCCGGTAAAGCTGAAGCAGCTAAAAATTTTTAAATTATATAAAATATATTTAAATCTATAGACTTTAGCTTTAGTAAGGTAAATATTAATTTTACTATATATAAAAAAATATTAAAATACTTTAAAAAACAGCTATTTATATAAAAAGTTAAAAATAAAAAGACTATTAAAGCTATTTATACTATACTAACTATAAAAATTTAATATAGTATTATTAATTTTAATAGTATAAAAAAAGTTTAGAATAAATTAAAAAAATATTTTAATATTATTTTTAATATATAGTTATTTAAAAAACTATAAACTGCTATATTACTATAGTATAATAACTATAAAAATATTAATAAATATATTATAAAATATTTAAAGTATTAAATAAGTTTTAATATAGTTTTACTAATAATAAAAAACTTAGTAATAGTATATATATTTAGTTTTTTTTTTATAATTTTAAAAAATAGTAGTCCACCTTTTTAAATTTTTATTTTAATTTTTAATATATGAAAAAAAGTATAATATAGAATTAAATTATTTAGATTTTTATATAAAAAAATATATATTTAGTTTAACTTTAGTAATATTAACCTTATAAAGGTGTCTAAAGGCCAAAAGTTAAATAACTTTAAATTTAAAAATTAACAGAGTAAAAATAATTAGTCTAAAAAAAATAATTTTAAAAAAAAATCTTTTTAAATATTTATAAAAACTAGACTTGTAATTATTATAGTAAAGTTAAATATAAAAAGTTTAGCTACTAGAAACTATATTTAAAGTTAAAACTATTTAAAATAATAAAAAATACTAAGACTAATATTATTAAAAATAAGTAGTTTTTTACTTTATTAATATTTGTAGCTACTGGCGGCTATAAAAAAAAGACTATTAATAAATATAAAAAATAAAAAGCTATTAGTATTATTAATTATAATATTACTATAGTATATTTTAAATATATAAATAATTAGATTATTAATTTAGATTCTACTAAACATCTTATTAAAAATAAAAATAATTTTATATTTAAAACTATAAAGCTGTATAAATAAAAAATGAAAACTACTATTAGTAAAGTTATATATCTAGTTAATATAAGTAATATAAAATTAAAGCTAATATACAGTTTTAACAAATTTTATATAATTAAATTAATAAATATATTATATATTTTTAATATTAAGATTAATTTATTTAAAACTATATGTTTTATAAAATTTAGTTTTACTACTTTTTTATATTTTAATAAAATAATAATTTTTAAGATAAATAATAAAAAGATTATTAGCTAAAAAAATATTATTAAAAATTAATATATTTTTTATTTTAGCTGTAAAGTAGTTAATATAAAAATTACTACTAATAATATTATTAGTTTTTTTACTTTAGTAAACTATTTTACTTTAGTAAAATATACTGCTAAACCTTTAATTAATATTCTATTTATTAAATTAAGTAATTAAATTATAAATTACTACTTTTTTTTATAATACTAGTAAATAGTACTAGAAATATATTTTTAATATAAATAAAAGCTATAGTAATTTATTTACTTAATATTAGTATTTTACTTATTTTTTTATTATTAATTATATTAAACTATTAAAAATAGTAGACAGTATAAATATTAAAAATCTTACTATTTTAAAATATATTTATTAAATATATTAATTAATTAATATTTTAGTATACTAAAATTATATTTAAATACCTCTACTGCAGTAATACAGCTAGTATATTTTTTTTAATATTAGTAGTAGATATATTAATATATTTTTAAATAAAAAATATAATATTTAATATTAGATATTTTTTATTAATATATATAAAAGCTGGATTAATATTAGACTTTTAAAAATAAAAAAAAACTATATTTAAATTAAAGCTATTTATTAAAAAGTTAAATTATATATTATTTAAAGTTAAATTTTTATACTTTAATAATATATTTAAATTTTAAAGTAAAAATATAATTATTTAAATATACTATAAAAATATTAAATAAAAATTTATAGTACTATATATCTACAGCTAAAATATATCTACTAAATATATTAGTTTTATTATTTTAACTTAATTATATATAGTTTTTTAAAACTAAGATCTGAATAAAAGCCTATAAAAAAATTATTAAAAAAATTATATTTTTAAAAAACTTATTACTAATTTATAATAAAATAATAACTATATAAAAAGTATATAATAAAGTATATTTAAATCTATTAATTTTATATATTTTTAGTTGCTATAGTATTATAATAATTTTTAAAACAATCTGTAATAAAAATAGAATTTTAAAAATTTAGCTATACAGCTAAGTAATTTAACTGTTTAAATATACCAGTCTAGCAAAGTAATATAAAATTCTAAATATTAAAAATAATAAAATTATTATTATTTATAATATCTGCTTTAATAGAAAAAGTAATTTAAAAATATATAAATTATTAAATAATAATTATAGCTATTTTTAAATATTAGCTTTAATAATTCTACTAATAAAAAATCTATGTAAATATATTTTAGATAATAACTTTAATAATACTAGTAATAAAAAGACTTTTTTAAAAATATTTTTATATACTAAAAATATTAAAGTATTAATATTAACTAATAAATAATATTAGTTTACTAATATTTTTTATTTATTTTAATAAAGTTAGTTTTAAGTATAGTAATAAGCTGATATTTTTTATTAAAAATCTTTTTAAATAAAAAAAAATTTAATTTTTATATTTTATTAAATAGGCCTTTACTACTGGAACTGTTAAAAAAAACAGCAGCTATAAATATATTATTAAACCAGCTATATATAAATAAATTATAAAATTATTTAAAATATTTTATTAGCTTACTATAATAATTAAAAAAATTTTAATACTTTAAAAAAAAATATAAAAATTAGTAGAACTGTCTATCAGCTAAAAAGTAATATTAAAGTAGTAAATATATAAAGTTAAATTTAATATAAATAATAAAATTTATAAATCTAAAGTTTATTATATTATTTATAGTTTTTTATAAATTTATAACATTAATTATAACTTTATATTTATTTTTATTATAAAAATAGTAATAGTAAAAATATTTTTTATTATTATAATAGTATTTAGTTATATTTATAAATAAAGTAATATTAAGTAAGCCTTTTTTTATAAAAAGTTTTATAATAATAAAAAAATTTATATAATTTAATTAACTAGATTTAAAAATAGTAGTATTAAAATCTGTAAACTACTTTTATTTATTTATAAATTAAAATAATTTATTAAAAACTAGTATTATAAGGTTTTTACTGCAGCTACTAGTATTAAAATAATAATATTTTAAGCTAATAAATATGTTTTTATCAAAAAATATAAAAAACTAATAATTTTTTATATTAATAATATTTAAATTATAGTTTTTATAAAAAGCCTTATTAATACTATATTTTAAAAACTTTTGAAAAACTTTATAATTACCAACTTTAGTAATACTTTATAGTATTTTAGTATAAAAATTAAGTATATAAATAAAACTTTATAACTTTTTTAAAATATTTTTTTTAATATATTATTAAGGCTGTAGACCTGGTAAGTAAAAAGATTTATAAAATACTACTAAATAAAAATATTAAACTTATTAAAAATATAAAGTAAACTTTTAAAAAAAATATTAAAAATTATAAAAAAAATATTAAAAGTATAATATATTTAATAATATAAAGATATTTAAATATTATATTTACTATTAAAAATTTTTATAGTATATAAGTAATTTAGCTAAGTAATATATAAATAGTTTTTTTTTACTATATTAATATTTATTAAAAATAAGTAGATATAGTTTTTAGTACAGAGCCTATATAAAAAATAATAATTTAGCTAAATAAATTAATATTATAGTTAACAATATTAATATAGATTATACTAAATATTTTAATATATACTATTTAACTTTTAAATATATTTTTATATAAATAAATAGCCTAATTTTTTAGGCTTTATATTTCTAATTCTATATTACAGCTTTTATATATAAAGCTGAATATATAGTATTTTATACAGCAGCTAAAAAAGTCTACTGGATTATTTATATATTTAAAAATATAGGCTTTAAAAATATATATTTAATAATAATATATATTAATAATAAAGATATTATTATATTTGCTTAGAACAATTAATTTTATTAATAAATTAAATATATTAATATTGTATATTACTGGATTTATAAAGCTATATAGTATAGTAATATATACCTATAATATATTAAGTTTTTTAAAAATTTTATAAATATTTTTACTAAGCTGCTTAGAAATATTAAGTTTAAATACTTAATTAAAAAATTAAATATATTAAACTTTTTAACAGTATTACTAACTGCTAATTATAAAGGTATAGTTAATACTTTTCTTAACTAATTAGCTGCCTATTTAAAAATACTATAAAAATTATTATATTATTTTATATAAAAAAAAATCTTATAGTTAATTTATTATAGAAATATATTAGTATATATATATAATATCTTACTTTAATAAGTTATATAATTTAAATTAAACTAGATATATATAAATACTACAAATTTATAAAGATTTTTTTTTTAATAATTTAATAATTTATAAGGTATTAAGCTTTCCTCTTTAAACAAGTAAATCTATTAGTATTATATTTGTAATTGAAAAATATAAATAGACCAGCATGCCTCCAGCACTCTCCAGCAAATTTCTCCATTACAAAGGCTGCGACTGCCTGGTAGTTATTGCTATCGGGATAATTAGCCAGGACACATCTTGTAAATGGTACTAACAGACCGGAAATGATATCTAATACCCGGGGATAGTTTGCCCATTATAACCAACGATTTTGGGGTTCTCAGCCGCTGATTGGCTGGCACAAAAGATGTTTGGCTGTATCACAATGTGATTGATTAATAAAGCAATTACCAGTGGCTTGTTGCTGGAATGAACATCCAGGCCCTCTTCTCACCGGCTGGAAAATGTGACAATTCCTACGTCAGCAATGTGGGTAGCTAGAGAAATCAAGGGATAACGTTATCCTGATGGGGTGGTGGATATTTAGGTGGGTTGAAGTCAAACCAGGATGATGACACTTACACAAAAAGAATCGATCTAGAGTGTCGTGCTATTAGCGGCTCACAGGTCCCGGGAACATCACCTACCTCAAGATTCGTATCTAGTAACTGCACTTCTATATTAGCATCGATTTCCTCTTCTCAATTGCATCACTCTTCATCTCCTCGGGAGACTCGTCAGTTGCATTGTGTAGATTACGTTCCCCAGAAAATGCACTCCGACCGACGGGGATATAATTGATCGTCAGCTTACCTGCCTCTTTCCTCGTGCTTGGTGCAAGGCTCCTCCCTCAGCAAGATGCCCAACTGCCAGTGTGCAGAGTAATAACAAGACAAAGGGTGCAGGCATATTGTAGAGAAAGAAGTGGCAAACGGGAATCGAATCAGCAGAGAGGATAGGTTCTGGGAGAGAGAAGGCCTGAATCCTGTTGGGCATTCCAGTTGTCTTATGTATATCCTGTGTCCCCCTCTCCAGGATAGGGATACCACCGCATCGCCCGTATTTGGATTTGATAGCGGCAAGACACTCTGAAAGGTTCCGCCATGTTCGGTAGCGTTCAGATACTCGCGGTCGAAGATACCTCACTAGCGGGTCTACCTACCTACGTTCTAGGCAATATCCATGTATCTCGTAGCCTAGACTTCACTATCATGTAAGAAGCGGTGAAGGGCTTGCATAGGAATTGATAATCGCCTCTTGCTCGTGTTAGTGGATTCCGTTAGCAAGGGAAGGAGCCGATCATTGCATGTAGCGATTGGTGTTTGATGCCGCCTGCAGATGACATGTCAGACGGTTTATTCGTGGTCAGAAGCAAAGCTTCATACTCAGTGCTCTACGCCTAGCTAAAGATCATCTACCCCCACAGAGTCTAATCCACTTCAATAGCTTGCTTCGCAGCAACTCGTCGGCGCTAAAAAAAAAACCCGATGTTAAAGCCAAGGGTTGCGACCAAAGCCGAAAAGAGTGGCTTACTCATGACCTCACTCAACCCAAGGATTTCACAGTATATCCCAAAGTCTAGGGTTTATTTCCGACTTTCTTCGGCACAAGGAGGTATCTTTAGTTGCAAACAAGGAAAGTCGACTTTGATTTCAGGAGATACAGAGCTAATTGTCTAGATTGAGTGACTTCCTTGCTCCTGGATTAATTTTGCTCGGCGTTGTAGCGTAATTACCATACGTGCTCAGGTCTATAAGGGGGCCTTGCAGCTTTTATGGGATTGCCCGTCCATTATGGAAAGAGCGGCGACACTTGAATGTGGGGTATGTGAATGCTGGGTTCCTACGTTAGAACGTGAGATTAGCTACACCGGCTATGAACAGAAAAGCAACCTAAGGTCGCACACCTGCTGTTTGTGGGCATTGTATTTCCAGGCTCCTCTTCATCCTGGCCGATTGCAGTCTGTAGAGACCGCGATATCCTTCTAAATCCTGAGATACAACCTTCTCCTCAAGAGCCTAGGGACTCTGGTAACTGTTTACAGTCGTTTCTGCCATGGCACTTGACCCTTTGACGCTTTCTTTTCCCGTAGTTCTTTTGCCTTTCCATACCCCGCGGGATCTAACTTTGTCTTCTTTCCATTATTTTGTATTAATCACTTCATCCTTTTACTGTCCATTCTTATCCAACATATTGCTTACTGGCTATTGCGAGATTGCGATTGCAAGTTGCCTTTGTTATTGTTTGCCAAGGAGTTTCACGCCCCCTAGCCTATTTGATTCAAGGACCCAAACTAAATCATACTCGTATTCAATTTGACCCACGATCTACTCGCCAATTCTGGTAGGAGACCTTCGATATAGGCGCACTTGAAATAAAGTACCGAATAAAGTAAAAATACGATCCAATCTTCACACATTCCCTCGTAGATCATGCAATCCGACAAATGCAACCATGCAGATGGACAAGGATACATGCCCTTTCACTTCCTTTTCAAACGCCGGCCTCGCCACTGCAGATATATAGTTATGTTGTTGACCATCGACCTGTGCATGATTAGAGAGCAATAGACCCCGCTAAATAGCGCAAGCTCATACCTTAAGTCAAACACCCACCACCCTATTTTAATTAGTAATCGACTGAACTAGATTCACGATTCGATTGCCGCCTTGGGTAAGCGAATAACTGGAATTAGCAGTATTCACGAGAGCTCCGGGTGAGTGATACCGCTGTTAAGGGCCGTGCTCTGCAGTATGTCACTGTCCGCCATAGGGCTTGATAAGCAATACTGTCACTGGCCCGCGGCTGAGAAGCGCGCCACATCATTTACTCACCTCTGGACGATGTCCAAAATTCACATGTCAGTAACTGATCACCAGGGAGAATACTCAACAGTACAATGTGAACGGCCACTTACCTGTTCGCCGTTGCCTTTGATTCTGTAGTATTAGCAGTGATAAGCTAAATCCTGACAAGGGTTTCGTGTACTACATACCGTTATGTGTGCGGTCAGGGGTTCTAATAACTGCATCTATTTGTTAGCCCCTCGTTATCTGGTATTTTCATCCTGGTGAGCTTTGAGGTACAAATGTTGTTGTCGACAATATTGATCCCTATCAGGCAATACATGCTATGCGGGACGAGGAACAACGTTACCTGTCTTTTACCCACGCGCCGACCGGGGTTTCCGGAGATGGCGAGGGCTCCAGTTGCCAGGGTGCAGAGGAACAGCAATACATAGCATGGTTGCATGTTGGGTGAGATAGTTGGATTGCCAGCGAATGGGTGATAGCACGTCCTTTTGGGAGCACAACGAAAGGGATCGAATGGATGGGATTAAAGAAAATGTGAGCTGTGATAAGCTAACATCAACGCTGTCTATGGACGTCGACGTCATCTTATAGATTTCACTTACCATACTCTCCAGGCCAGTTTCGACGCTGCTTTGGGCCAATAGTCTTCCACATTGAGAAGGACGGTCTCGGTGATATTACCTGGTAGCAGTACCTAGTCACACATAATGCAAGGCACACCTGTATCGGTGCCAATTCGAGCTGTCAAATCGGTTGACGCATAGGCTTGTACTTTTCTCGGCTACTACAGAGCCTACCCGCCGCAGCGAAAGGACCGACTGCAAGACAACTGGACAGACAACTGCGTCGACAATCCGCTGCTACATCAATCCTCGCCTTTGACTATGCTCAATAGAGACTGGACCTCATTGCAGGAGAGTCGTCCTTGTTGGTGCTCGGCATATGATATTCCCGGTAGCTGTACAATGATTTTGGTTACGTAGGGACTACGGAGACTGTGCTCGCATAGCGACAGATAACTAGCCCCTTCACTCATTGATAACTGAGAGAACACCCAGGATATGCGGTGGATGTTGCGGAGCCGAGTCGCAACCAAGCCGTGACATGGGTAAGAGAATAAGGTATCAGGTAGGGAAAGCCCACTATCGCTGTAGTGTGGGTCTGCCTACAATATCATTTCCTCCCCAACGTAGCCGAGCAATAAATGACAAAAGTAGCCCACTAATACGGTAGGGTCAAATGCCGCAGCACTGGACCTTGCGATATTCATAGCCGTTCTACATCCTGTTGACCGTATCCGCAACGGAAGGACTAACACTTACCTGCAACTCTGCTTGTTGGGTATTGCTTTGCATATGACAGCAGTTGCAACTGCTTTCTAGTTTGATCCCTGTGTCTACTGTTGTCATCAAAGTGATATTAACTACTAAAGCTCTGCTACATTATCTGCTACGGAGTCAAGATAATCCAGTATGTACATACTTCAGCCCAGAAATTTACCCTCTTTCTGTATTGATCTTTAGGGCAAGCGATTCAACCAGAGTATCAAAGTCTACAAATTCCTCTATCATCTCCAGGCAAAAGGCCCTTCCCATTCTATAGACTCTTTCAATCGGCATTCTCTCCAATCGCTCGTTTATTCTTTATCCTTCCTGTAAATAATATTGGGCACCATTAAATACTGGGGAGGGGCCTCACAGAATGAAAGCATCTACCGGTAGATCATGCCTTGTAGGACAAAGCTGAGAGATTTGATGCAGTCAAAGCAAGGGGAAGAAGACATCCAGGTGTTATACAGCTGCAAACGTCTTGCGTGACCGCCTCAAGGGGTTGCCATATGTTGAGAGTCCTGCTGCTACCCTGCAGAAAACGAGCGGTACCGAGATGTAAGCGGGTCACATGATGGAGAGTGATGTGCAGAGAGGGAATAAGTAGGAAAGTGGAAATTAAACAACAACCAAACAGCTTGGTAAGGAATAATCAATACTATCTTCTGTGGCAACTATTGTAATCATCTTCCGTACTTGATATACAGCCACATTCAATAATATCCTGCAACGAGCTTAGATTATACATTTAGTCTCTAGCTTAAGCCATAGCCTCTGTAGCCACAAATTTCCTAATTCTCCGCACTCTACTGGTGGAAGCAATAAGTAGATCTGGCTGTGATCTAGTAATATATACATATTATATTATCTACCTAATGAATGAAAGTGAGATTGTTTTAGGTTGATATAGACTGTATTTCTATTACAGGTCTTTTAAAATGTAGTCTTTAAATATAGCTGTATATCAACTTCGGGGAAGTGTGAAATTGGTGGCCACGGAGGGTATTGCTTTTATATATTGTATATGTGGTATGATACCGGTATAAACGCTACTATATCACTGTTAGATCTACTTATTACTTCTTTTAGTTGAGTATGCAGAATGATAAAATGTATTGCTTTAGGTGGGTATTGCAGTATAGGGATATATTCAATCTGGTGGGCTTTACCGCTATTTCTAGGTCTATCGCCCTTGCACCTCAACTCTGGGTTTGGTATTATAGACCAATAAAATTTCTTCTGAGACTAACAGCAATAATATTGAGATATCATATCCAATTCCAGGGACCGCATTGATCAGTTTCTGACTCAGTTATACTGATATCTTTGTGCACCAGTAAGCCCACCAACCTATGTAATACATTGGCCTGGCCAATTATCGCGGTGAAAGCATTTCCTCAAACACCGCTAGAGTTCGCTATGGTTGAGAAAGCACTTGCGGATTGGATAGGAATAATCAGTCCCGGCCATGCAATTGGGTGGAATGGTTCTCCGCATGGAATTTATTGCAAAGGAGACATCATTGTTTAGTGCCGCTCCGCATAAAATACCTCACTCGGCTCATGCTTGCAGTTGGAGAGCATAGTATATATGTACTAATTCTTTTTCTGGAAGCTAATGTGCAGTACGGTCGCATACAGCTAGCAATATACTCTGTACCCATACATTATTTCCCCAACGAAAGCGCGATCACTGCATCCAGGGCAACCTTGAAGTCACGCCATCAACTTCATTCCGCGTCAAATATGACACCTTCAATTGCTCACCGCATTGCTGCCGAGCAAGATCTGCAAAACCTACCCCCCCCCCCCCCCCTCGTGGCCACGAATTTTACAATTTTCCGCGCTTCACTGGTGGAGGCAATAAGATCTGGCTGTAATTTGGTGATATATACGTTATATCACCCATCTGAGTTATAGAAGTAATACTGCTTAAGGTGCATCCTGCTTTTCTATTGCAGGTCTTTTAAAAGGCACTCTTTGGATGTGGCTGCATATCATTTTCGGGGAATTGTGAAATTGTTGGTCACGGGGGCGACTTAGTACTACCTGATAAGTTAACCTAATCTCCACGCCAATACCTGGTGCAGACCTGAGAGGAACCTGCTAATAAATGATGACATAGATTGCCACAGGGCGGAGTCAGCTTGCTATACATAGCACTCACCTACTCTCCCCCGGCCCAGTGCAAAATCTGCCTTTTGGCAATTTGTCTCAACTCCGACCATGACTCTCGCTTCACGTTTCCTCGTATCCATGGTGTTGCTCTGCTTGGCTCTCGCCACTCCTATCGCAAATGACACGCCCGGTCTCCGTCATGCCCCGATAATCAGCCATCACAACCCAACAGATTCAAGCAGTGAGTTGCTCATGGCAATATTCTTCTCTCTACGGTTTTGCTGCATGGCATTGCATTAATCCTAGTCCCCTAGTTGTAATAGAGCACCAGTATCCAGACCATCAGTTCCAACCCGACAGAGGTGTTCATCTAGGCGAAGTCATCGACCCGCGGTGACGGGCTGGGGAGCATGGAGTTCGGTTGCCGGGAATCATATCTAGAGCTGCCGCATCACCCGACAGAGTTAAATCCTCAAGCTCACACGCACGGAGAGGGATCATCGCCGAGGGCTCACTGATAGCAGTTAGACAGGACTAAAGGGCATCGCCCAGAGGTAATGGTTGACGAGAGACTTGTTCATGGTGTGATTTTCGAGCTTGCAAGTCCCCTGCATCCGAGCTGTGGTCTGGATGCTTTGTAGTTGGTAGTATAGCTCTTAGGAAGAAGCCTGCGCTCCGCGTTTCCATCAATAAGCGTTTTCTTCCCATATCACTGGGAGACAAATTTTTCCAAACGGTGACTCAGGAGGCACGTTACCATGGGTATTTTGGTGTGCAGTTACCGAGTCTCTTCGATCTGCAAGAATCTGTCTCTTGAGCTAAACGAATATCGGCTCGGGTCGCCATTTTTGGGAACACCTCGGAAACTTCAAAGTTCAAGAGGAGGTCAGAAAGCCAAGACGATGAAGAGTGCCCAGGCGGAATCGAAGCTCACAGAGAACCCACAGTTAAAGCGCCTGTACAGAATGCCTTAATCAACAATTCACCTCCCTCACCCGGCGCTCGATCCTCGCGGGAGACGCCACCTGAGAATAAACTTGAGTCCGTCAGGTCCCTGCCTCTTTGTAGACACCGCCAGACAAGACAACGCAGTGAGGATCGCTGCATCGAGCTCAATCTCGCGGCCATTCTGCTCATTATTTGGAAGAGCGCTGCAAGCTTGGATCTATCACGGTTGTCTCCGAGTGTGCCTTTGCTGGAACAACGGTTTATTTATTTTGTATGTTGAAGGATCCCAATCGCGGAGCGACAGAGTGCGTAAAGACAGGCCCCGACAGAACTCACACCTGACATGTGTAGATTGAACAGTAACACTGGCTGGTTACCCAGCTCATTACGACTGGAACTTCGCCTTTTCGTGACCTTGGTTTTGTTTTCAGATTTGAGTCAGGGTTGATGGGCCTCGATGCGTGCCAGAGATAAAGTTCGCGTTTCTATTAGAAGAAGATGAGGGGGCGGGAAGCCGTAAATGCTATGAATCTGACATAGCCCTATTACCACCGGATGGGGGGATTTTTCTACTGGCGTTGACGATGCTAGTTGGCCTTCCTCCTTTTCGGCTTGTTGTGCTGCCCGTATGCTGCTTGTGGCTTGGTGGATGGCGGGTTAACGCATTGGGCTGAATTGGAGTGGGGGATTGAATAGGTTGAGCACTAGCTCTGGGGAAATGATGAGAGGTAATTGTGAGTAACAGTCCCCGAGAGGAGTGTGTGTGTATTGGGGGAGAATTAGGAACAGAATGGGAAGAGAGGAGGCCAAGTCAGGGACATTCCCGAAGTAACTCAGAAGGCAAGTGAGCCAACCGCTTTGCAACACTTTTCAACCGATGCATCTAGCAGACACGTTCGGCTGTCAAAATTGTGACCAAGAGTTGTAGAATCTGAGAAGTCACAAGACACCCGGGGAGTCAAAGTAACGGTTGTTGGCACTAGACTCTTCAAATGCCTGTGAAATACAACATGCCTAGACCACGCCCTATATAGAACTCATATCCCTAGCACGGCTGTGCCGACGTAGGCAACTCACCTCGGCGATCGAAAGCTCCGTGGCACCCCGGCTCGGTAATGATCTAGAGCCGCCAGGAACTGGGCGCGACCGGGCGAGCGGAATCCCTCGTCATTGAGCGGCAGCACGAATCGCGCGTTGCAGTTCACCTGCGGGACCAGCGCACGGAGATGCTGCATCGACTCGGAACTGATTTGGCCGCCGGCACGCATGATCAGGGCCCCCATCAGAATGGTCGTGTACTTGGTCGGATTGAAAGGCATGTCCTCCCCTTCCTTGGCTCGGCAGGCAACGAGCATCTGTTCTCCGAGGTCGTCGGTGTCAAACCTCTGGCGGACATAGGGCAGGACCTCATTGTCTAGCTTGCTGCGGACCTCGGTGGGCGTGTCGTAGTCAGGTCCGAGGATTGTGTCCTCCAGGGTCCAGGTCCATGCTTCCTCCGACTGGCCCGTGTGACCGAGCATGTCACCGAGGATGTCCAGGTCACGGTCGGCTTCAAAAAGGCCTGTAGGTAAAAGTAGCAGAGAGGTTAGCTTTCTTAGTTTGTAGACAGAGGCTGACAAGAAACAGAGAGTGATGCTCGAGCTTACGCCATCCCCAGCGGCCCATGATGGTGGCGATTATCGAGTTGACGATAGGGGGAGAGAACACGGTCAGGTGTAGGATATCGCTTTATAGAATGTGGATGGAAGGAAATGCGAAAGCCGGAGGATCAACGCGTTCAGTGGATGAGAAACGCAATGTGACGTTGAAGAGAGAAAAAGGGAAGAAGAGTGAAGAAGTGAGAGGAAGAAGTGAGATCAATGTAAAAGTACAAACAGAGATGTTTGCACCAGTGGCTGCCTCGGGACGCACAACCCAAGCGTCAAATCTCAGTGAAGGTAAGCCAAGGACTGGACTCGGGAATAGGTATCCATGACGGCCAAGGGCGGGGAGTAGATGAAAACATGTTCATTCAATACTGTACGGTTATGAAGAAATGCTCACTTCTGACACAGGAAACCAAACCAAGCCACTGCCTGACATGATCAGTGCTAATATGCTCCCATGATACCCTCTCTTCTCATTTGACTTTCCTCTTCACTGGCCAGATTGGATTTCCAGGGAAAGTAGAAGGAAATGGAGCTATTTACGTGGGATGAGACAACCTTAAATGCTAGGAGCTTGGCAGAAGACTCTATTATTGAACACTAACTATATATTGTACATTCTCTGTGACATATCTTTGTGAAGCTAGACACAAAAGGTCTATAAGAATGCGACTTATACATTACTCCCATATATCTTTCCTCATTAACATCAGCGTACAGAATCTAATTCCTAGATGGTGTCAAGAACGTCCGCTCATGCGGTGCTAACTATCAGGCAGAGATGAAACGGCCCGGCTGGCTCAGCCACTTGTCCATGAAGTTGAAAGCAGTTTTGACCGTGTCACCGTACTGACCAGGGTAGCTCTCGCAGGCGGTACAGGTATCAATAGTGTGCTGGGCACCCTCAGTAAAGGCAATCGACTTGTCCTTGGTGGTCGCAGCCAAGTAGATCTTCTCCGCGTTGAGGTACTCGTAGTGACCCGTGTTACCCATGGTCAGCAGGGGCTTGGAGATGCCAGGAACACTGCCAATGGGAGCAGTCTGCGACGAGGTCCAGTCGACACCAGTGATGTTGTCCGCGGTAACACGGAAGTTATCGGCATCGACACGAATGGCAAAGGTGGACAGGAAGCGAGTGATGGTGGTCTTGAGCGCTCCGTCGTAGAAGGAGTCGACCATGCTGGGAATGCCGGCCGACGCGACACGAACGGACGGGACAACCTGAGTGGTGTTGCTGCCGTCCTTGTGCAGGAGCGGCCACTTGTAGATGGTGTGAGCCAGATAGCGCACGTCCTGGGTGATGAGCTTGTTGTTGAAGCCCAGGTAGTTGGCGTCGGGGATGACCAATCCTTCGTCATCGCTGTAGTCTCCGTTACCGGCGGCAATGAGCTCGTTGCGCTCGGTCGCAGAGGCCAGAATGCGGTTCCAGCGCGCGGCAACGCCAGCCAAGAACTCCCGAACGAAGGTGGTGGTGTAGTTGGCACCGTCCTCGGTCCAGCCGTTGGCCGCGCTGTACAAGTTCAGCTTGGAGTTGATATCGGCTCCAGTAGTCTCGTTGGTGATAGCAGGGTTGAGAGAGAGCAGGGTCATGGTGGACAGGCCAAAGTTGGCATCAATGAGCAAGACTCCGTCGGCAGCGGGCAGCCCATCCATCGCGCTGGAGCAGGGGTACAGCTTTTCGGTTCCGTTGCAGGCAGAGGCTCCGTTCTCGGCCACGTTTTGGTACGCGGCCATCATCGCACCGCCGCCGGAGTGACCCCAGATAATCACCTGATCAATGTCGGTCAGGTTGCGTAGGAATTGCACTCCCGTTCCCACGTCGGTCATCATTGTCTCGAAGTCGAGGTCGTTCATGAGGCCCGTTTTGCTCTGGGCATTGTTCAAGCAGAGGGTGGTGTATCCACGAACGGGCAGCTCACTGCAGGGGTAGAAGGTGGTGTAATCCTGCTCGGCGTGCATGACCAGGATGCCGATCCGAGCCTTGGCTGGATCAGCACTGGCAAGGGGACGAAAGAGACCGCCAATGACCCCCGTGCCGAATGTCACCAACGAGGGAATGGGAAGGCTAAAATTGCCCAGCGAAGTATGCGTGAACTGGGTGGGCCATTGACTGGAGACACTGGCACTGGCGCTGGCGCTGGCAGAGAGCAGGGCCGCGAGGGCGGACTGCTTGAACGACGGCATCGATCTTTGAGGCACAGAAAGGCAAGAGGCAAGAGGCAAGCAGGAATGATGATCGCAGACCGGGATATGCTTGTCAGTCCGTTGTACCTGCAGGAATACCCTTGTCCATCTTTATACTAATCCCTGCGAAGATTAAGTCCGAGGTACCCGCTGTACCACCCGGCACGCACTGGGTAATGGCTGTACTCTAACCTGGATAAGGTAGGGTCTGTTGCAGCATCCGTCCTCTCTGCCGCGCCTTGTTTGCGGAAGCTTTCCTGCATTAAGTCATGAAGCCTGCGATCAGTGGGCCCACGCGCGTAAAGAATCTTCCCGTCCACTTAAACCCCGCACTGAAGTATGGGAGCTGCGTCATCTAACAACGGTATCGGAGTAAATTGCCTTCTGCAGACACAGCGCATGCTGATCGCTCGGGCCGTGCCATAACTTGGTCAATTCGGCAGACTGGTCGTAACGAGTACATGTGGACCAGTTAAATGATTCTAGTGGTCAGATAAACTTTCATGTGCTATATCTACTATGGGACAGGCGAATAGTAAAGAGGCAGTGTTCCCGGCGATTGATAACACCAGACACAACCACAGTTCAGACACTTCAAACTACTAGGTACTAGACTAGGTAGCTGAACATCAGGCAACATCGATTATGCGGCAACCGGTCAACCGGGCAACTGGATCTCCACTGACTTAACCCGAGTTTCAGAAATGCTTCCCGCTTCCAACGATGATTTACCTGGCACGCCTATTACCACATGATGCTCAATTGATGCAAAACTTGAACATATCCTACCAGCAGCCTTGGTAAAAAGAGACAGTGTGAACCTACATAGCAGGATCTCGATTAGGTGATAATCATGAAATATTAGCGCCCATTTAAAGAAAGTAATGGGAGTGGTAGAAAATATCATAAGGAAGAAGCATTGGTAAATATAGTACTGACCCAGAGAGCATACGGTCAAAGGATAACTCACAGCCGTCCGGTAAGGTATCAATCTCTCTTATAGGCGATGGCTCTATTTGATTGAACTTACCAAGAGAACCCCACTCATAATTATCTCCACTATAGCACCTTGCTTGGACCAGACAGCCAAGTTAATTGTCTAGAGTGTCTCATCGATAAGGCGAGTCGGGAAACCCAAAGACGGAGCTCCCTAATCATAGGCTCAGCTATTTGTGCCTTGGCAGTTAGACGAACGAAAAACAAACGACAGGAACAAAAAAGCAAATTCGAGATTCCCGAGTTAGATCAGAGGGACAAATTGGCCAATTTGCTGTTTGCAACAAAGGCATTGAGAGCTCTCCGGAACGCGGCGGGTGTCCAACATATATTTCTGCCGTTTGCATAATGTCGAGATCAAGGTCCTCCGGCACGTCACGTGAGCGACAGATAACACCCACTGTGAAACTACTCAAACACGCAGTCATTCTCCATATCCATTCAACCTTCTCGTAAATTTAGACCGCCAGTCACCACTCATATTAACTTTGTAATGAACCGTGGAAGAACCCGTCGCGCACGCCTCAAGCGGTCGAAAACGGGTTGCCGCACGTGCCGGTATGCACTTCACCCGCACGCGATAAGTCGACTAAGCAACAACTAGGCTGACACTTAATGACAGAGCCCGACACGTCAAGTGTGACGAGACCCCAGGCAAGTGCCAAAACTGCACCTCGACTGGACGGCAATGCGACGGCTATGATACCCATCGGCTGCCTCTCCCCAACAAACAAACGCGCCATTCGGAGCGCTTGGCACTGTCACCTCCGGTCGCAGTCACCGTCCCGTGGGCCAGTACCTCCGATGAGCGCCGCTGCTTTGGCTTCGTGCAAGCCCGCACGATTCCCGACGTGCTCAGCTACTTCGACTCGCTGATATGGGAGCAATTTGTCCTGCAGATGGTGCGCCGCGAACCCGCGGTCTGGCATGCTGTCGTCGCCTTAGGCGCCGTGCACCAACACATCGAGCCTGGGTTGATGGGCGGGTCCACGGTCTGGGAGTGTACTGCCGTCGCACAGTGAACGAGGTCCTTTGCCTGCCTGCGCCGACGGAATCCGCAGGATCCACAGATGCGGGAGGTGACATTGCTCTGCTGTCTGTTGTTCACCATCATGGACGTGGTACGGCAGGAGTTTGGGACCGCCGTGCAGCATATTCGTGCTGGCCTGCGGATTCTGGATGAAGCTCAACTCTCAACCAGCAGGGACGGTCAGCCGCTTCTTCGCTTTTGGCTGCATGCCTTCCGACATCTCGATACCCAGATTGGCAGTGATCGCTTGTTGATGGTGGAGGGCAGTGGCAGTAGGAGCAGCACAGAAGACGCAGGGAACGCCGCGGTGCAACCGGCTGTAGACCCTACATGGCTGTCATGGACCTCGCATTCCCAAGAACCATACACTGTTGCTTCCGCCCGCCACATGCTGGAGCCCCTCTACAACCGCTTTTTCAAGTTCATCCGACAGTGCTGGCGGATGTCGCCAGCGGAGCTCCAATCTGCTGCCGCCGCGCCAGTCTTGGCGGAGCAAGCCAGTCTGACCACGCAATACCACTGCGCCAGGCAATTTTGGCGCATTTTCCGCACGGAGCAAGACGCCAGTAAGCTCAGCCCGAAGGATGAGCGCGGGGCCGAGGTGCTCGAGATCTGGCTGACGACCGTCGGTCTCGGCTTGCAGACGGGCCCCCTCCACGGGGACCCGACGGCTTTGCAGCGGTTCACACCGCAGTATCGCGATCTGCTCAATCGGAACCAACGTTTCCTCGCCCGCTTTCCACAGCGGCCTACTTTGCTAGTCGACATGGGCGTGCTGCCGACGATATTCTTTGTGGGCGACGGCTGCCAGGACCTCTCCGTACGGTGGGAGGCCCTGCAGGCTCATTATGCCTGGCCCCACCAGGAAGGTCCTTTCAGCGCACCGCTGATGGCCGCCCGGCTGGAACATCTAATTCGCGCCCAACTAATGGTCCGAGTTCGGGCCGACCTGGTGGCGTCGCTCCGACTGACTTCGCACCAGCCCGCACAATTGATGACGGAGAGCGAAGTAGAAAGCTGTTTGGAAGAAGTAGAAGAGCTGGTCGAAACCGAAACCGACCGCATCTTGGAGCAAATGCGGTCGGTGAGCTCCTGCGCCAATGAAGAAGACCGAGAGAGGTCCGCGCACATGTTGTCCGCACTCGATCGGATGCACGACCACTGGGGATCAGTAGCGAGAATGAAAAGGATTGAGGGGTCTAGCGCCCTGTGAGTAGTCGTGGCTATCTTCGCGCCTGATTTGACTTGCGGACTTTATCGCCGGGGCCCACTTCCTGAGATCTGGGGAGTCGACGAAAATCTCAACGGCGGCCCGGGCCTCGGTATTTTTTCGACCTTCCAGATCTCCCATTGCTCCATCCCACTGGATTGGGTCAGCGTGACGGACCGTATGGCTGTGGGATTGAACATTTCTTGACTACGCTGAGGTTGTGTTTTCCTGAGCTAGCATTAAAGGACCGAGCGTTAAAGTACGTTTTGTCAAGACACTCCCAGTGTTGGAAGAGGAATCCCAGGCGCGGGGTACTATGTCCTGTCCTGTACTGTACATATCCAATTTTCTTCGATAGGCAGCAGAAATGTGGTTTTGTCACGCTTTACGGAGTCGCTTGGCAAGAACAAAGATACAGCTGAACAGCCCGATGTTTGTGTCTCGGCTAATCTTTCCCGCAATCCCGTGAAATGGTGTGAACTGGTGTGAACTGGTAACCTAATGCCGCGCTATTGCTCAGCTTCTCGAAACGGCGCAACGCCACATCAATAGTCGATTGGAGCAACAAAGCCCGCCTTCCTCCAACAGGCAAATCTCGGCAACCGCCAGCAGCAGCCGAACTGTGATGGCGCAGCTGAGCCCTAAGCCACCTGAGGTGGCAGCTTATCATCTACAACGCTTGCAACGCTTCTGCCCCACCAAACACGGAGTCGCCGGGACTATACGACTATTTACATTCAGCCCCCCCCTCCCCCGATGAGACAGAAAAATAATCGAGAAACCCAGCATACACGAGGGTTTCATTCGCAATGAACGTCTTTGGCACCTACACGGACTCCGCCGCCACGCCACTCCTAGGAGGCGAGTGCGGCAAACGTCTGATCCCGCACGTTATCGACGCGACGGCCAGCGCCACTCCCGATGCAGAGTGCCTGTCCGTTCCCCGCAGCAACGGCAATCCCCAGGCGGGATGGAAGCGCGTCAGCTGGGCACAGGTCGCCAACGCCGTCGACTACGTAGCGCACATGCTCATCAAGGAGGGTGGCACTCCGACCCCCGGGACGTTTCCCACCGTCGCCTACATCGGCCTGGAGGACCCGCGGTATCCGATCTTCGCAACCGGTGCCGTGAAAGCCGGCTATCAGGCGCTCTTCATCTCGCCGCGTAACTCGGTCGAAGCACAGCTGAATCTCTTCGAGAAAACCGACTGCAATTTCCTTTACCATGAAGCACAATACGCCTCGATGGTGCAACCGTGGGTCGAGAGACGGCCCGGAATGAAGCGCGTGGCTGTTGCGCCGTGGGATGAATGGGTGAGCACGGAAGTCGCGCCGTTCCCCTACACCAAGACCTTTGAGGAGGCCGAATGGGATCCTTTCGTGGTGCTGCACACGAGCGGCAGTACCGGGCTGCCGAAGCCTGTCGTCATCTATCAAGGCACGCTCGCCCTGAACGACCTCCACCGTTACGTGCCGGAGTACGAGGGCAATCTGCCTTGGCTGGCGACCTGGGCCAAGTTTCCCAATAAGCGTTACCTTAATATCTTTCCTTTATTTCACACTGCCGGCATTGCGCCGACGATTCTGATGGCATTCTACTACGATGCGCCGATTGCGTTTCGAGATCCTTCTGTGCCCATCACCGGCGATAATGTGGTGGATTGGTTGCAGAACACGGATGCGGGGTTTACGCTGATGCCGCCGGCAGTCTTGGAGCAGATGTCGCGGTCGGAGATCGCGATCGAGGAGTTGAAGAAACTCTATGCGGTGGGATTTGCAGGGGGTGAGTGCAGCTTTCCGCTTTTAAAGACGGTTGCTAATCGGATGCTCTGCATTCAGGTCCCGTCGCTCCAGATCCAGCGAACCATCTGTTAAGCCATGGTGTGAAATTGGTCAACGCTATCGGCTCAACTGAGTAAGTGAGATCCTGACGGCGCTGCAGACTCTTGCTCATTGAAATTTCTCAGGTATATCTACATGCCTTACTACAACCAACCCGACGCCACCCTGTGGCCCTGGTTCATCATCCCCACCAAGTTGATGGGCATCGAATGGCGCCCATTCGGTGAGGACACATACGAGCAAGTGATCGTGCGCCAGGACAAGAATCACCCGGGTCTGCAGGGCTGCTTCTACGCTTTCCCGGAGCTGCAGGAGTTCAGCACGAAGGACCTGTACCGCCCTCATCCCACCCTACCAAATCACTGGACCTACGTCGGCCGAGCGGACGACATCATCATATTCTCCAACGGCGAGAAACTCAACCCCACGACCATCGAGGGCGCCGTGATGGGTCACCCGGGCGTGCTGGGCGCACAGGTTGTCGGCAGCAGTTACTTCCACGCTGCGCTGATCATCGAGCCAGCGCAGCATCCGACGAGCGAACAGGAGAAACAGCAATTCCTCGATGATGTGTGGCCCATTGTGGAGAAGGTCAACATTGAGACGGTCGCCCACGGCCGCATCTCGCGCGACTACATCTTCCTCTCCGATGCGGAGCGGCCCTTCCCGCGCGCAGGCAAGGGCACCATCCAGCGTGCCATGGTCGTCAAGGTATACGCCGAAGACATCGAGCGCATCTTCGCGGCGAGTAGCGACGCATCTGTGGTGGCGATGGACCTCGACCTGAGCTCCAGCGAGAAGTTCGAGGACTCGCTGCGCAGGCTGGTGCATGGAGTGTTCAAGCTGCCCACGCTCTGCGCCGACCAGGACTTCTTCTCCGCCGGGGCAGACTCCCTGCAAGCCATCCAACTGGCCCGATCACTCCGCGCGAGCCTGGAGAAGGCGACCACTCTCCCTGACGGCGCAACCATCGACGCTCAAACCATCTACACCCACCCGAGTATCACCCAGCTCGCGACCTACGCCTACTCCCTGACCACCACCACACCCTCATCCACTCTCCAGCCCTCCCCCACAGACGAAAGTCTCTACACCACCCTCCTCGAGAAATACACCGCGACGCTCCCCGCCCTCAACCCCAGCAAGCCCCTCGCCGCCACACCCCCGCAAACCCTCCTCATAACCGGCACAACCGGAACCCTAGGACCCTACCTCCTCTCCACCGCCCTCCGCAACCCGAGCATCCGCAAGATCATCTGCCTCAACCGCGACCCCAACGCCGCGACCCGCCAACACACCACCCACAGCACCCTCTCCCTTCCCACCGACTTCTCGCGCGTGGAATTCCACACCGCCGACCTCACGCAGCCGACCCTCGCCCTCCCCTCCACCCTCTACACAACCCTCACTCAAAATGTCGACCAAATCATCCACAACGCCTGGCCCGTGAACTTCAACCTGGCGCTCTCCTCCTTCGAACCCAGCATCCGCGGCGTCCGCCACCTAATCGACTTCAGCCTCGCATCCCCCCAACACATCCCAATCAGCTTCGTCTCCAGCGTGAGCACCCTCGCCAACTGGCCCTCCCCTACCACTATCCCGGAACAGGGCTTCGCGGAATGGGACTACGCAGTCGGAGGCTACGGCCAATCCAAGCTCGTCGCCAGTCGGATCCTCGAGACAGCGAGTCAGATCTCCGGCGTGCCGTGCAAGATCATCCGCGTCGGACAGGTCGGGGGTCCCCGCGGGGAAAAAGGGATGTGGAATGTGCGCGAGTGGGTGCCCAGCTTGGTCCGGAGTTCGTTGTACCTGGGGCTTTTGCCGGAGACACTAGGTGGGCTGGTCGCGGCGGGCGGGTGGATGTGTGTGGAGGATGTGGCGGGGGTGATTCTGGAGGTTTCAGGCGTGGGAGAGGGGGACGAGTCTCAGCCTGTTACGGAGGTCGATGGAGCGAAACCTGACGAGGAGCCGAAGGCGGGATACTTCCACGCTATCAACCCGCATGCGGTCGATTGGGCCGGGTTGGTGCCGGCGCTGTGCGAGTTCTACGGTGACCGCATCACGAAGGTGGTTCCGTTCGAGGAGTGGGTGGATGCGTTGGAGGCGAGTCTGGGGTCGATGGGGGCTCACGAGGCGGAGGTCAATCCCGGCGTCAAGCTGCTGGGTACCTACCGCGAGGCGGCGCGGGAGTCCTCCGCCCGGGCGAAGGGGTTCGAGACGGCCTGCACGGAGGCGTGCAGTCCCACGATGCGCGACGTGCGGCCTGTTACCCCGGAGTTGATGAGGCATTGGTGTGCGCAGTGGGGGTTTTAGAGTGGCTATTGCCTTATAGAAATATTCTGTACTCAGGAAAGTTTTAATGTCGACAGAATATACATGATCCTCGCAACCTGGCAACTCTGATGCTATTGATAATGTCTTTTCCGTGTTTGGAGTGTGTTCACAGCTATGGGACCATTAGGGTTGACTACAAAGATCAGTAGTCAACGGTGCCCGGCGCGAGAGTTTGCAATGAGTTACTGCCCCTCGAATATTGCTCTGCTCAAGGGATTTCATCTTAAGCGCCGCCGTTCATCTGGCGCAGGATAGACGTGCAATTTCGAATCTGGATTCATGGCTCGTCCAGTGGCTGGGAGAAATAACCACTGATATGGCTAGGCGGCTCATGCCGTCTTCGGATAGCACATTCACATCTATAGTCCTCTTTCTCTCTCTCCCTCCTTTTATTTCTTTTTTTCTTTTCTTTTTCTGTTTGCGCATCAATCGACTCTTGTGGGAGTCTTCGTACAAGGATGGTTGCTGGCGTTCTAGAATTCTTGTTTTGCCGGCGATAGTCAGCTATAAGCACAGCGCTCATCACGATGCACTGAGCCGGAACACAGTGCCAGGAACCGGGCGTGTCGAAAAATTCACCCTAAAGCACGGGGCCATACGCAGAGCCTGCCGGCTCAGAAGGCCAAATCACCCGCCCTGATGCCTGGCGTCTGCTCTACCTCCCCTCCGCGGTCGAGGATGACCTGCACTACGAGAGTCACCCTTTTGAGTACGTGACTGGTTAAGGATGAATGCGTCTCTCGTTCATTTCGACACTGGTTGACGGACTAGGGATATGAAGATTCAACTTCAAATGTCGTCAGTGAATGATGAATCTACAATAATAAGTACCGTGAGCATAATCTGTGACAGCGATGAGCATGAGATGTCTTTCTCTGCATCAAGTCGGGTAACTGTTGGGCGGCATTGCAGGAAGGTTGGTGGAGACTCTGACTATCATCCGCCACTCCCGTCACCCCGGGCTTCCCAATCTCCTCTTACACGGATATAATGCCATGTACTGTACGCCCTCCTGTAACGTAGATCCAGTGATAGTCCTACCATCAACAACCCTTCGCCATTACCCTCCATAGAGACCAAGGAGCCCAGGCCAGGGCTAGAGAAGGGATGATGACCCAGAGCTCTGGACCAACCAGGCTCAAGGTCAGCTCACGACCACTCCAATCGCCAGACTCTCGCCTTCTCAAATGATCGTGGCCAGTATGAGATCTGCACCCTGTCGCCGCCTCGCTCAACTACCACATCCATCATGGCCGACAGAGACGTGGAACAACGACCCGCACGCGTCGTGGATACCAGCGGCAACCCGTCCTCCAGGCCAGCATTGGCAGCCCTCGATCCCAGCACGACCCCGCAGATCACACGCCGGTTGACACTCGCTAAACTGAATCCAAACTCAAGGATCTCTTGCTCGCTAGGGCTGAGCGCCCAATCCTCGTGGATCACAATGGTGCCGCCCAAGTCGAGGACCCTACCGCGCAGCATATCCTGCAGCTCGCCTGCGACCCCCGCACCCAGGAACGGTCGCAGATAGTCCAGCCAGTCGCTCGCCCGAAGTCGCTCTCCGCTACGCCACCGTCTCGCCATGCCAATCACAACCTCATCCAGCGGGCTGTCCGCGTCTAGCCCGAACCGTCCCGTCATCTTCCGCAGACGGCTGTCCACCTGCAGCAGGTAGGCAAAACCCCGCATATACGGGATTAGCTCTGCATACCAGTCGTCGTAGAACTCCGCCTGCGAATCGCGCGCATCCATGCCGATGCGCGGGCTGGTCCCGTAGGCGCTTAGGTATGCATTGATGCGGTTGCGCAGATACTCCGCCCCGCGGAGACCGAATCGGTAGGGCAGGTAGGCGGAGTAGAACTGTGCGAGCCCTGTCACCTCACACGTGAGTACGGTGCTACACGCATTCTGCACAGAATCATAAACTAGCAATAAAGCCTGAAACCCCTTACCTTCAATAAACCACCCATTCCCATACCCATCCGCCTCCGGCCCCATCTTCACAAAGCTGTGAACCATCTCGTGCGAGAACAGCGCCACCAGATCCTCCTCCGTCTCCTCCGTGCTCGACGCATCGTACTCCAGCACATAGCTCCCCTGACAGCCATGACCTCCAAACCCGCGAAGCACTCGTCGGATGAAGATGTGATACGAAACCGCATCAGGATTCCGGAAGAACGCCGCCAGTTTGGGATACAGCAGGATGGTGTACGGATTCAGCCGCTGCAGATTCTCCGGCAGCTGGCCGAACCAGAACACTTGCGCGCGTGGGGCAGCAGCAGCAGCAACGGCGTGATTGTTGCGTGGATAGCTCTCGATCGGTCCAACCATATACACCGAGTCGATGAGCACCGTCGGCGGTCCAGCCCTGACCACCGGGTCCGGTCCCTCCCCGAACGACCAGACGGCCCGGGTCCGCGGGGGCGCGTGCGAGAGGTCCCACGCCACAACGTGCCGGTAGACGCGCTCGTGCGCCGGCCGGGGCAGGAACCAGCGCCCGTTGCCGATCAACCCCCCCTGGTCGCGGCGCAGGTCGACCCGCGGGCCGATCGGCGTCGTGAGATCGACGGCCCGCGGGGTCACGCGGAAGCGCAGCTGGACGTCGCCGACTGTGTCGCGGTCGACACGCCATTCCTGGTCTGTGTTGGTCGGGTCGGTCGGGCCGGTGAAGGACAGAGATAGCTGGCCCGCTGCGTCGGATGCGGTGATGTCGTGTTCGTTGTATGGGTGGGCCGGGACGTTGCCGTAGGAGGTCTCGAAGAGGAAGAGCGGGTGGTGGGCTGCGCACTGGGGGTCGTGGAGGGTGAGGTGGACGGACAGCCGGTCGGCTTCGTCGACGGTGAAATGAGGCGTGATGGTGAGGTTGAGCGCGCCGAGGCTGCGGCTTGATGCTCTTTGGTCACAATAGTTCATGGTGGGATGGGGTTGTCGGAGTCCAGGCTTAGGGCACGCTGGGGAGTTCGGGTTGACAAGGCGAGAAATTAAGAGGTAAAGCGTAGCCCGGGGGGGGAGGGGGAGGGAACAGGACTTGCGATCTTTAAAATATACCAGATCCCAGTTCCAAATTTCTTGTCACCTTGTTTAATCCTTGCTTCTTGTGACGCTTGGTGATGTATACATAAGCACTATAAGAGCGCTAGGCACGCCACAGGCCACTCTACAGCACTAATTGGCCGGGTGAAGGCAACCCGTGCCATCGATTCCCAGCGGGCGCGTCTACATCTTGATTCTTTTCCCAACTAAGCAAGCTAGGGCGTCACTTACCCGAGTAGACTCATCCTGTGGTGTATTGGCAACACATTTCCACGCCCACGCCATTCACTAAGTGGATCATGTCCGCGGGTATGAAGCTGTGGAGGCTAGAGACCTCTGAGAAGTTGGTCAATGGGAAGGAGAGTGACGAGGTGTTCCGAGAATTGGCACTTCTTCGTGGCTTCTGACCTAGCATGCAATGGCTCGCTTTGTGACGGGTCATGCATTCCTTCCAGGCAAGGTATCTTACGACTTTTGTTCGTGCCTACAATACCTATCGTCGTTTTTCTATGAGTATTTATCTGGCATACGGAGTGTGGTTTAGTGATTGTCGTCATCCGGTATTGCGGGTCGTGGAGTCGACCATTGGCGGCCAACCGAGCAGGGGTTTGAAGCCAGTATACCTAAATCCGATCTTGTCTCAGTGCAGAACAACCTTAGCTAAGTAATTTGAGATGTCTTAGTTTGATATAAATTAAGCTATTATCTATACAAATCCTTCAATAGAAAAATATAATCAAAAGTGCTCTCCAACAGAACTTTGTAATAATATTCTTTTTGGGCTCTGAATGATACCTATAGCTCTGATGATTACATTGCCTTGCGCTAAAGAAATTTGTGCATAACCCCCTACTTTCCCCGACGCTCTGTCACACCATGAATTGCTAATGTGAGAATTATTCTTCAATTGTGGTGCCGCGATTAATTTCCTCCAGCTGTGATCAACATCGCCAGCCCTGGTCACTGATGTTCGAGCAGGACAACACGGGCTACTCTGTTCAAATGTGTCATTGCCCTATTGGGTACATTCAAGAATATGAAAGATGATAAGGTATTCTCAATTATCCCTAGCCAATGCCCTTACCCCGACTCAGAAACCTGCATCCCCTCCGGGCCGAACGACCGCGCAAACTCTTCTCTCCAAGGGTTCTCCGCCCACGCCCGGTACGCACTCCAGTGTATCACCGGCGAGCGCTCACACATCTCCGACCAGCTCATGTTCGAAATATTCACATTGATATAGACCCCCTCCGCCTCTTCCAGATTTCTCCGCTCGTACCCATACCCCGTCGAGAGGTATCCAAACGAACGCCCCGTCCCATCCCGAAACCAGACATCGCCACCCTCGTGCGACGCGACGATGATAGCCTCCCAGTCCTCCCTCTCATCATCCGGCTCCATCGCATCCGCCAGCGTCCGGCGGTCAACCGCCAGGAACTGCAGCGGCGGGCGGTTGTTCCCGTGAGCGAAGTCCCCGGAGGTCTCAAAGTACGCCAGCAGCCCCTGCATATCCGGGGAGACCAGTCGGTCCGCGACGTCGACCCACATGTACTCCTGATCGGGGCACGGGAACAGTTCTGTGCGGATCGTGCGGAGCTCGGATGGTGTCATGCGGTCGAGGATGAAGATCACATCGCTGCCCAGGCTGCCTGCAATATCGTCCGGGTCGACGATGGGCTCCCCGCCGTGGAGGCTCAGGTCATACATGGCCGGGTTGTACCGGTAGGGGCCCCGGGGCATGCGGTGGGAGGTCCGGGAGTATGGGTTCCAGGCGGCCGTCCAGAACTCTGAGATCTTCTCGAAGGGTAGGGTCCCCAGCTCCAGTCGCTTGTCCCGGGGGTCAAATACGCTGTACCCGCTGGCGCCTCTGGCGCGGACGATGTGGTAGCCTTCGGAGTCCTCGTCGATGAAGAGCGCGAAGGCCTCGTCGATGTCGCGGTGGCGGATCTTCACCGCCTGGAACATGCGGTAGAGCTGCGCGCGGGAACAGGGTTCTTGGTGTGCCGGCCAGTTGTGGATGATGATACGATGGCCGATCATCGCCTCGAGGTTCTCCTGGACAACTGGCGGGACGTGGATGAGTGAGATTAGAGTCGGGGTGGATGGGTCGAGGCGCAGCCCTGATAAATGAGGTGGGAGGACGCCAATGGGTTCCTGTAGTTTTCTCTTAGCCTAGCTCCGTCGATCCCATGTTCGCGCCATGAGCGTTTAATTACCTTGAATGTCGGTACTGGGCCCATCTCGGGCTGGATCCGGGGGTATGTCGGTGGTAGTATGCCACCGTCAGCCACCACGGCTAACAGCATGTTAGCCCGGCTTAGTGGTACCCGCGCAGCTTCCGGGGATGATTCCTTAGACACCTTCCAGGCGATGATCGCTGTGTGGTCTATGCGAGACTGGTTGTCGATGAATATTACTGGGTCTTTATTGAGTATCGTCCAGATGACTGACGCTGGCGGAACGCAGTCCATCAACCACGGGATCTCTACCATTTGCCGCGGTTTCGTCGAGGAACGATCTGGCCAATTTTCATCCACGGAGCTCAGTGTTGTCATCAGGGCAACACGGTCTGTGTCCTCCATGGGACAGATGAAGACCACCTGCCATGTCGGTGGTGCAGTCCCGCGGAACCGAGAGAATTCGGATAGACTGGGGAGCAGCCAGGATGGAGGCGTGGTGGTTGTCATCTCGGCTTGCATCTGGCATCGAAGAAAGACGGCTTCCAGGAGATTGATCAAAATTAAATTTCGATTTAGAGAAAATGATGAGGGAAGATTACTAAGCTAGCTAGGCAACAGTGGTTTAGTGTCTTGATTCTGCCTGTCGAGAATGGATCGGGCCCTAGTCGGGAGATCCTTGAGATGGGGAACTCGCATGCTTCATTTGGGCTATTGTAACTGGAGAAGGCAGGTGAGCATCCGAGTATATGTAAGTTACTTATGTTTGTTTCACTTCAAGTACAGTAGTGGAGACATTCTTTGGTCCCCTGAGAGCGCATTTCCCTTTTGCGCCCCACTTGCGCCAATACGGTCGTGTCAGATCAAATCACAGTTCGAGCATCAATTAGGGCTGTCTTTTTGAAGGCGGGGAATGTGCGGGCGGGAGCCAGCGGCACCTTGGCCACCGCGGCAGCTACGGTATATCACCCCAAGCGCAGTGCAGAATATGGCATTGGAACATTGGAAACCTGCTCATGCACAGGCTGGGACAAGACTAGATTGAGAGGTGCTCCAAAAACGTGAAGTTCTGATTTCCCATACCATCATATCCTCTATAAACCACCATATCCACGTACACTGACCCTAGCTATCACATGAATATTTGCGCAGCCCTCAATCCCTAGGATACATAACATCAAAGCTTCGACTTAGCCCATTCATCAAACCCACACTCCAGAACAGTAGTCAACCTCGAAAACGAATAGTAGAAGCCCTGGTCGCCTTTGTTTAGCAATATTAACGTGACATTGATTCTTTACGGGGATATCCACCTGAAGCGAGATAATCTCCACGATCTCCCTTTCCGAAAACTCCCGCTTGACACGCTCCCACAGCTCATCACCGACTTCAGGCTGCTGGATGATGGTTTCCACAAACGTCAGGAGCACAAGATCCCTCGGGCTGAAGGCCGCCTCCAGACTATATTTCCCATCGATGAAGTAGTTGGTTGTCTTGGATGATGCTTCGAGCGCGGACTGTTGTGCCCTGGTTACTCCCGCCTTCAGCGACACGGGCACATGGTGGGTCCATTCGTAGGTTGATTGGAATTTGGCTGTCGTTAGCAGGATCACGAGCTCGCGGTCGCGGGCCGCGAGGGATAGGTGTTTGAATTGGGCATTTCCCAGGGCGGTCCAGTGGTCGACGGTGGCGGTGCTGTGGGATAGAAGCTTGATGATGTTCAGGGTGGGAGGCGGTCCGGCGTGCGGGGTGTGGTAGTTGGTGTAGGGTAGGCGGGGCATCGCTTGTTCTGAGTGATAAGGTGGCGACATCAATATTTGGCTTTAGAAGATATGTCTCTTTTCTCGTTATATGAGATGCGCTTCGAGATTGGAAGAGACTTCTCAGGGAAAATGTGTTTCGGCTGTCTTGGAGTTTCGGTATATACTTCTCGTCCCTGTACCTGGCGTCAACGCTAGAGTTACCGAGGTAAGGTAGGGTGTATACTATCATCAACCTCGGCAGAAGAGCAACCTCTTCTGGTACCAACTCGCATGACTGCTCCCCCGCGATCCTCGGAAGCCTATGTTTAAACAACAATGGCGAAGGGTCATATATGCATCTGAATCTCCCAAAGTAACGAAGTTGCTGTCGCCTTGGTATAAAAGGATTTTGACCAGGATGTATTATCTTCTCATGATGTTTAAGATATCACCTATGGGCCAATGCCGACATAACCATCAATATAAGTTGACTACCTGTCGGACACAGGTCTGGTCACCATCTGCTCGCTCGTCAATCGGGCTGGACGCGAAATGCATACGGTAATGCTCGTCGCCGTCCCAGGCGGCCTGAGAAGGGATCATTGAGTTGGGCAAGATGAAGCCATACATAGTCACTGCTTGATAATGCATAAGAACTGACAACTCACCAACAGCTGGCCTGCTGGCCCAATGGTAAGGCGCTTGACTACGAATCAAGAGATTGCAGGTTCGAGCCCTGCGTAGGTCATTTGTTTTTGTCTTTTTCCCTAAGCAATAGGGTTCGGCTTGTAATGTGGACTCTCCTCTGCGGGATCTTATCTCTGAACCGCAAAAGATACAGTGGGAGGAAAGTAGTCTGCGTACTCCCCCCACCAAATTGTTTGGTTCTAAGCGCCACTTTCCGCAGCACCGCCTTCCTAATTGCTCTCGTTAACAAAAATATATGGTACAGCATGTTATAGAAAGTATTGAGGATTTGGCGGTGGTGGCTTTTGCCGGCAGAATAAGGGTGTAACCAGTCGTAAATAGGAATGAGACGAACTCCTTGTGGAGGGAGTACGCAGACTACTTTCCAGTGTCTGTTTACAGCGAGAACACCTCTCAAGGCCACTGTTTGGCGACTGCAACCAGGAGGGTCATAAGTCACTCCGTGTTCATCTCCTTTTCTTAAGTGGTTTTCGTCAGTTCCGGTCCCTCTGGCCCGGGAGCATGCTCAATATCCACCTTTGAAATGGGATAATTGGGTAGATTCACCGGGCACTGCGGAGCTCAGAGCGAGATATGCTGTGTACCACGCTCCGTGTCTAGACGCTTTTTCTTCTTCCTGTATAAAGAGGCACAGACCTTTTGATTATAGACTCTATGTGGCCATGAGTACTTGAATATTTATGCTAAATGTACCATTCATACACTGTGAGGCACAGTTTAGATAACGCTATAAGATTCCGTGGTAGATCAAGCTTGCACCTATATATACAGAACCCAGTATGCCAGGGGATCAACCACCGCGACAACTAAAGACAATGAGAGCGTCCAAGATATCCGAAAGAAACCTATTCGAGTCAGCCCCAATCGGAATATCAAACGGTTGCATATGTCTTGCTGTGGTTTGGACTGTCTCCTGCTCACCGCGCACCTAAACTCGAGATGGAAGCTCCCAATTACTAAGCTCTGTGTTCTTACTTGGTACTTGAATATTGATTTCTCGAAGGCTGGGTGGAAACTAGCCAATAGCAAAGAGGTGGACGTCAACGCCGGTGTTTTGATTTCAGTAAGGACAGGTAAGTGCTGCATGTGCATCCGAGTTCGAGAGGCCGAGAATCAACTGGCTAGCGCCTGTGGTAACCCTAGCCCCGGGCCCCCTCACCACCCCAACTCCGTCGGCACCGGGGTCGCCGCCGCGGGGCCCTCCCCGGGCACGGCCGCCACCCGCAAGAACCCCTGGACTTCCGCGTCCGCATCCGCGTCCGGCTCCGGCGTGGCGGTTACGGTAATGACCTCGCGATCCAACGGCACCATCGTGACGGGCGGGATATACCAGCTTTCGTCGCACACCGACCAGCCGGCGTCGATCTGCCGGACCTCCTCGGGCAGCAGCACCCACGGCCGATAATCGTCGCGGACGATGGTGCAGCTCGGGTCGTAGAGCGGGCACTGCTGGCCGCCCCGGTACTGCGGCCAGGGGATCAGCGACTGCGTGTCGTTGTCGTTGCCCCCTCCTTCCAGGTGGTGGGGCATGAACTCGGCGAAGTTGAAGGGGTAGGCGGTGCCGACGGTGGGGTACTTGGCGTTGCGGTGGTTGCGGACGGAGGAGAGGGTGGCCGGGTTGAGGGAGAGGATCTCGTTGCTGTGGGAGACGCCGCACTGGGAGCCCGGGTGGGCGCGGCGGTTGCTCCAGGCGTAGATGGAGGTGAAGGAGAGGTAGACGGTCGGGGAGATGAAGGTCTCGCCGTTGACGATGGCGGTGCTAGGCCCGGTGGCTGGGATGGTGGTTCCATTCTGCTGGCATAGGTCGCCGTCCGCCGTGGTCACCGGCCAGTAGAAGAGGGTGGCCGTACCGGGGAGGAAGTGGCACGCTGAGCACGGGTTTTCCTCCGGGTAGGAGCGTGTGGTTGACGGGCACGAGTACGGCGGAATCGGGCTGTTGGTGTCGCCTGGGGGTGCTGCGGTGATGGTTTCGTAGTAGGAGCTTCTCAATTTAGAATAAGTGGACCAGATGGGAATGCACTCGCTGGTCTGTAGGGTGCAGTCTGGGGTGGAGTCCGGGGGTTGCCGGTATAGGGTTTCGGTTTCGGTGAAGGTTTGGTACCCCTCGGAGCAGGGACCGCTATTGTCGGGGTAGTACTCTGTTGCAGTTTCGCGAGGGCCCACCGCACGCGGGATCCCGTCACAGAGGGTGGTGAGAGGGCCCGTGTGGGTGTTGGACCAGGCTTCGGGGGCGACCGAGGTGCGACAGGCCCCGGCGCTGGTAGCGTAGGTTCCGGTGGACTCAACGGTTGCGGTTGGGCCGAGGGAGCGGAGCTCCAACGAACGACTCGCCCATTCAATCCAAGCGGCGTTGCAGGTGACTACCGCAGCCTCAGGGCCAGTTGTAGGTCCGTAGAAGTAGTCTGTGGATGTAGGCCAGAAGATCGAGGTGTTGAGTGTGATGAGCCATTGGCCGCTGGTAGTGGCTGTTTCAGTCAGTCAGTCAGGATACGAGTACTTGAATTAGGGCTAGGCCGGGCATACCATCTTGGCCAGCGGCGAGGCCAAAGAGTAGTGCTAGAAACAGCATGCTGTACATGACTTATGACAAAGCAATGCACCGGTGGGACATACTTGTCAAGTAGACATTCACCATCATTTATACCTGTGCGCGAGGCTAAAAAGAAACAAAAGAAATAAAAGAGTAGAACTCCCTTCCAGGGTTGGATAGCATTCACCCTGCAGATACTCTGCGGGACCACGCGCTTGGCAGAGCTGAAGATTGGTCTCTGCGTGAGACAAGCGCAGACCCTGTGTATCAGGAACAGAGTTTAGAGGACAGGTTCCAGCCAAGGGCAGACCTCAGGTAAGCGGGGACCCCGACGAAACCTGAAGTATTGGCTTGGCGTGCGGGGTTTTTCTGTACCTGAAGTTGTGAGCTCGAGTTCCTGACTCAAGCTGATTACTGATCGGTGTTCAGGCTACTTGGGTACATGCAGCCTGCCAAACCAACCACTTGCGATATCTATCATAGAAGAGTTGGTGATCCGCTGAGTATAACAGGGTCCAACAGGGATTTATGCAGGTATGGTGTGGTAGCTGAGATGTTACACCCACTAACGTGAGATCACTCGTAGTAAGAAGCCTGGCCCTAAAGTCCAAAGCTCTCTTAGGTTTGTCCTGACGCTAAAATCTCACCCTTAACTCAACTGCAGCAGATGTTTAGCCTTGTCAACCCACACGATCACCTTGTCCATTCATGGAAACCATGGAGACCTGCTGGGGTTTGTGTTTCTAGGACTGCCTGTGCAACCACCTACAGCGTACATATCATAGCCCAGCTCAAAAGAGGTGATATTGATAGCTTGCAGCATATGTGTTAATCTGAGCGGTTTGCTTCTCCGATCCATGCCTGTCCACGAGACCCTACCAAGTTCAGTCATTGAAGTCTGTGGATAGTGGGCAACACGAGATGCATGGGGTAGCATCAGCAGCTACGATTTTTGACTATATTGCCAGCCAAACAACCCTTTCCCCAGCCAATTACAGTCTGTATCTACTGCGAAATTTCCTCATAGACTGTCTGTTAATGCAGGTGATTAGTGAGCCTCCTCCCATGTCTCAGTCTGCGCGGACTTTGCCGACGCTTGGTTTGATTTCTAAGATGCCTGGCTCTGAGAACCAAACTAAGAATGGCAGAATCACTGTGAAATGACTTTGCTTTTGCGTGGAAGTTCTAAGTGCAGAATTATTATTACTTTGGGGATGCTAAAGTATGGCCTTGCTTCTAGGGTTCAACGAGGGTGGTCTGAGAGGGAACGCGGGTGCCAATAACAATATTCCTCTTTGGAGCTTCTGCCGGCCCGAAAGACCTGGTTGACCTAGCAGACAACCGTCGGCTTTCACCCCATTCCCTCCTCCCAGATCACAGATTAACTACTCTCTCTTGGTTCTAGCTCATCATCCGACGGCCATATCACAGACAGTCCACGCTCCTTCCTCAATGACAAAGTCTCCTTCTTCCATTCCCAGAACCCAGACCCCCTCTCCTCTCTGCGTAAATGACCCATCGTGCCCCCTTCATCGGTAAAACCTAGACGAGCCAACCCGGCTGCAAGGTCGAACTCATGAACCAGCTGCCCGTCCACAAGCATTCGGATGGTCCCAATATGCTCATACAAAAGCTCCCCGTACCTTGCAGTGTAATAACTCATACGCAGAAGACCTCCTATCTCCTGCTTGAGATATTGACAGAGCCACTCGGGACGCGTTCTATACGATGACAACGGCTCCAAACCTGCGCTTGGACTCCTAATATCTCGACCACAATGCCAAAATCTCCAATGCCGGTATGAAACATCTTCCGGCGGGAACGCAAGCTCTAGCTCTGCCGACCGGAAGTCCAGGACTAGGGTTTCGATTGCAATCTCTCTATCCTGGAAACTCTTCGTGTCGGCTTCCTCCCCTTTGCGCTTCTTCTCCCCCACGGGACCGTAGCGGAGGAACCGCTCCAGGGCCGCATAGAAGAACCAGTGGAAGCCTAACCGACCGCCGTCGCCGACTTGGCAACGCGCGATGTGCTGCTCGATGGTGTGTCCAAACAGGCGCACATGCGCGTGGAGGGTCGAGACATGGGTCGTGAGACGGGGCACGGAGAGCCATGTCAGGAAGAGCTTCAAGTCGTCTTTGACGGAGATGTCAAGAGTATAGTCGACTTTGCCGTGCTCAAGGATGTGGAGAGTCTCGGTTGCTAGTTGGTGATTGGTGAGAAGAAGCGATAGACTGTCCGAGGAGCTGGGCTTGTTCTTCTGCGTGTAATAGATCCCTCCCGAGCCCCATGCTTTGTAACTCATGTCGCGGTATACGGCCCCGTCGGATGATAGAGGGGCCACGGGTGGGCTGAGCGAGGTATAGAGCACATGTTCGATAATGAGCTTTCGCAGCTCAACCGGGATGTTGAGGAGCAGAGACATGACTGGGATCAAGTTCTTTGGAGTACTTGCGAAGAAGATCAAGAACCGCCAGGGAAACTGGACTAACTGGACTGGACGATCTACTCCCGTCAAGATAAGAAAGTATGTATTTGATACCGACCAGCTCGATCGCTTCAAGACATTTGAGGGCAGTGTGTTGATACCGAAATTGAAAGGGAAATAAAAATACCCATGTGTGCTACCTCACCGCCTTGCATAGTACGATTGTGAAAGTCTTAAATTTGAGGCATACTGCCAAGCCACTACTGCTCATTGTCGATAGGCTAAAAGTCTCCATCTGTCTGTTTTAAGGAGGTGAGCCTTTTCTGTGACTCATTCACTGAATCTTCCTTTTAAGTACCTTTCTTCTGCTGTCTAAGATACTTACAAGATAGTCGCGGTGATTTGACGGAGGCTGGGGACGGTATCTGCTACTGATAGGTCTCTGCAGTTGTTATCAGTACTCACTCTATGTCTGATATTACACACATTACCATAGGTAATGTACTGTACTGTACGATAAGATCTAAGTTGAGATTAATACCTAAATGCTTGAGTCAATCAACACTATAAGGAAATTTCCTCATATCGAAACCGTAGTCGGTGCTTCCTAAGAATTGACGCCAATACTAAATATTTTCAGTCCGGAAGAAAACCCAAGAACTCTAAGATTTAAAATGTTCTAGAGTGGTTCTATGATATACAGCAAGCTACTTTTGCCGATTTGTAGCTTAATGTTCTTGATATTGTATATACTAAAGAGGCCCACAGCCCAACAGGCTGCTTTCTGTTTAAATTACAGTAATATAAAATATTATACAGCATTTTTAGATAGAAAAATATTATAAAGTAACATTTTTTGCCTTAAATACTCTAATAGCCCTACCAACCCTACTAATCCTAATATACTTGTTGTTATGTGACTTCTTTTAGGCTGGGTAGCCTTAAAATAGACAGGTTCTCAAAAATAGAGAAACCTCAAGGTATAAAAAGAGGGGTTGGGGCAGGGGGGGGAGGTTAGAGGAGAAAAGTAATTGTTACACAGAGGTAGTTAGTAGAGTATATTACCGGTAGAATTAGAATTATTATAAATTGGTATAAGTAGCCCACTGTATTGATAGTGCTTTACAATAACCTGGAGTTAATTATAGGGCAGATAGGCTGGACAGCGCGCTCGCTGGCGTCTTCATGAGGCCCCAATGAGATCATTAGGCGTCCGCTAAGTGTACCACGCAATGTTCCCCTAGTGCGGTTGTTCATTATCACAACATTTCTCAAACAAGTATCAATAAATTCGCCCACAAGCGCATGAGATATTCCATCAAGTTAGATACTTAGCTGAGATAGAACCGCACAATGCGCCCGTCCCAGGTATGGTAGGAGCTACCACCGTCGTTCCACTCCGACGCAACCTGCATGCCCTGGCCGGAGGAGAGTCCGACAGGTGTACCTCCGTATGCCCAATAGCAGGAGGCACGGCCACTCCCGTCACTCCAATACCAGTAGGCCCGACAGCTAACCGACCAGTCCCCTTTCATGTGCAGATAGCACACGTCTCCGTACCCGTAATTCCCGGCTGATCCCGATTTCCAGTCTCCGACCACATCATCCCAGCTGTGAGCGTTGTAGAGAGTGGCCCCGGGGCGACAGTTGTGAATCTCGATCCACAATTCCGTGCCGCCTGACAGTTTGGAGTGGATGCCAGTCGCTCCGCTCCCGGGCGACTGGTGCCGCAGCTTCTCAATCTTAGCGCGGAGCTCGTGGGCGAGATCTTCATTGCCGGCCTCGTTAGCTTTGTGCAAGTCGTCTGCGGCTTGCTTTAGCTCAGCTTGGACGTCGTCGGCCGAGGTGGATTCTTCTTGGTCTATAGAGGTGGAAGCATGAATGAGAGCCCGATCAGTTGAAGGCTCCAGAGAGGTCACACATGGCTTTGCGGGGAACGGTAAAGACGTACCGTGTTGCTGGAACGCCTTTGCTGAGGCCTCCCGTTGCTCTGCAGTCGGCTTGGACATGAGCCCATGTTGCTCGGCTTCTTCCTTGCATTTTTGGAACAGTGCTTGGTGGTTGGCCTTGAGTTCGTCCGCCAATTGGGTGTTACCGTCCTGAACAGCCTGGTTGATGGCCGCTAAGTTCTGGTTCACAGCAGCCTATGCCTCTTGCAGCGACTCAGGCGTATTGTTGGGTTCTATATTCACGCAAGTTAGAAATCACAGGCCTCCAGAAGAGGGTTGATACTGCGCTACATACGACCGTGGGGAGGAGGAGTGACGGTCATTTTGAAGGATAGCCGATGAAAGCTTGACTTCGTTGAACACAGAGACTGGAGAAGAGATGCGAGCTTGGAATCAACAATGGGCGAGCACAGTAGCTTGTTGCGATATTTATACTCACGAAGGAAAGTAGTTATGCCTAGGCACTCTCTCACAAGGGCTAGTAGCCTGGAACCCTCGCTCCATCCCGGCAATGGATTTAACTCCGAGGTTTACCAGGTAAGGTTCTCGACCGCTGCGCCTCAGCCACAGCTGAAAACCGTCCTCTCGCTTGCTCCTCCTGGCTGCTGCCGAAGAGAGCCCCCGAACACGCCGCACCACAAAACCCTGACTACAGGACAACGCAAGCGAGCCCCCCCGCTTGCTAGGCAGCACAGGTACCCAAGACTGAGTTCAGCCCGGGTGAACTCATTCGACGGCTGGCTGAAGTCTTGCAGTCTGTTGTGCACTGAGCCAGCCACACACGGGTGGGAATCCACAATCACCGCGAATCACCTGACCAGTTTCGGCGATAGCCGAGCCCTACTTCACATCGTACCAGGAGGGGTTGGTCTACACGATGCACAAATCACGATGCGGACCGGTTTTGCTCAAGCTCTCTGAAATGTCGAGAAGGGCTCGTGTGGCTGTCTTGGCATGTCAATAGTCACGCCTCATGATCCTGCACATCCCCGGAAAGGAACACCCATTTGCGGTCCCGAGTTACTGGGCGAAGCATCCGAGCTTCCCGAAAGCATAGCAACGACATGGAGAGAACCCAACCTCAATCACAGCAAACGAGTGTTGTTCTGTCGACGCCCCGCGTGTGTCTATTCCAGACCTCGACTACTGGCCAGCTGCGCCAAATGGCCCTTTCATTGAGAGTGGCTTTGTCTTTCTGCTATGATATAGTCCACAAGACGTGAATCAGCTATGTGTTCTCCATGGCCTATCTCTGGGCCTCTGAATCCATTCTTGAGGTACACTCGCATCGAGAGTCAACAGCCCGTGTCGTCCTGAAGCCCGGGCGCAATTGAGTTGTATCGGCGCTTGTCAGCGTTGAGCTCCGGTTTAGGAATAGAACACCGCTCCAGTATAAAGAAGATGAAGGAAGAAGTGGAGCAGTGGCTGATGGACTATCGAATTCTAGTCCCCGCAGCATGGAAGGAGGAGCACGGCAGAGCAATTGTGCCAGCGCTGCGGCAGCTTGAGCATTTTCCTCTACCGAAGTCGTCAAGAATATAAGGTTACCTAGCGTATCGACAGGTAGGTAACCGCTATCGGTGCGTTAACGGAACCCTAAGCGAAGGGTCGTTGCCTCAGCAACACCACACCCCTCCACGAAAAATGGCCTCAGGCCGCGAATACAGGCTTCCGTGATCTATGAAGCCGTAGCTTTAGGCTGTGCGCCCGTAGTGAAAATAGGGCTCGTCTATAGTCACGTCCATTTTTCATGATCGCCTCCGATACTAGAGCCCCCGTGGTGCAGCTCGGACCGGCCCGCGGACCCTGCAGGGTGATCCAGGCCTTCGGCACCCGGACAAGGAATGACGTGGGTGGTTTGGCACTCACTCGGTGGCACACTGTAGGAAGCTATCAGCGACCGATCAGACTCAACATCAAGCGGATTTGGGGTCCTATGGTATCTACATGAGAGTACAACAGGACAGAGAATGGGTGTTATATCAAAGAGAAAGGATTTGGGATCATGTCGCTAAGCAGCTAGTGAGTAATGCCTCGGTATTCCTTTGGGAGCTGCGAGAAATTGACCAATGTTTCCAGAATCTATTGCCACTTCTTAAACAGTTTCGAGTTTAACCTCCTGCATTAAGATACACACAAAAGGGAAGAGGCCAATAACTCACGAATAATTGAAATATCATCAAAAAACCTCAATCTTACCCGAGATTACGATGGTAGCTAGCAAAATCTGTTTGGCTATGATATGCAATGCCACCGAATCTGGGCGGTCAATGCCCGCTGCTTCAAACTATCTTCTCCCTCTCGTCAGGCTGTAAGTGCCGACTCTTGAAAACAACGATTCATAATAACCCAACGGGGAAGTCAACGACTATGTCCCGAATATAGTCCGCAAATCCCTTGCCGAAGCCATCCAGGCGACTGGAGCTGCTCACCCCTCGACCCGGAATCCCGTAGACAACAAAATGCACCGCCTGGATGCGCGGGAACTCCACCCGCTCGATGAAGAACTCGACCCGCCAGTCAGCTCCGAGCATTGAGCGCAAGCGCTCGATGGTCATATACGACTGTAGCCACTCCCAATGACTGTTATCAGGTACAAATATTCCGAGGTTTAGATTCGACCCTGTGTCACCCGACCGGGCAAGCGCAATGTCCCCGAGACGGATGCGCCTTGTGGGCTCCTCCTGAACTTCTCTATTGATGGGAGAACGAGGATCGTAACTGTGACGGATGTCCAGTGCTTGATGAACAGGAGGATGACCGCCTCATAGGATCTGATTGCGGCATCGCCGTCGACGACGAAGTTGATTGTTTCTTTGAGGTTGGACTGTCCTTGAAAGCACTCGTGACAGCTGCCACGGTCTCTTGTGAACGGGCAGCGGTAAAGACGCGCATTTATGTTGTGCTCTCAAGCTGACTGGCAGGATTGCAGGCCGGGATCCCTACTCTGGTAAGGAAGGTCTTATTAGATACACGCACTTGGTTTTTAGAACACTATTGAGAAATAATGACTGCTTCTTACCGCTGAAACTCTACTGTCCTGACCTTGTCCATTACCGATGGTGGCACAAAGTGGCGGACTTGCTTCTCGACCAAATCCCACTTCCGAGAGGTGGCGTAACCCGTTGCATTCAGAAGCACCTCAGCCTCGAACCCTGCCTCGTAGAAAACCGCCAGCTTAGTGGTTGGAGGAGGCGGCGAAGCTAGGATTCCAGAAATCTGAACCCTGCAAGTGAATGATGTGAGAATGTTTTTGTTGGTGTCTGATCACGTTGAAGAGAATGTTTTCATTTATCCTACCGGTCCTGGCCCACCTGCTCGACGCAGAGGTCGCCAATAAAGGCGCTAACATCGCTGTTGAGATAGATGTCTCCCTGTAGCTCATAGAGAAATTGACATTGAACGGTATCAGCATTTACCATGCCCTGGGTGTTTGGGTGCTTCGTAATGACACAAGAGCCGTCATCCCCGATCTCGGCAATTGGGAACCCCGGTGCCACCAAATTATCAAGGTGGTACCTGTCGAACCCAGCAAAGTTTCCGCCGGTGACATAGGCCGAGCATTCAATCAGATGCCCCGCAATGAGGAATCCCGCCAGACGGTCATAGTCCATCTCAGACCAATCATGCCAGAACCACGCGGCAGCGATGACAGGGCTTGCATCCGCCACCCGGCCGCAGAGGACGATGTCCGCCCCACGTCGGAGACCATCCACGATCCCCCGCGCGCCCAGATATGCATGGGCGGAGACCATGGGGATCTTCTTTTCCTGGACATCGAGGAAGGCGTACGTCAACTCCGAGGGCTTGATAGATGGGTTGCCTGAGTCCAGATGCCGCAATTCCTCTTTTGCCGTTGGCATATGCGGCCCCAGGTCGGGATATAGATCGTCTCCGGAGACGTATGCGACCGTCAATTTGTACCCTTTCTCTAACACCTGCAGCGGGACAAACATTTGACTTTAGTTAGGAAGGCTTTTTGGAGAGAAACTGGTCGGATGGGATAACTACCAAAGCCTGAACTTTCAGTGCCAAGGCTTTAGGGTCGAGAGCACCGCCGTTGGTTACCACGCGGATTCCCTTTTCTGCGATCACATCAATTGTCTGTCGGATCCCTTCCCAGGCTGTCTCTTCGTAACCGGGGTGATCGCCCTCCCTCCAGGCTTTGGCGTTGTTCGCGAGATTTACCTCTTATGTTGTTTCTCGCATGAGCTTGTGATCATACAAATGTGTTTCGAGTTCGCCGTGGGCTTACCTGCGAGGTAATCGCCGGTGAGGAAGTCAACATCCCCCTTTGTCGCCTGGCGGTACATCTCATATGCAGGATCACCTAAACGAGTAGGATCAGCAAGGAGAGGACAGTACAGAGGTAGATATTCCAAAGGCAGACCATGATAACCAGAGCAGTTGGCCACTCGAACAGGGCGAATATTATTCTGGCGCGACATGATCCCTGGATCCTTTTGATGATGATAAAGAAGAAATGTACGAGGACCTGTAGCTGATGGTTGGATTGATCTTATCAGGGGAGAACTAGGTCTTCAAGGGCAAAACTTACACAAGGTCAGATCTGGTTCTGCACCGGAACAAATCCTGGTTTCTCAGGTATGTGCCATGAATTCCATGGATGTAATTGGGATTTCGGTCTCTATACTTGGATCTCGGGCCCTACGGCAATAGGAGTTACGGGCCCGTGGGATTCCATAGTCCGTGGAGATATGCCAACTGTGAAACAGCATAATCTCGTTGGAAAACGCGAGAAAAGACAAGGGTGACGAGAATCCAAAGTATACTGAAAGTAGTATCCAGAATGGAAACTCAAATCTAAAGCGAATGTCCCCCTCGATCTGCGTTGGGCTCAAACCTCTCACCTCTCACCGCAACGCCACGGCCCTATCGCCCGAACAACGATGGCATCTCACCATACTCTTCCCGGCACCGACATCTACGGCCCCGGCACCTTCATCGACAAAGAAGTTTTGCCTGTTCCGGTTGACGCCCGACGTGTATTCGAGCTTTTGGTCTCAAGCACACCGGGCTTCACCTAGGACCGTGCCGCATGGGATACGGTCAGGTTCACGGGGGGCTCGGAGCCCATGATCCCCATACCGATCAAGGCCCCCGTGGTTGCTGCCGCCCTGCACGCGATGTGCGGTCTGGTCGCCAACGAACTGCTCGAGCTGCGCGACGGAACAGCCGTGCACGAGAGCACGGTGGCGTTGAACACAGACCATGCTGGTTTGTGGCTCGGCTCGACATTTACGACCCAGATCAACGGCGAGGATGTTTCCACGCTGGCTCGGTCCAACGCGCTGGCTTCACGCTTCGATCGGGATTTCGAGCAAGGGTCTGGGAAAGGGTTGGCGGGCCGGGCGACGGCGATCTACCAGACCAAGGATCCCAGAGTGTGGAACCAACTCCATAGCTCCCTCGATGCCACCCGCACCCTGCAGTCGATGGGGATCCCCACGGACGTCAAGTTTGATACCATGCGGGAGTACTACGATTACATCCAGAGCTACGTCATCCAATGGAGTCCGGACGAGCTCAAGATGCACAACGTCCGCCATGGCCTGTGCGGCAGCATCTGTTACTCGCCGGAGGGGTGGCGCAGAACGGCAATGGGCCAACGACTGGCGGCCCATCCGCTGGTCAACTACACCTGTGCAAGCTACGCGGCGCCGACTCCGCCCGTGCCCGTGCCCTTACCCAAGCGCCCCTCGGTAGATCGACGGCCTTTGGCAGGCGTCAAGGTCCTGGAGATGGTGCGCATCATCGCCGGCCCCACGATCGGCGTGACGCTGGCGTCCTACGGGGCCGATGTCATTAGGGTTAATTGCAGCAAACTGGCGGATCTCAACGTGAGCCACCCTTCCCACCTGAGCACCCCTCGTCTGCCTGCCCTATCCTCGTTATGTAGACACTCATCAACCAAACCAGGTCCTCCAGTTGACCCTCAACGCCGGAAAACGCACGATCGACCTCGACATCGCCAAGGTAGAGGACAAGGCTCGCCTGCTGGACCTCCTCGCGGAGGCGGATATCTTCGTGCAGGGGTTCCGCCCCGGCTCGCTCGCGCGGCAGGGCCTGGATCTACACAGGATGCTGGAGCACGCGGCCATGCGCAACAAGGACATCATCTACGTCGACGAGAACTGCTACGGCCCCGATGGCGCCTTCGCCGAGCGGCCGGGCTGGCAGCAGATCGGCGATGCCGCGTTCGGTACGTCGTATGTCATGGGCCGGGCGCAGGCCCACGAGACAGTGCAGCCCTTCGAGACGGCGTCAGCAGGCTACAGCGTCCTGCCCCCGCTCCCCGTCTCGGACATGACGACAGGCCTCGTCGGCGCCCTGGCGGCCATGATGGCGGTGCGCGACCGAACAACCCAAGGCGGGTCGTATCACGTCGTCAGCTCGCTGGTCGCCGCCGACGCGGTCGCGCTGGAGCCCGAGATCGGCCTGCATCCGCCCGCGGTGGTGGCGCGCACCGCCCAGCGGTTCGGTGCTGCGACTTGGACGAGCAATGCTTCTCAGCGAATGATTGCCCCTCTGCTATTCAAGTGAGCAAGTACCATCGGGTGAGACAATGGACAGAAGGGAAGAAGCGCCTGACGAGTTGCGATGTCAATGAACCCGATCAGAAAAGCTCAATGACGATCAATAGGGGCTCCGCTAACCGAAGAATCGCATTGCACCTATTGTATTCTTAATAGCATAAGCCCTCTTGTCACCTTCTTCCATCTCTCCAGGGATTTGAGACACTGCTTGTGTGGGGGAGGCCGTATTGGTGACCTCATCCCGGGAGGTACGGGGCCTTGTAGGGTCTGCTTCTTCACCAGATGAATCTTCCAATTCGCCAGTGGAACTGCACATAGCCCCGCTGGATGAGTCGAATCGTGGTCTCTTAGCTCTGGATGGTTGTTGTAGCCTTCCCTCCAGAGATTCAACGCGTTTCTCGATGTCACGCATGTCGCTGTCACTAGAAAGAATAGGAAGCAGGGGCCCATGACCTCCATTCATAACAAGGACTTACCGACGGTTTTTCTGCCGCCGTGCTCGGTCTTCATACTTGCAAGGTAGGTTAAACGCTTTGCATGAGGTACACGCAGGCCGATTTCCATCACATCTAACCTTTTTCCTCCTGCAGGTGCTACAGGCCTGTCAAGGTGTATCAAAGTTAGCGTCGTCTTTCGCTCTGAGGTGAGGTCATTGACACCTTAGCCAGGCGTATTAAGCTTTGAGAACCAATATTACTACCCATGTTGCCCAAGGGTTGTCTTGTTTCACACTTCTTCCTCCCCGCAACTTGGTAACATCTCGTGCGACGGAAGTGTACGGAGGCCCTGGTAAATTGAGTTACCGCTCTTCAATTTACGTATTAGGGTGTTTGTCGTGTTTGGTTCCTAACGAGAACAACAAAGGATGCAGGCCAGTATTGAAAAATGAATATCAGATCGTATTTCTCTCTTTACCATATCCAATTTGCCTACAGAGACTCCAGTCTTTATGTATGTCAAACAAGGTCTGATCCTTGGCTCCAAGGACTTGGAATAACTTAAGTCGATTCGAGCCGAAGTTCCTCCTTACGTCATGGTATAGCGACGTTTATCAAAGTACAGTCGGTCAAACTAGTCGTAGGTGGGCAAGGGTCTGGCTTGGTTCAAGCTGAACATTTCCAAAACTACGGAACTATAGGCCAGTATACTCGACGGCGAGCCGGCCCTGGTTCAACCTGGGTAAGAGCGAGCATCCATATGAAATTGGTACATTGATTTCACAGCTATGCGCCCGACTGGAACTATTTTCAACGATAATAACAAAACACCATATCCCTATGCTAAGATGCGTGAACTTCGAATCATTGCTCAGGGACCCTACCGAGACAGACATCGATTAGTATTCTGGCCTGTATCCGAGCGATCATCAAGGTAGAGGGCTCGACTCACCAAGAATCTCAAGCGTCCATCCTCGTTGGCGATCTTGTCCGACAGCATGATACCCTGAAGACCTCTAGAGCCACCGTCGCGGGTGCGGAGGTTGGCGACCAGCTTGGGGCCGTACTCGGTCATCTCCAGGCGGACGTCGCTCGCGGTCTCGGTGAAATTCTGACCGCCCCAGATGAACCAACCTGATGATTTGGTATCATGTTAGCAGAAGACTTAGGCTGTAAGGAGAAGGGAGGAGTGTGGGCCTACCATCCGTGTTGCCAATGTGCTGGTCGAGACGAATCTTGCGGGGGTGGAATTCACCGTGTCTGTCGCGGGCGACGCAGCACAGCATGGTGCTGCCATCCTCGTGGACGATGTGGATGTCCTGGGAGGAAGTGTGGAAAGACATGATGGATGTGATTTGGGTTGTAGGGTGACTGTCAAAAGCGATGGAGGAAGACGGTATGAAGATGAAGGTGTGTTGGGGAAGGGAAAAAGGAGGAGGGGTGGGATGTGGGGTTGTTGTTTATATACGTAGCTCCGTCGCTCCGTTGCTCTTCCCCTTCATCACCGCCCGCATTGCTGCCCTACCCACCAAGCCTCGGAATAGACGTCGGCCAAGACGCGAAGTGGCAGACTTGCCTCATAGTGGCTGTACGGATACCAGTCAAGTGGGGCAGGAGGGGTGTCTATCGCTTCGCCTCTGGCAAGCGCACGGCAGATAGGCAGCTGTGGGGGGGAGAAAAGCTGTAGGCTTACGTTTGGAGCTTGGTGCAGAAATCCAAGGGCTTGATTGTGGTTACTACCGCCACTCACATAGCTGCTGCGGGTTGGCAGCTGCAGCCGCACACGTATAGCCGGCTAGTGAATGAATCAAGTGGGATCGTATTCTAGAAGGTGTCTTGTTGATCACCGCAAGGGTAGCAAAGGACGGCGGGGAGGAAGTGGGGTGTCGGGACTGTGATTCACCCATTATTGGTGCCACGGCCCAGACTATCAATTAGTGACTTTCTAGACAATGATCATTCTTGAGGGAAGGTTTCAGATTCAAACCCTGTCTCCATCTCAATGTCTTGGCGTAGTGAGCAGGCAACACCGTCAGCTAATTTTAGTAACACAGACCACCAGCCACATCAGCCACCTTAGCCACAATAGTTGCCTGATCGTGGCGCCACTTGCTCTTTGAGAAGAGCAACATGCTGCGAACCTCAGTGGAACCTACATGACTTATCTGGTGTTTATAGAGGTATGTTTTCTATACGCCTTGAGAAATGTACATATCTTGACAGCCTTACTTGTCAGTAAACAATGCATTACAGCACAAGTTGTCATGATGATGGGTCACGTGCTGGCCTGCGGTAGAAATGTGCGACATTTATGTATGTATAAAAGCGCAAGCGGTGTATTATGTGGTTTCTGTATTTGGGATACATTACTAGCACTTCCGAAGCGTTCTGAAACATACAAGTAAGAAGCTTACTGCTCTTCTTGTTCAGCTCAGGCCTAGCATGCTCATGCTTATATATGCCTTGAAATATAGATATCACGACAGTAGATTGATTTCTCCTTGAACCTTTCATGCCTGGGCTTATAAGTATTGGTGATTAGACATAGTTTATTTTACCACTTAACCATTTCTGATTACTAACTGACTTCCCTGAATCGAAATCTTACACAAAACATTATGTTTGTAGGCGAAGTGTAGCCAGGTGTAACCAGAACCTTCTTTTCCTGCACAAGACACAGAGGTTCAATCACACCCCATTGAATATAATAGCGTGCCTACTCATACTCAAGAATCAGTGATTTATGGTAGGTCATCGGCGCTCACTACCTCGTCCTGTCGGGCTCTGCCGACGACACAACTGCCCTTGTACTTTACTATACAGTAGTTACAGTAGATTGCGAATCCGGAACAGTTCCGCTAGCTCTTCTAAGCATTGCTAGGATTGCTCATCCCCATTGATTCTTGTGTATTCTGAGATGATCTCCGGCGACAATGATTCAAGCGCTGAAGAGACTGCTTACCAAGCCCGTAGCTTGCAAAGGTCATCGCGCCATCAAATGCGGGGTAACGCCATCTGTTGTGATACGCCAGCAATGCACCTGCACCCTTTATCAACCCAACGCAGCCCCTCAGCGACCCCTCCACCAGGCTCATCAATCTGCTCAACACCTGCTTGATTCAAATCAGCTGTCAATCCCAACCATTCCAAAACATTATCAACCCTAATACCACCAACCTCATCTGACACAATGTCCTCCCCCAAAGTAGCCATTGCCGGTGTACGTCCCCTCACACCCAGAAAGCCCCCCAGACACCGCCACACAACTAACACAGAACAAACGCAGGCAAGCGGCAACCTGGGCCCCAGCATCGTGAACGCGCTCGTCGACGCCGGCATCGAAGTCACCGCCCTCACACGCCAGGACAGCAACAAGAGCATCGACAACCCCAAAGTCAAAGTCATCCCGGTCGACTACGACTCGCCCGAATCCCTGCAGACCGCGCTAGCCGGTCAGGACGTCGTGGTGGACTCCCGCGCCATCCTCCCCAGCGAGTCGATTATCCGGCTGATCGACGCGGCGATCGCGGCGGGCGTCACGCGCTTCGTCCCCTCCGAGTTCGGCACCGACACGCTGAACCCGCTCAACGAAGCCCTACCCGTCTTCGCCAACAAGGTCGCGTCGCGCAAGTACCTCGAGCAGGTCGCCCAGACCTCCCCGCTGAGCTACAGTCTGCTGTTCACGGGCCCGTTCCTGGATCTGGGCCTGCGCTCGGGGTTCCTGGTCAATCTCGCTGGCCCGGTCGCGGAGCTCTACGATGGCGGGGAGCAGAAGGTCAGCAGCACCACGCTGCCGGGGATCGGGCGGGCGGTGGTCGGGATCGTGAAGAATCTCGAGGCCACCAAGAATGCGGCCTTGTATGTGAGCGAGGCGGATGTCACCCAGAAGCAGTTGATCGCGCTGTCCGGGAAGTCGCTGGAGACTAAGGTCGTGGCCACCGAGGAGCTGGAGCGCATCGGGCGCGCGGAGTTGGCCAAGCCGCAGCCGCACCCTGGCATTGTCGCGGTGAACTTGATCCGCCGGGCGCTCTTTGGAGAGGGGTATGGGAGTCTGTTTGAGGAGCAGAAACTCGCGAATGAGTTGCTGGGGTTGCGGAAGTTGACGGAGGAGGAGCTGCGGGCGTTGGTGGCTAGTGTTTAATTTTTGCAATGATGATGTTCTGATAATGGTTTCATGTTGTCATTAGGTCTGTTGGATGTCCACAGTGTGTTGGTTGAATGCTGTCTTTGTCAGAGAGTCATCATACGTTTTCTGCAACCCTAACAACACAGGGTTCTGGGGTAGCAAGTTAAGTCGTCATCCCCACATGTCCGCAGCGCAAGAAGGTTGTCATCAAGTCTTCATGATAGCATAAATGGACATCTCTATTTAGAACTGCCTGTCCCCTCCAATCAACCGAATTATCGCCTATGGTCAAAATCACTGTCAGGCGGCATTGAAGTGTTGGTTACCGGGCTGGTGTTTGGACTGAATGTGAGTGTCGAAGCTTTGCATGATACTGTTCATCCAACCAGGTGAAATGGACCTTCTTGCTCTTCTAACAATGGTGCATTGCGGATATCTACGTTAGGAGAACAATGTGACTTCGATAAGAATAGGGAACAGACAATTTTCTGCAGTGCTTTGTAATATCTCCTGCAATACAACAAACTGATTTGGTCCAAGAACAAGGACTAGAGACGAGGACACGGGAAAGGCCCATTCCAGAAGATCAGAATGGAGCCATCCGATACCACTATCGAGAAGTATATATAGGCCAATAAATGATGACGGAGAGTGATTCTGAGCCAACACACCCTGGTCTTGTCCAAACTTGGTTGATACACACACACACACACAATCACTCACCCAAACGCTGAAACGCTAACCGACAAAGATGTCTGTTCCAACCCACATTTCCCAGTACACTCAGTACAAGCAGGACACCAACGAAGTTGCCGCATGGCTACTGACCGCTCACCCGGACTTCAAGCAGCCCAAGGGGCCCGGTCGGTTGAAGGGCAGGGCGCGCAGGGCCGCCAGGGAGGAGGCCGAGGCAGGTAACGCAGCACCCCCCCAGGACCCTAAAGAATACACTCTAACTCTTAAGGAGTTTGTAGAGCGGGCGACGAAGATCGTCGCCACCCGACATGTGAAGGAAGTGCCGCGGCTGGTGGCCCTCAAGCTGCGGCGCTCAATCGTGCGCCGCCGGTACCAGCAGCGGTACTACGAGCACGGCGACGGCGACGCTGACTCCAACGCCAGCCATGCACACTTCATCAGCGTGCTGGAGGACGTGGAGAAGGCTCTCATGCCTCTTCTCCCGAAAGAGTTCCAGAAGAAGGCCAGGCAAGGGGCGGACGAGGTTGATGCTGAAGCCGCGGCGCTGATCAACCGGTTCGAGGCTTTGACGGTCGAAGAGGTCGCGAACGAGGCCCCAGACGGCCACGCAGCTGCCGGCTCCACTGAAACCTCGCCAACCGTCGCAGTAAATTGCAAGATTGCGGAGGATGAGATCAACACCCCGTCTCCCATCTTTGCGCTGGAGCTGCTACTGGAGGATCTGTGGATGGTGACGCACCACGTGCGGGAATCGTGGCAGGCGTATCGGGAGGGACGGATGTCGCTCGAGGCCGCGGCGGTGGCGACTGAGATGACCCACCACCTCTTCTACACCACCGAGTGCGAGCTCCGGGGAGCTGGCGGACTTGACAATTGTCCAGGCGGTTGGCCAAGTGCAATGTACAAGATCCACGCGGTGCGCCAGGAGGCACAGGAAAAATGCGAAACCCAGGGGAATAACTCAGGGTTTCTCGAATTCCTCGAAGACCTTATCAACATATGGGAGGCGCTCCTGGGCCTTTTGGACGTGAGGAGAAGCATGGATATTTCAGACCTTCTTCATGTCCAGCTGCCAACATGTGACTGGGCCAGAGACGACCGGCATCTGCTCCAGCGGTTGCTCCTTGACGAGGCCATAGTACAGACTCGGATCTTCGCGGCTACCCCCAAGGTGGACACTCTGCCAGGGGTCGAGCAGTTCGGGTTGTACTTGTACCACGCGTGTGAGGATAGCGCAATTTCGTTGACCACGGTTTATCTTACCGTGTTCTACCTGGAGATGCGACTGGCCATGGGCTCGGAAAGTGGCAAGGCATGGCCTGAGCTCCGAACCTTCCTGGAGACCACGAGGCCGGATGTCGTTCAAGTCTTGCAGCGCTTTGGTCATCTCTCCAGGAGAGGCGATCTGCCCAGCAATGTACTGCATTGTCTAAAAGGTTGGCTGCAACAGGCGGAGGTTGTAACCGATGAGAGCGGCGCTGACTCCCCTCTCATATCCGCGCAGTCCACCTCGCAAGACCGCGCCCCCTCGCGTCGCCGCATCTCTTGGTTCAGCTCCAATCCCTGGCTATGCGGACGGCTGTTGGTAATTTACAAGTCTCTCGCTTACGAGTTTGGCCTCTATTGGGCCAATTGTGACCCCACCCCCCTCGCAGTATGCCACCTCTACAACGCGGCAAAGAAGGAAAAAGTCCTGCCGGAGGGATGGTCATGGCCCGGGGTGGAGAGTCTGCTGGATACCTATCCGGAAATGTTCTCTAGCCACCAACGGCCAAGGGGCTGGTTTAACTATTCCCTCTCGGTGATGAAGGCCCTAGGCGGCGGGATTCAAACTGTGAGACGGGAAGGGAGAAGATATGCGGGACGAAACGCATGAAGAGCCGCGCGAGCGGACCCAGGAAGAGACAGTGTCAATCTGGCCAAGAGATGGAAATTCCCGCAACGCATTTCCACGCTTACGGAAATGAAATCCCGCTGGCTCAAAGGCAAGGATAAGTGGACCGCGGATGAGATCACGCACATTATGCAGGAGTCTGTGCTGTGCCGAAAGTTTGTGAAATCCACCATCCGCCGCGGGGCCGAGCCAAAGCTGAGTATGCTTGACGCCTTGAGACGGATGCGAAGGTGCATTAATGCAGAACTGGCAGTCTTGAAGGACGAAAACTGGGTACAATATCACAATCTCGGCTGGGAGATTTGCACCAGGATCTGGAGGGAGATCACAGAGGTACGCGAGGACGCACTAGAGCTTGGTCACACAGAAGAGGTTCGCTTTCTGATTGTGCATACCCTCTTTGAAATCAAAGATCGGAAATTGCTTCAGGAAGCAGCTCGAATTATGCAAGCGGTTGTCTCGGGAGTATGAGCCTCTTAAACACAAATGGCACTGCAGGTTATTACAAATTGGCATAGGCCACAGAGAACACAAAAAAGCAAAAGAAGCAAAAAAGAAAAAGAAAAGAAAAAGTATAGAAGAAAAAAAGAATAAAGAAACTCAATATCTTGGCATAATTTACGAATGACATTTAAGATACGCACAATTCACATGCCATCACTCCACAACCCACTAGAAACCATAATAGATCCCATCTCTTAGCCTAATACATGGAAAGGACCATCATAGCTATATTAAACATGAAACATGACACAGCAGTCAGAAGCAATAACTAAAGCGCATGATGGAAACTCTTTTACAAACACTTGCAGGCCCAAAGGCCCGTTCTTCGGGAGTAGAAGAGTGGGTGCGAGGCTTATACCAGCATTGCGTCTGACAAGAATCTCTAAACCTACCTGACTTTTGTCAATCCTTCACGGTTTGGCCATCTCGACCAATGTCTGACTTCTACTTTCCACCCAAAGTCTAATTGATCACTTAACAGAAAGTCTTCCGATGGATCTGTTGATGCTTGTTTCGTATGCGCTCACCTGTACGTACGTATCCCTTCCGGCGTTACTTCTGACGTGCCGTCTTGGCGGTAAAGCCATCGGCGCCACAACAAGGGTTTCTCTAGAGCCCTAGTTTTATCCCAGATCGTGTACTTCGCCCTACATACATAGCACTATGCTTAGGTCTGACCCCCAAAGAATGTAGAGGGTGTGGCGGTAAAGCTCACTAGGACATATTTGTACTGGCATAAGCCTGCACAAAGTTGTTGATGCTTATTCAGAACACCCACTTTCTTACAAATCAGGCTTGGGATTGACGCAAGCTTCCCGTGATGAAAAGCGGGGAAGTCCTTGCAAATGCACCTCTCCACTTGAACGAGAAGCGAAAGCACTTTCTCTGGGTCACTATGAAGGAAGCTGTCATTGACAAAACAATCACGGTTACAATTCGCGATGTGGACATCCCCGTCGTGCAGCCCGGCCAAGTGTTAATCAAGGTTGTGGTCTCTGGTACGAACCCTAAAGACTGGAAAGTGCCAACATGGCGGCCCGATGCACCGGCCACCAACCAGGGGGACGATGTTGCGGGCTACGTGGAGGCGGTGGGCGAGGGAGTGCCGAACTTTCACAAGGGCGATCGAGTGGCTGCCTTCCATCAGATGTTGACCCCTGGGGGCAGCTGGGCGGAGTATGCCATTGCCTGGGCGCATACGACCTTCCATCTGCCTGAGGAAACCAGCTTCGAAGGTATGGAAAACGAGAACTTGCATTCATATTTTGGCATAGTTGTTAGAAGAGGCTAGCTGACATCCAACAGAGGCCGCCACGATCCCTCTCGCTGCCACAACATCCGCTGTCGGACTTTTCCAACAGTTGGGGCTGCCTCTTCCCTGGAGTCCGGCAACGGAGTCGCTTCCTCTAATCGTGAATGGCGGGTCTTCAGCGGTCGGAGCTTTCGCCATCAAGCTGGCTCGCCTCTCCAACATCCATCCTATCATCGCGGTGGCCGGCAGGGGCGCCTCGTACGTCGAGACCCTAATTGACCGCTCCAAGGGCGATACGATCATTGACTACCGTGACGGGGACGACGCTGTCCGTGAAAATATTAAAACCGCTGCTGGTGGCCGGCTAGTCCACTATGCCTTCGATGCGGTCTCCGAGAAGCGGTCTTACCAGAACCTCGGCGCCGTGCTGACTGCACCGGCAAAGATCACCGTGGTCTTGCCAGGTTGCGAATCCAACGGCCTTCCAGACGGGATCCAATTGTCGACTACAAGTTGCGGATCAGTTCATCAGCCTGTAGTTGCAGGAAACCTGGTCGGGAACGTCGAGTTTGGCGCGGCAATCTTTGCCCTGTTTGGCAGGGGTTTGGCTCAGGGATGGTTCGCAGGCCACCCTCATGAAGTGCGCCCCCACGGACTGGCTGGGATTGAGGGGGCAGTGAAAGACTTGCGGGCCGGTAAGGCTTCGGCGGTGAAATACGTCGTGCGTATCGCCGATACACCAGAAATGTAGGAAGTGCGATGAGTTGATCTTGGTGAAGACAGTTGAGCATAAACAGTTGAGGATACATATCCACGAAGGAATGGGCTATAGTCACCTGTTGATATTCTCAAACCACCTGGCTAAGGCCCAAAGTAGTAAGATGCCCGAATACAGCGCTATTTCCAATTAAGGGTGCATTTGTTTTTGTATGTAAAATTATATAAGAGTGCGAATACAGGCCTTTTACTGCCTAAATAAGTAAACCAGCTAGCCCAGCAGCCCTTGCCGCGGCGGCCACTACAGTGGTATATATACTTTTCCAGTTTATATATAAATTTTATTAAAATAGTATATCAATATATAGAGTTTAAAATATACTATATTTAATACTTTATAATAAATATTTACTGGCTAATTAGTATTTAGAATCTAGACGCCTGGATACCTATATCCGGCCGGACGCCTACAAGGTCTTCTACAGAGTATATAGACTATAAATTATATATATAGAAAGTTCTGCTGGTTTTTTATTTAGTCTGTACTTGTATTGATATATAAGAATCCAATATATCTTTTTAATTGGGAAGGTGGGCCTTGATCCACCGCCTCCACGCCGCCAAACTGCATAATGTTAGGCCGGTGGTTTGAGAATATCGACAGGTGACTATAGCCTGTTCTATTCACGAAATGCTGTTTTTGCTCGTGTTGTTATAATGGAAAATGTACTCTCGTACAAGTGACACAGTATCGAAATTAGGGATCTGAACCACAATGCCGATGATTGGCCAAGGCTTGTTCATCAGCTGTCCATTGCAAGACACACCTAAATCAGGTCTTTCCTGCTTGATAGACTCAGTCACATAGACAGACTTCCTTTCGTTCATGCATCGTGCTAGTGCTACAACACTGCTGGCATCCCAGTATGTCTGGTATAGTGTGAGAAAATATGGCATAGGCCCTTTTCACGTTAGCGCAGAGGTTTCAGCAATATTGCGGATAACTGCGGGTGCATAGGAAACATATTGGGCTCTATGATTTCCGGCACAGTAGACAAAAAGGGGGCCTTTCGACGTTCTCCACTGAAGAGCCATCAAGAATTCTCGACAGCAACCCAGCAAGCGGTAGACGCAGAGGGTGGCAATGTACGTTATGCAATCACCTACCCCGGCAGCCCAACTTGGCTATCACGATGAGCGCACCTACAATCATCGATTAATCATCTTTATATCAGAGGTTCCCTTCGTCCGAAGCAAACTTATCATACCCTGTCGGAGTGTCCAGTAGGCCCCCCTCATACACCGCCAATTCCGCCGCGACAAAAGCCCCCGCCATGAATGTCGGGATAGATCCGCCCATTCAAAGAGGCGAGGACCCCGGGTCTCCACACAATAACAGCTCAGCTTATGTCTGCATAGGTCAAGTTGCATGAGGTCATGCGCCAGCATTAGACTGGCGGAAGAATCTGTCTTAAAGCTCTCAACAACCCGCGTCCCCGTTCTCCATTCCCCTCAGAATACACCGTGGTATTTTCAGGCCCAAATTCTCTAGTTTCAAAACTTTGCCCTGCCTACTGTATCATCGAAATGTTCATGTCAGCCAAAACCCTCCGACTTGCCCAGCGAATACTCATCATTGCTCCCGCATTTATACTTTACGGATACAATCAGGCCGGGCTATCTGCCCTCCTCACCCTCTCGGATGTGATCCGTCTCTTCCCACAAATTGATACTGTCAACACCCACGGAGCTCAAGAGACACAGAACTCTACCATCAAAGGGTTGATCAATGGGACTTTGATGTTAGGGGCCCTACTGGGGGCATTGTCATGCTCCGTCCTCGGCGATAAGCTTGGTCGGCGCAAGACTATCTTCGTAGGAGGCTGCTGTGCTGCGGTAGGTCAAATTCTCCAGTGCACGGCCTTCTCCCTGGCCCAGTTCACCGTGGGACGCATCATCCTGGGATTCGGGGTGGGCCAGTTGAGTGTCATTGTGCCAGTGTGGCAAGCCGAAAGCTCTTCTGCGGGTAAACGAGGGCGTCAGGTCATCACCTCAGGCATCTTTATCTGTGTAGGATTTTTCTTGTCCAGCTGGATCAATCTGGGATGTAGCAAGATTACCTCACCGCCCCTCCAATGGCGGATCCCGCTCGCTATCCCAGTCGTCTTCTCACTAGTGATCTGCTTCTCTATCTTCACCTTACCGGAATCGCCCCGCTGGCTGGTCCAGCGCGGACGGATCTCAGCCGCCACCGAAGTCCTCGCCGCGCTCAACGACATGCCCAGTGACCACGAGCTGATTCGTCACGAAGTCTCTCGCATTGATACCTCCCTTTCGACAGGTCCTACGATTTCCCTGCGGGATGTCTTCCGAAAGAACGACCCGCACCGACTCGGCTACCGTTTCGCCCTGTGCCTCGGTATTCAGACCCTACAACAGCTGGTGGGAGGCAACATGATCTCGATCTATACAACCACCATTTTCCAAGACAACCTGCACCTGCAGGGCGACATCCCAGCCATTGTCGCTGCGAGTGCCCTGACCTGGAAATTTCTGTGTTCTTTCCTCTCCTTCGCCGCCGTCGACCGGCTGGGTCGCCGCTGGATCCTGGTGACCAGCGGGACGGGTATGTGCTTCTGTATGATTGCCATGGCGGTGGCCACCAGCTTCCCGGCGTCCAACCATGCTGCCTCCATCACGGCGGCTGTCTTCATTTTCCTCTTCAATATGGCGTATCCCATTGGCTTCCTGGGTGGCAACTTTCTATACTGCACGGAGATTGCGCCCGCGCCTCTCCGCGCGGTCATGTCGTCTGTCTCGACCGCCAACCATTGGATGTGGAACTTTATCATCACCATGGTCACCCCCGTGGCGCTGTCGACCATTAGTTGGCGGTATTACATTGTCTTTGCCTGCACCTGCGCTTGCGTGCCCGCCGTCGTGCTGCTCTTCTTCCCCGAGACGATGAACCGCGACTTGGAGCTGATCGACGGGGTATTCCGGGAGGCGCCTACCATCTGGGAGATCGTGCCCATGGCTCGGCGATTGCCTCAGCAGGGTAGTCCATCTGGGCGGCTGGAGAATGATCGAGAGAAGGCAGTTGAGGCAGAGGGGACAACCGAGGAGCAACGGGAATGGGCTTGAGGTCTACAATATGCTAAGATGTATATCGGTCAAATCCCCGCTGGGGTAAATCAGAAGAAGCTCGTGCGAGTTCATCGCATGAACAGAATGAAGTTATCTTGCAATTATCATTTCTTGACGATTACCCACAAGACTCTATATCCCTATCCACCTATTTTGCCTTGTATACATAGATCCCCGACACCGTACCACAAGGCCCTATCTCTCTGCGTTGTCATTCCCACCCAAAACCCCTTTCCAAAACCACTCCACCACCAAAACCGTCCCCGTCTCACTCTCAACCAGAAACAAAGTCTTCCCCTCGGGTCCCCCAAACGTCAAGTTCGTCATTTTCTTCCCTGCGCCCGCATCCCACCGAATGCGCCACCCCACCTCCCCATCCGGACGATGCACAAACACTACTCCCAAAGTGGAATGCACGACAAAGATATTCCCCGCCACATCCATCGCCATCCCATCTGGCCCACCAATCCCATAGTAGCTAGCGAACCGGCCCACGCGCTGCACGCTCCCGTCCGGATGGAAGGGGACGTACCACACCGCGTTGTCGCGGGTCATGGCGACGAAGACGGCGGACTCGTCGCGGCTCATCACCAGTCCGTTTGGGGAGGGGCCATTGCCCAACACACATTCCAGCTTGATATGCGGCTGGCTGCGATTGGCTGGTGGAAGATCGAAACGAAACACCCGACCCGTCGGATCATGCAAGCCCGTCATGCCTTGGTCGGTGAAGTAGACCGTGCCGGTGGAGGTGACCACCAGATCATTGGGGCCCTTGAGGCGTTCGCCGTGGAAGCGCGTGACCAGTGACGTTGGAGCGTCATTTGGGTCTGGGTGTGCGGCCGGGTCGAAGGCGAGGATGCCTTGCTTGAAGTCGGCGATGAGGATGCGGTTGGTTGGATGGTGGTAGGCCAGGCCGTTCGGCTCGCCGTCGTAGGCGAGCACGAGTCGCCATTCCCGGGTTTCCACGTCGATCGAGAAGATCCGGCCGTAGGGGATGTCGACGACGAATAAGCGGCCCAGCGAGGGGATGTAGAGGGGCCCCTCAAGGAAGGAGTCGAGCGGGTGGCCGCGCTTCTGGTGCAGACTATGCTCGGATTGCCCGCCGGGGCGCCGGTATTGCGATGGCAGACTCGTCCATTCGGTGGCTTGGATGGTGGTTGGTGTGGTGGGTTGCGATTGTAGCGACATGGTGGTGGTTGTGTCGGTGTTTGGTATCAGAGGAATAAACTGAAGTGCTCTCCTGTAGAATCGATGCCGTATGCTCTTCGTCTCTCTCCTTCTCGCTCCATGACCTGGGGCCCTTCCGCATCCCAGCGGGTCGTATCCGTGTCTCGTGATACGCATCAACCCTATACCCGAGGGTGGACGGAGTGTATCCGCATGTATCGACAATCTTGACGGATGTTTTCCGATTCGACAGGTTTGGGGTAGGGCCGTGATACACTCACCATCAAGGCAATCAAGAAACCGCACCGTATCCCTTTTGTCCCCCCACTCCCAACCTCCCCCTGGCCTCCATCAACGCCCGCCCCAGCAGATTCAACCCCCACTCCGCCCGCCACATCCCTGTACACTCCCTCCCAAACCCCACCCCCCCAGATCCGATCGCGGGGACTCGCCTCGACAATCTCCCGTGTCCCCGTGGCGAGTAACTGTGCGGCGAGGCTGGGGTTCTGGCTGAATTTGAGATAGGTCCCCTCCGCCACAATCGCATCCCGCTCCACCTCCCAGACCGTCTCGTCGAACCCGGGGATCTGGCGACCTAGGTCCCGTAACTTGCGGGGATGCATTCTCCGTCCCGTTTGGAGTTTCTGGGTCAGAGGGTGGTCGGGGCCGGCGAAAAGGAGTGCTCTGCGGTGCATCATGTATCTATATCTCTCGCCTTTGTTAGGTCAGGGCTAGTGCAACAACTTGATTTTGATGACTTGAACAGGGGAAGTAGGTCTACGTCATTGTTCTGCGTTTGCATATGAGAAGGTGTCGTTCCCATTCTTCCAGACGAAAGATGCCGGATACCATTGACCTCTTCCAGCCTCCAGACGTAGACGGTGTCGTTGTGTTCTTCATTAGATGAGGTCATGGTTTGCTCTCTGTGAGTCCTTTCGCCATGAATGTCTTGGATGTGATGCTTAGTGCTCCGAGCTTAGTGCCCAGAGGAGCTTTGGGTGCGTTTTGTGTTCAAAAACTCCATCATATTCTATGAGTCATATTCAGGGCAAGCTACATCGACAATGTTGTTGTCAATCAATGAAATGACCCAAATAGGTTAGAGGAATCCGAAGCGGGGCGCACATCCAATGACGACGTCATCGACCCATTTCCGTCTTTCCTCACTTTCACTTTCTTCTTCCCCTCTTGCTCCATTCTATCTTCCTTTCCCTTCCATCACTTGGTCTGTCCTAGGTTCCTAGTATGCTGACTGTGACTGTGGCTCCTCCTGTCAATCTCCGGTGGTCTGATTGCTGGGTATAGTTTATTTAAGCCCCATGTGAGCGCCGCCCACCCCATCGCTCTTGAGCCGCGACCCGCATTCCGCCTCTCAAAGTCCCGACCGCCATGCGCCAACACACAAGCGATATCTTGCAGCATACTTGCTGAGCTACGGCACGAAACTCAGATCCTCCTCTAAATACGTACATACATTCGCGATGTCCTTTATCTTTGGACGACGACATTCCATTGCCTCCACCGCGCCGAACGAGGGAGATGCAGTCCCGCGGGGCAACGGTGGGCGAAGATCATCGGCTCCGGATATCTCGGATCATAGCCATGGTCTCCGTGCCAAAGGCGTGCTCCATGAAATCTTCCACAAACACCACGGCTCTTCCAATTCTGATTCCCCGTCGAACCCTGGATCCCCACGTCGGGTAAGGTTCTAGCTCGAGCGCACTCTAGATATGGTTTATATGATCGTTGTAATTAACACTGTTGCAGACAGATAGTCCGCCATCACAGACGTCGGAAAATGCTCCTGCAAGTTCTCACACCCGCCATGACAGCGGCGTACACGAGTCATCGGCTGAAGGCCCCCAAAGCCCAGGTTCCAAGCCTGGCCAATCGCCAAAACCAGGCCACCACGTGCCATCGCCTCATAAGCACCATCTGACGATGAAAGATGTAGAGGTCATCTTCTCAGGAGCCCCGTATTTCATGCTGGAGAAAGGGAAGCATGACCGCTGGTTCCCGCAAGTCATATTCCCCTTCGATGATCACGACCCGGTCATCCAATGTTTCTGGGATAGAAGACCTCTACCCCATGCCTCTTACACCTTGTGCACCCTGCATGCGCACCTGCCAGTGCCGGACGACTGGGTCATTGAAGGCGATGTCCCGGCCCATCTGGGTAACTGGAAACGAAGCGATGCGCCCAAGCGAGCCACATTCGACGTGGGGGTACAGGAAATTCCCAATATGCTGGCGATGCATGGGCGGGATCCCGGGACGGTCGGGTTCCGCTATTTCCTGGAGCTTCCCGTGGCCGATGCCGCCCGCTATCCGGGTCCGGGGGTACCAAGGCCTTCATCAGACTACTTACATCTATCGAGCTTGCCAGCGACCGAGTCGTTCGAGTTGTTGGAGCGTTACGGCCAACCGTACGCCCTTTGCTCGGATGGTACTGTCCACGATCGCAAGAAACTGTTGCGCGAGGGGCCGAACTTCTGGAAGAAAATTGGTGTCCGTGACATCGATCTACAGGTCTTGGTGCAGCGATTGCAGACATTGAAGCACCTGCGCTACGAGATCCTTCATGGAGATCGACCGAAGACGATACTCGATATCGAAGGGACACGTGAGCTGTACAATGAGCTCTTCACCAAATTCCTCTACCCGCCAGCGCGATTTCTCATTGCCGACATGGGCGATCCACACAGTCTGAAGGTCCAGATCAAGGCCTTGACCGTTGTGCTGGCTACACCAGGCGCATGGCTGGACTTCAGCCTCATCGATTGGCGACTGCATATCGGTCAGCTGCTCTGGGAGCAGTCACCGCACATGGACGGCGACTTCATCGACATTTCGGCGTCGGATAAGCCATGGGTGCATTCGACCCTCGAGCGCAAGTGGTTTCTGGTCCAGATGCTGCTTGCTGCCGAGCTGCTGATGCGCTTAGACGCGACCGTCCGTGTTGGAATGCTTCAAGAATCGCAAGACATCACCATTTCGCTACGCGATATCTACGAGTTTGACCGGTTGCGAAACGGTAAGCTGAACTGGGATTTGGTCGTCGTACGGCGATTCATGGACAGCTTCGATCTTGACTATCATCTCGAGGATGGCAGCCCCGGACCAGAAAGTCACGAGGAAGCCGGTCACTCTCACGAAAAGCATCATCATCGGTCCTTCTTCTCGAGCATCACTCACCATTCGTCTTCGGCCACCCCTCACAATGAGTCAGCCTGGAGATGTCATCTGATGCCCAATCATGTGATGCAGCAACTCAAAGGTCTGTTTGTCTTCGCCGATAACCTAGGCTGGCCGCGCTTGGACGATTTCAAGGAGACGCTCAGGTCAAAGCTTGGTGGAGACCAAAATGGCCAAATCATCAAGGACGTCTTTACCAACCCGGAACTTAATACTATCCCAGCAGGGTACCAGATACCCAATTTGCGGAAAGCCATGTATAGCAGAAACTCTTCTCGACGTCTCTTGCTTCTACACCATACGGGTGATGACAGCAATCGTAATCACCTTGGCGGTTGGGCCACCAGAAGCTGGCTGTCCGGCTTTGTGATCCCTGGCTCCTCCATCAGCCACTTACTCCTCAGTACCATCCTGGAAAATGATCCCGACGCCATAGCCAAATTAGGGCCAGTTGTCAATCTTTACGGTGGCTTTGCTTATGACGGACGGAGCTGGTGGAGCAAAGAATGCATTGTGGGCAGGGTGGTGGCTTGTTTGGAAGGGACCAAAGTATGCTTGGCATGGCAAGCCAGCCCGGTTCTGCCCACAGACTCGGAGACCTCTCAACCTCTGGTCGATACTTGGTTCGAGGTGGAAATCAAAGAACCGCAGAACAGACCTGGAAAACCGAGGATCAAGCAGGGATCCAAGCTGTCCCTGGAATCCACACCCCTGGGCCCCGGGGACTTGACCAGCGGCGCCTTCAGCATGCCCCTCGACGACCATAGCGACTGCTCCGTGAAACCCAGAATTGCCTTCGAGGAGTTGACATTCCAGGTCAAAGCCCCGCAACCGCCATCCGCCGAGCATTCGATCACGGTGGTCGAGCAGGCCACTGCGCGCTTTTCTCTATCCTCTGACACGGCCGCCGCCCCCGCCACACAACTCTCGTTCCCATTGAAGTATAACGTACAGTTCATCTCCTCTCACGAATGCCGCCCGCCTGGCGGCATGATCACCAGTCCCCACGCTCAGAACGTCACGAGCAGCAGTAGCGGGAGCAGTAGCAATCAACCCAATCAACGATCATCGTCCCCGGTCAGCGCCTCGTCGGACCGCCACCGTCACCACCGTCTCCCGGGCCACCCGCTGCACTGCCGCTACGCGTACCGCTGGGTCCACCTGCCCTCCCTGGCGGAGGAATTCTCGGCGTCGGACCGCATCCGATCGGCCTTCGACCCGGAGGAGACCATGATCCTGGACGCGCGCGGCTCCCGCGAGAAGGAGGCCTTCGCCCGCGCGTGGTGCGCCTCGGTGGGGTATCATGCTATCGTCGGCCGCGCGGGTCGGACGTGTCTCTCGTGCTGTATCCGGGAGGCGCGCGCGTTGCAGGTCAAGGTCGTCATCCGCACGGGCGACGGGCCTGTCACTCCGAGCTCATCTGTGCATGTACTTTACGGGGGCGAATAGGTGTTTCCCCCGGGCTTGGTTAGGGCTGGTTTTGGATAACTGAGATTTGAGTATTGATTTGTCGGCCTGTTGCATAATCTCTTCACGGATATCATTCCCAACTCACTGGGTTGGGCTTTCTGGTTAGCTTTCTGGATATTATCTACCCTTTTGCCGCAGACGGAAGATGGGATTGCGATTCTTTTTCGGCGGGAAAAAAAGTCAAGGAGAAGAAAATACCTCGTGCATCTTGGTATTCCTTCTTTGGGACGATAGGAGTTTTCGCCCCTTGATTTTGTGATTGGCTATAATCGCGTTCGAAGCTCGCTCTTTCCTTCGAACTGGAACTGGAACTGAACCTGAATAATGTATGTGAACTCGGGAAATGCCAAGGAAAC